AAGAGATACATGCCAATCCAAAGTTCAAAGTCAAGCCCGAGCACTATCTCTCACTGACCCATTATGCTTGGGACAAGAGTGCCTGTCAATCCAATGTCATGCAAGCATGGGTAAAGTCTGGTCTGATCGAATGGTCCCTACCCAACCAAGAGACAAGCGATTTGTGCCAAAGAAGCGTAAGAGGTCCTCCAAGGCCCTCGTTGCCCAGCAATCCAAGGACCTGGCCATCATTGATCCAGAGAAATTGACCAAGAAGCAAAGGACAGTAGTGCTGCGCGACAAGAAGTCCACTGGCAACCTGATCACATCCAAGGAAACAAGGTATGTTTACACATTCATTCATTCTTAATTCAAATAACTCTAACATATCGCCAGTGGACTTGTAAATGTGCAATACGATGTAACAATCAAGGCCACAGGCGCTGGTTCACAGCCGGCCATCACAATGATCCAGAACAACCTCCAGGTCAACAACAATACCATGAATATCCAAAACAGCCATGGAACCAACACAATCACTCACACTGAGTCTACAACCCAGTCATCATCAAGCCAAATGGTGACAGATAGACCCAACATCATGCGCAACATCAAGAACTTCTTTGGTTTGTAATAAACAACAACAATTATTACCCGTTTATGTCTATCTATCAGTCATTGTCCTATGAATTTGACCCATAAAGAAATTACCCCCCGAAATTCTTGTTACCTCAGGTGGGTGTGATCGAGGTCACACAAGAAAAAAACAAGTAAATCACCTGACCTTGCAAGAGATGGGCTGTTTCAAAAAATGAACAGATATTATCAACATTAAGATAGACTAATTCTATTTATATTAAATAACTTATACAGAGATAATAAATATTTACTTATACATATATATACATACATATAATAAAAGATGGAACAAGCAAGCAAATATGCCTATATAGGTGATGATGAATACGAGGAGATGGATATTGGTATGAATGAATGAATAAATCCTTGATTGGAATCCAATTATTGTTATATTGACCTTACCTCTTATATATAATTATAGATAATGATATTCATCAGCTGAATGAAGCTCCTGCAGCAGCACCAGCACCACCTGCCCCTCCTACCAGGTCTGGTCTACTCTCTTCAATCTTTGGAAGAGGTAGTTCCTCTTCAAAAGGTAGCTCAGTCTCCTCAGCTCCACCTGCTCCTCCAATGCCTCCAACATCAACATCAAACGTATCCAAAAAGATTGTATCTGTATGTATGACTTAGTCAATGTATCCCTTTGTCTGAAGAATGTTAACATTCTTACAAACCAATCCAATCTATTGCTCACCAACAGAGGAAACTAGTAAAGAAGGCCAACACCAATGTACTGAACATAAAGTATGTGCATATCTAGTCCACATGTACAAAGTAAATACTTAACTAACAAACACTAAATCAATCAATCATATAGTCTGGGAACACTGTCAAGTGATCCAACTGTTGCCACTGGTGATCCACTTTATTGTAAAGGATGCAAGGTTATCTACAGTAACATCAACAACTTCAAACAAGTAAAGACAAGTGATGGTAAGACTGTTCCAAACGTGCCAACTGCAGGTGGTGTATCTGGTGGCAAGTGGACATGCGAGTTCTGTGGAGAGATCACAACGTTCACCATGTCAGAGGAGGAGATACCAAAGTCAAACATGGTCGACTATATCATTGAGCCAGCACCAGTCAGCTCCAAGCCAACAAGTGGCGACGATTCAATGGTCATATTCTGTGTGGACATCAGTGGCAGTATGCAGTGCACTTCAGAGGTCCCCAAGGAGCTCAAGCTACGTGCTGGCAAGGGCGAGAAGAACACAAGCAGATACGTATCACGTCTTCAATGTGTGCAATACGGTATTGAGGAGCAGTTGCAGGCACTGGAGGAGGCTTCGCCAGGCAGACGTGTAGCCATCGTAGCATTCAATGGATCAGTTAACATTGTCGGCGATGGATCACAAAGCCCCATCGTTGTCACTGGAGACAAGTTGGACAACATGGATCAGCTGCTCGAGGCTGGCTCAAGCTACAAGATGAACTCGCCCATCTCAAAGACCAGACAGGCGCTGGTCAAGAAGGTGTTTGAGTTGGACGCCGAGGGCAGCACAGCACTGGGACCAGCCATCACCGTGTGTGTCGGAATGGCGTCCAAGGTGCCAGGCTCCAAGATCGTACTGGCAACAGATGGTCTAAGCAACATTGGTATTGGCTCGGTGGAGAACAGCACGGACAACACATTCTATGAGTCGATTGGTGCTATTGCCCAGAAAAATGGCACAACCATCTCTGTGCTGACCATCAAGGGCACAGACACCAAGCTCGAGCAGATCGGTCTTTTGTCCGAGCTGACCAGCGGCACCGTCGACATTGTCGATCCACTGAAGATGCAGGAGGAGTTCAAGTCGGTGCTCTCACTGCCCGTCCTGGCTACAAATGTCGCCATCCAAGTCAAGCTGCACAGAGGACTGTACATCTCAGACCCATCCAATCCATCAACTAATGAGAGCCATATCCACAAGGAGATTGGCAACGTCAACGAGGACACAGTTGTCTCATTCGAATATGGCATGATGCCAAACAAGAAGCTGGACCCTGCACTCAAGTCAATTCCATTCCAGCTGCAGATCAGCTATACGACAATGAGCGGAATGAAGTGTGTTCGTGTGATGACGATGACTCAGGAGACAACATCCAATCAGGAGCTGGCCGACGAGCACGCCAACATTGATGCACTGGGCGTCAACATGGTTCAGACGACATCAAAGATCGCATCAAAGGGCGATTACAATCAGTCGAGAGCAAAGAACATGCAGACAGCCAACCTGTTGAACCGTGTGGCCACCAAGAAGAAGCAAACACACAGTGCACCAAGCACAGTGGACCAAGACGCTGGTGTTTGGTTGAACCAGGCCCAGATGCTCGAAACACATCTGACCACCGCCATCCAGAAGGAGTCGGGAGGTGGCAGTGATGATGAAGAGGAAGAGCACCGTCCAGAGCGTTATGAGAGACGCAAGTTGAACAGAAGTGATGAGACTGCCAATGTATTGTTCAACATGAAGTCCATGAATGTCCGCAAGGCAAAGAAGTGATCGATCTCTTATGCCAGTCGACGTTTAGCAGCTTTAGCTTGTTAAAGTTATTTGTACAAATAAATGATCGATCTATCTCGTTGTATTAAGTTTATCTTATCGTAGGTAGTTTAGTAGTCACTTGCTCGAACAACCTCCACTTGACTCATTGGTATTGGTCTTGCTTGTGTCCTTCCATTGATCTCGAAACCTTCGTGTTGTTTAGTGGCCTGTGCTTGCTTGGCAGTGTAGAGGTCATCGATGTTTGATTCCATATCATGTAGATTAGGAGCAGACTTTCTCAAGTTATTCAATCTCTCCATAATCTCCCTACTAAACTCATCATCTTCCTCTGACGATTCCTTATTATCTAAAGAGTTACTATCTGCTATTTTCCAATCCTTTCTAGTTGCTCTTGTATTTGTATTATAATGTCTCATTGATACTATACATTGTATTGTATTGTACTGTAAGTGATTGGTTGGTGACTGAATAGTATTGTTGTATGTACATACATTTACATGACGTCATATATAAGTAAGATGACGAATATGATCCTGTCTTAATAAGGCTTCTATAGCCATTCATGGTAATTGTTATTGTTTTAAGCATTATTTGTTGTTGTAACTGTGTTGTGTGTTCGTCGTGTGAATGAATGAATGAATGAGTTGTTGTGATGAAAAGGGAGCTAAACACAACACAACAATCATCATTCATTCATTCACCACAACCTTTAAGTAGTAATAACAGTCTCTTATATACTTATACTATTAAACTCTAAACTTATAAGGATGGATACCAAACCAGTACCAAAGGAACAATGGAGTGATATGGAGAGAAAGACAAGAATAGAGTTGGCTGCTGCTTATAGAATGGTGGCTCACTATGGTTGGTCGGAACTTGTTTATAATCACTTAACCGCAAGAATACCTGGCACTGATTTCATTCTCTTGAATCCCTTTGGTCTTGGTTTCGAAGAGATAACAGCATCAAGTCTTGTCAAGGTAATATCAATCATTTCCATTCATTCCTTCATTCATTCGTTCACTCACAATCATCTCTAACTTCATCATCATTACGAAAGATTGATCTTCACTCTGGCAATATTGTTGATCCAGGTACAACTGAATATGGTATTAATGTAACTGGATATGTTATTCATGGTGCAATTCATAAGCATAGACATGATATCTATGCAACGATGCATATTCATCAGAGTGATACTGTTGCCGTGGCGTCAATGAAGGAGGGCCTGATCGAAGATCTGTGTCAGAACACTATGATCTGTGGTGAGATATCCTATCATGACTACGAGGGCATCTCTGTGAACGAAGAGGAAGAGGCAAGAATCCAGAAGGATCTTGGCAACACTTCAATGAACCTATTCCTAAGAAACCATGGAATTCTGACGTGTGGCACAACTGTTCAAGAGGCAATGTTCCGTCTGTTCCTTCTGGTAAAGGCTTGTGAGATCCAGGTTAGGACTCTGTCAGCAGTGGGTGGTGACATTAGTAAGTTGCAGAAGCCCGCCGCCGACACTCGTTATCAAGCCCGCAACGTCTCCTCTGGCTTCACCAAGGTTGGATTCGGAGTCAAAGAGTTTGATTACATGATTAGAGTAATCGATCGCATTGATCCATCCTACAAGGACTGAGAACTGTTTGTTTCAAACCAAGTTCTTGGAACCTCCAATGTACATGTGTATCTCAAATCTCCTATCAGATCACCTACTTCACGACCACCAACAAGACCATCAATCAATCAATCAATTGGAACCAAAATAACCCAAATCAATGTTGTTGATGGCACCCTCAAAGTATACATGTAATCAATTTAAATTATTGGCCGCAGTGATCATCATTAAATGTGGTTGGTGATCTTGGCATTGACAACAACCAAAAGATCTTGTTCTTTGCGCACCACAGAATAATAATTCAAAGGATATTTCCTGATTAATTTTAATTATTTTGGAATGTGGGTGGGATTGGTCCAACTCGAGGTGATTCGTCCAAGGACCCTTCTCCGATCACTTTTGATTCGTGACGCCAAGTATCACTTTTATCAATCAATCATACACACTTAAACACACAATCAAGAGTAACTCATAACAAGTAGTATAGAACAGGAAGGACTGATTGAGCACATATCAATGTCGTCGTCCAACATCAACCTACTCTCAAAGGATGAGAGAGAGTTAGAGGACTCTTCATATGTCTATAATCCAATACATGACAATCACATCATCAATAACAACAAGGACATTGGCGGAAGTAACAGTGGCAGTGGTAGCAGTAGTAACTACAACAACAATAACAACAATAATAATAACAATGGTGGTACAGGCGTCAACATTGCCACCAACAACAACAACACATCAAAACGTGTATCACTATTCCAAACTGTACCCGATCAGCCAATGACCTATGAGGACCTTGGCATCCCTGCAGGTACCAATGCGCTCGAGGCCAAACACATGATCCAGAATCACATGTTTGGTTTCCGTCCATTCAAGAGCAAGATCTCCAAGAAGAGGCTTGAGGATCGTTCGCCTGAAGTCCGTCGTCTCTACACCGAGAACCCAGTCATTGAACAAGGTGTAAACTCCATTGGCAACTATGTCTACACCATCTTCTTTGGAGTCATACTCTATCTCGTCTACGCTCTTGTTAGTATATTACTATTGTATGTATATGTATATCTTCAACGATGAGTCCATCATCCATTGGACGAGCCAATCCCTAACAACATCATACATCATACTACATACAGTATTACATATTTCGGTGTACCATATGCCAAGATCACTTGGACTTTGAAAGACTTTGTATTGTGGCCCTTTGGAAGATATCTTCAAAAGACTTTGTACTCTAGCCGTCTGAACAACGACAGTGAAAAGCAGCCACTCAAGGCCAAGCCATCACACTCCCCACCTCCCTCCATATCATTGAAGATTGGCGCCGTCCTCTTCTACATCATTGCTGCACCAATCATCATCATCTTTGAAGGCTTTGCCATGATGATGTCTTGGTTCGTTGTTGTTATGATACCAACCTCCAAAGTATGTCGATCCATCGATCATTCATTCACTCAATCCATTCATACTAACAAACCTACCTACCTCATTCATAGATGCACTTGAGAATATTGAAGAACCTCTTAAGTGATCCACTTAGCTTGAGGGTGGAACAACACATCCCACGCACAGACTGCATCATCCTTGCCTATCCAGTCGAAGCCATCAACTTCCAATACTACAAGTTCAGTATCAATGGAATGAATGTCTGTTTGGTCAGTAAGTACATCATCATTCATTCAATCAATCAATGATCAATGTGTATCTAACAATCAATCAATGAAACATGTCTAGACCTTCTTCCATTCGTTGTTCTGTCACTTATCTTTGGATTCTTCTTGGAGCATCACATTCATCCACTGGTAATCTTCCTTTGCTGTGTACTGTCTACAGTCCCTCTGTCCTATTACAACTGCAAGGCCATTGCCACACTGTCTGCGCAAACCAGTTTTGCAGTTGGTGCACTTATCAATGCAAGCTTTGGATCAATCATCGAGCTCATTCTCTACGTGGTGTCACTCAGCAATGGACAGGTGGAGGTTGCGCGCTCAGCCGTCACTGGCTCATTGCTTGGCGCCATGCTTCTCGTGCCCGGCTTGGCAATGGTCGTTGGAGGCATCAAGCACAAGGAGCAGCGATTCAATCACACAGTGATGGGTGTCAACACTGTTTTGCTGATGGTGGCCATTGTCGGCATCTTTGCGCCAACCATCCTCTACAAGACCTACGGCAACTATCAACTAAACTGCAGCCAGTGCTCAGACATCGTTGGCAACGTCACGTGTAGTGTGTGCGAGTACGTCCAGAACGACATCCAGGACGATCCCGTATGGACCCAGAAGGCACGTGCTGTCCAATATGCCGTGTCCGCTGTGCTGCCCATCGCCTACTTCATCGGACTGCTGTTCACATTGAAGACCCACACTCATATCTTGCACGTCGACGAGAAGAAGGGCGAGGCTGGCGGCAGTTCGCACGGCCACTCACACGGTGGCGACGCAGAGTCTGAAGGCGAGTCCGAATGGTCTAGATCACAGTGCATCGTCATTCTCTGTGTATGCACAACAATGTTTGCGTTGATCAGTGAGAAGCTTGTGGACACGATCGATCCTGTCGTCACGACATTCCATCTTACACCCGAGTTCCTCGGCATCACCATTCTTGGCATTGTTCCCACCGCTGCCGAGTATCTCAATGCCGTTCAGTTTGCCCTGCACAACAACATGCCTCTCGCGCTTGAGATTGGTGCCTGTGGATCAGTCCAAATCACTCTCTTCCAAATTCCAGTCCTTGTATTCATATCGGCAATCATGAGCCAATTGTAAGTGTCGCATCCCTCCTCCCTTCCTCCCGCCAAGTGCACGGATTCCTCAACTGACATTCATTCCTCTCATCAATATATACTTATAGTACTGGACATGGATCATTCAATCTAATATTCCCCATCATTGACTTCTATGCAGTGTTCCTTGGAGCAGTGATTATGAACCTGGTGTTCGCCAATGGAAAGACAAACTATTTCATTGGATCGACACTTTGTATTGTATATCTAATCATTGTCTTTGTATTCTTCTTTACTCCATCATAAAACTCTCAGCAGTAGTGTTGTCTGGCTGACTACACTTCTGTTGCTGGCTGTTAGGCATAAGCCGGCATCTTCATATATGTTACTTCAAACATTCACAAGAGGTGATTGGAGGTTGTTATTATTACTTCATACATCGTCCAATATAATATTTGATAGAGTTGATCATAGTTGAGGATAATGAGGCAACATGAAGACTGATGCTATCCTTCCTTTAAAATTGAATCTGGTTTCTTTTCAATGACAAAAGCGACAATAAGTAGTTGGTTGATCAAAAGACATCTTCCATTGATGTGATGTTCCCATAGGATGCTCTATTCTTATATGGGTAGTTAGTGGGAAGCAACAAAGGCGATGACGTCATTGTTCAGACTGAATGGAAGTGTCGTGTTGAATGATTCCAAAGTCTCCAAGTCAACTCGCTCATAGTAGAGTCCTGCACCATATCCAAGCATGATGACATAACCATTCACGTCATAAGTGAATGGAGGGCAGCTGTCAAGGTCTGGGAACGCTAGGAGAGAACTCACATAGACCTCTGTGATGGTCAACTGTTCAAGATCAGCTTTAAGAATCGAGTAGGCATAATCATTGTTGCGAGCTGCTCCAAAGTAAGGTGTGTTGTTATAGGTGAACATTGCCCAAACTCCATCCTGGAAGCCATTCAGATAACTGACTGGGATGTCAAAGAACTCCACTGTCCTCTCAGATGGTGAGAACTTCATGATTCGATTCATCGACATGTTGGATCTGAACTGTGCCATTCCAAACAGGCATCCATCATCTGTCAGTCCTTGACCCATGATGAACTCAGTGGCAAATGATGGCAACCAGAATGTGTTCCTGAGTGAGTGGCGATTGAGTGAGATTGGTTAGATTGATGAATGATCATGTGGATGGGCTCACGTACGTCATGTTTCGTTTGTAATCATATTGATAGATGATTGGATTGTTCTCGAGCATGAAGAAGTAACCCAGTGCTGGAAGATAGGCCACATTGCCAACTGGTTCATAGAATAGTTCCCACGGTGTAGGTCGGGTACACTTCGGCAGTGGATGGAAGCAGTGTTGCCGAGTTGGTCTGAACGTCAGTGATTGAACGAGTGAGAGGGTGGAAGGTTAGTCAATGAGCTTAGATAGAGTTGAGAATATAATATACATGCACTTGGGTCATAACCATAGAGATCTCCAAGGGTTGTGAGGAAGCAGGCCTCATCTTGTTGGTTGATGAACATTGAAGTGAGGTTGTTGCATGTGTTGAAAGTGTCGTTGTTGATGTAATTATGGTGAATCACTTTGCCGGTACTGACATTGTATGAGACGAATTGGTTGTCGCAAGTGAGTATGCTCAAGAATGTCGGAACGGGTCTGGATGATCGTTGAGAAGCACTTGAGGCCTGGTCGTGACTTGGTTCAATTGTGAATGCCTGATCGATATCGAGATCGTCAGATGACAGTTGAGTCGTGCAGATTGTTCCTGTCATGTTCATGCCAGTGGATTGGAGAGTGATAAACATGATCTCGGCGACGCCATCAGCTGGGACATCAAAGACAACGTCATAATAATGAACCTCTGTTTCAAAGGCCGTGCCAACGATTGAATAGAATGAGTTGAGCATCGAGTAGCCAAACATCACAGTCCATTGGTTGATGCCATAGGGAACGGGAACGTTGACGAAAGACAGCGAGGCGGCCTTGATCGTGTAAGGTGCTGTGAGATTGGTCACGCTGATCACTTGGATGGTATTCAATGGAAAGGTGGGTGTGTCGATGGAGAAGCACTCTGTGACACCGTCCTCCTGTTGATGTGCTTGAACCTGTCCATAATCGTGTTGTTGCACCAAAGGTCCAACAAAAATGACAACGATCAAAGCAAAGCTGAACCTCTGTTGCAATGTTGTTGATGATGATAAGTACATTCGCGATGATGTATTAATACAAATAATAGGAATAACGTTGATGATGAATGATACATTATGGTCCAAGTAATATATTTGATCAGAGTTGAAGATAATGAGGCAACTTGAAGTCGGCTTGCTTTAATTTTGTAAGTCCTAAGAAACCTACAATGACAAATCCAGGAAACCTTGGAAGACAAATGCGACAATGGTGCCCTTTCCAGTGGTTGACCAACTTGATGTATTGAAGGAGATTCAATCGAGTGACATCCTGTCGCTTTGCTCGAACGAACCAGTCAAGCCAAGCTAATATATGTGCGTCGAACAAGTTGATTGGAATCTATATGGATACGATGTTATGTCCGAAGTCCTCAATCAATCAGTCAGTCAGTCAGTCGTTCAATCAATCAAATATTCAATTGACATGTTTGCATACTTGTATACCCAATAAGGTTTGCCGATGGTTGGATGGGTGGACACTCCGCACGTCACATGTCATTCATGGCCCACAGGTGTATTGCGATAATAATTACCTCTTCCTCTGTCAACTTCTCTTTCCACTCCACGGACTTGTGTGAAGGTGACAATCAGGTCATTAAATTACAAGTGTTCCCATCAAAACTACTTCCCTTTTGAAGTGTTTTGCCCAGGAATGCACCAATCTATGGGTTAATAAAAATCAAAAAGTAATAAATGTCGACAAAAAGTGAGTGTCACAAACTTTCTTGATTCACACACAAAGAACCCACAATCTCACTAACCCCAGAACAACCCACACAGTAGTCATCTCACATTCCCACGCTCACTCACACATACAAATAATTCTATCTCTTCCGCGTGTGTGTGTCCTAACTCAACTGCTCACCAACTCACTCATTAACTCTCACACCACTCATTCAATTCAATTCTCTCTCTGTCATCCAACAACTATTAATTATTCACTTCACTCACTTCACTCACTTCACTCACCTCCACTATTCCACATCATCTTATGTTCGTTGTTGTTGGTAGTTGTTGTTGAGTTATCAATAACAAACGTTCATTTCATGTTGTTTACCTACTACTACAAGTGAAGCATCACCAGGCAACACTGAAGAAGTAGAGAATAATAAGTTTAAGAAGAAGAAAGAAGAAGAAAGAAGAATCGTGTCAGACAAGACCGAGATAGTTAGATAGATAAATAGACAAAAGAAATAGTTACATAGATAGATAGAATGTTCACAACATCCAAATTCACACAAGACCAACACCAACACCAACACCAGCATCAGTCGTGTTCGTCAGGTGCTCAATCAACACCAACGGCCTTGATGTATCAGGTACAGAAGCAGCCACAGTTGGACAAACAACCACAGATTGTACCATCGTTGGAAATACAGCAACCTCAGTTGGACAGACAGCAACAGCAGTACGTGTTGCAGGCGAAGCAGAAGCAACAGAGAATGCAACAGGCACAGTTGAAGTCACTCGCTCAGTTGAGCAGCAGTCAGCCCCCACTTCACCATCATCATGGTCAATCCAATCAGCAGCAGCAACAACTACAAAGATCTTTGCCAAGTGCTGCAGCGGCCGTAGCCGCTGAGAAGAAGAAGAATATATTCGATATATACAAGAGTAGCAAGCAGAAGATTATGATATCATTCTATAATATTTATCGAAACTGTTTGTGTCAATCATCATCATCATCATCATCGTCATCTCAGTCACGACATCACCCTCTCCTGACACCAATCAATCAATCAATCAACTACTACCTCTAGATCCCTCAAGTCCACCCTCTTTCACAAGCTCACCTCTATGGATGATGGGTCAATGTTACAGCTCCCCAAGCCCTGTGCCTCCTTTGCAATCTCGCACTCCTCAGCCACACATTAGTAACACTGATCATCAGCAGCAGCAACAACAACAACAGCAACAGCTACCAGCCTGGCTAAGTACATTCTTCCAACCATCCAACAATAATCAGGCACAGCACAACCAGCAACAGCAGCAGCAGCAGCAACAACAACATCAGTACAAGTGTAATAATAGCAACAACAACAACAATAATAACAACAGTCATCAACTCACAACTACTTTTACATCAAAGGATGATGTTGATCGATTTGTCGCCGACTTTAAGTCGATACTATGGATAAGTTATCGAAAGGACTTCCTACCCTTTGCCAACACGACCATCACCACCGACATTGGCTGGGGTTGCATGGTCCGTACCGGTCAGATGCTGCTGGCTAGGGCATTGCTCAAGTACTTTTACAAGAATGGTATGATCATTCATTCAATCAATCGATCAAAGTATACTTACTAACGCTTGCTAAAGAGAGGATACCTGATGTGGACAAGAATCGACAACATACCAACTATAGGAGAGTCATGACGTGGTTCTATGACAGCCCTTCGAAGGAGTCGCAATACTCTATTCATCAAATTGTAAATAAGAACAAACTCATCATAAAGTACCACAACAGCAAGCTGAAAGACTTTGACATCGAGTCCGACGACGACTGGAAGAACATCGAGGAATGGTTCTCGCCCACAAAGATTGCCATCGTCCTCAGACATCTGGTCAAGTCACACAGCGCCATCAAGCGAGACGTAACAATGTACGTGCCATCTGATGGCGTGGTGTACAAGGATCACGTTCGAAAGCTATGCACTGCCACCGCCAGCCACAGCAACAACAATTCATATGTCGATACGAGCAGTGTGATCAGTAGCTCATTCATTACGAGTGCTGGCGACTGGAGTGGCATCAGTGGCGCAGACTCTGAGTTTGCCATGGACACTGGCAGCCAGCACCTATCGTCACAGGCCATCCCTCATCCGGTCTTGGCCAGCACGATCGCCAGTCCCTCATCGATCAAGTCGAACAGCAGCAGTCTGAGCGGCGACGAGTCATCGCACATTGGCAATCATGGCAACCCGGCGCCCTTTAAGGACCCGCTGACGTGCCCCGACGAATTTGAGCCACCACGCTGGAAGTCCATCATCATACTCATCCCCATCAAGCTGGGCGTCGAGAAGCTCAATGAAGTCTACTTCCAAGAGATCAAGGCAATGCTAGAGATACCTCAGAGCATTGGAATCATTGGTGGCAAGCCCAAACAATCATTCTATTTCGTTGGTCATCAAGACGACAGTCTATTCTACCTCGATCCTCACTTTGTTCATGACACTGTCAATCCCAATGACATTACCTTTGCTGATGTATGTGTATCATATCCTTAAAGTCCTATCCCAATCCAGCCAGCCATCTAACCAATCAATCAATCAATCATTACAGACCTATCACTGTTGTATACCTCAGAAGATGTCGATATCTCAGTTAGATCCATCGATGGCCATTGGATTCTTTTGTCGAACAGAAGCTGACTTTGAAGATTTCTGCAAGAGGATACGCGATGTCGAGAAGAGTGGCTTCCCGATCGTGTCGATCGGTGACACCAGTCCAGACTACCAGGTGGAGAGCGATGATGTCGATCTCAACGACTTTGAGGAGGAGTTGGAGCACTCGTTCATCAACAACCTTCACGACCAAATGTCAGAGTTTGTCGGCGGTGGCAGCAGCAATGTAGTCAGTGGTGGTGCCAACAACAACAGCAACAGCAACAGCAGTAGTAACAATACGACAGATGATGAAGATGGCATAGATGGATTCACAGTTGTCAACTGATTTCGATCACGCAGTAAACTACTACACTCACCTCAAGAAGGGACTTTGTTTAGTTAACCATGTCCTGCCTAATATTGCATTGGATAGAGATCGAATGAATGAATGACTGGATGAATGTATGTTTATGCTCTGTTGACAAACACTTCTTCGGGCAGTCTGACCAAGACGTCGATACCGGAAGTGATGTGAGATGGTGCCTTGACATTCCTTCCATTGGCAAAGTGCAACACATTGCTGTTGCTCAGATCACTGATTGACTGTACCTTCATCACAACCTCTGTTGGTCCCTTAAAGTCAAGTACCTTGTCATTGTAGTTGAGAAAGCTGTATTGGGAGTCCTCTGTAGAGTTGTGCAATATGTACGGCATGCGTGTGTTAGGGACTGGTGAAGATGATGACAGTTGACCAACTATATGTATAACATACTTGGGAGGTACTCAATGTAATGACTATAGATACCCAATTGCTTTGTATCCTTGACGACCAGTGGCTCAGCTTCCTCATCATCAGACTCTTTGAACACCAAGCCTTCCTTGGTCTTCTCAGCAAACGTGTAGTACAATCTCTCCAACTCTACTCCCTCCAATGTCTCTGCACTTCTAAACTTTACAGACATCTTTGTACCATCGATTGCATTCCTAAAGTCGGCCTACATATGATGTTGTGTCAATGTCCTGCATCCACAGCCTACATCATCATCTTCAACCTATACATACCAAGATGAAACCACCTCTCATTGCCACCTTTTGATGCTCGACCTTTGTAGTCTCCAACAGTTTACCCTTGTGCTCTATGAGTATACCTCTTTTCAGATCACCAGCATCCAACTCATAGAATCTCTTGCTGTATTGAAGTGTCTGGCAGGTTAGGTTGAGGTGAGTGAGTATGTAAGTATGATGGGCTGACTAATCGACAACAAACAACAACATACCTGTGTGAAGCATCTGTTGAACAGAGGTGTGCTTGTCAATGATCTAGTAATCAGTTTATTGGCAATGGTATTCATTGTATTAAAGTATATGTATATATGTTATGTATGTTTAATGTCGATGTTATCAAGCATGTGATCAGAAGTTAACGATAATGAAGTTCAAGATCAAAACATACAAAGCATTGATAAGTGTGAATGAATGAACGAGTGCTCGTCCGACACCATCCATCGATTACCCCCACACACTACCACCTTCACTCACGTGACGATACTGGATACAAACACCCTACTACGTACATACTTGATCACTTCACCTTCCATCCATCACATCCATCCACCATGTAGGTATCCCTGTGTCCATCAATCCATCTGTCTGAATCAGCTCATTCAATTTGGATACCCAATCAACTTCAACCTCTAACAATCATTCATTCATCAATCAATCAACTTTAAATCAATCAATATAATACAGATACACAATGTCAAAGAACATCCACGAGACCGAGCATTCAGAAGAAGAGGAGATTGAGGATCTCACCTCACCATGGGTTGTCACCTGTTACCAATCCGCTGCTGTCATTGCTAACCGTATGTGTGTTTCACGAATGAATGCATGCACAAGAAAGAATGAACCAATGAGTACTCATTCTTCCCAATCAATCAATCAATCAATCAAACAATCAAATGATGATATCCAGTCGCTTTGAAGCATGTCATTACCAAGTGTGTCGATGGCGCCAACATTTTGGATGTCTGCACTGCTGGAGATGATCTCATCACCACTGAGTTGTCAAAGACCTTCACCAAGCGTAAGGGACTTGAGAAGGGAATTGCCTTCCCAACTTCCATCTCTGTCAACAACTGCGTTGGTCACTTCTCCCCACTCAAGGGTGACACACGTACTCTCAAGACTAACGATGTTGTCAAGATGTAAGTGTCATCATCATCATTGTGATTGATCGATTGGTCCACAACAGTTCTCGATCAAACAGCAACAGCAACAACAACAGCGACATCAACAGCCAAACAACAGGGACTGAACAAACAGCTAATACATCACACCAAACCTCATAATAGCGACCTTGGAGCTCACATTGATGGTTACATTGCCCTTGGAGCTTATACACACATTGTTGGAACCACTCAACCAGTCACTGGAAAGGTTGCCGACGCCATCTGCGCCGCCTACTACGCATTGGAGTGTGCTCTCAGAATGATCAGACCAGGCAACAAGGCCTCGGACGTCACTGATGTCATTCAAAAGATCGCCGACACTTACCACGTCAGCGCCGTGCAGGGTATCCTGTCGCACGACCTCAAGCGCTTCGTTTTGGACGGTGAGAAGGTCATCTTCAACAAGATGCCCGTCGGCCAGAAGATCGAGAACGCAGAGTTTGCCGAGAATGAGGTGTACTGCATCGACATTGTCATCTCGACCGCCGAGGGCAAGGTTAAGGAGCTCAACGACCGCACCACCATCTTCAAGCGCGACGTCAACCAGAACTACATGGTCAAGCTGCAGTCGGCCAAGGACTTCATGAAGGAGGTCAACACCCGCTTCCCCTCCATGCCATTCAGCTTGCGTCAGGTGACTGACGAGAGAAAGGCCAAGCTCGCTCTGTCCGAGTGTCTTACTCACCGTCTGCTCAACGCCTTCCCAGTGCTCTACGAGAGGGATGGCGAGTTCGTCGTCCAGTTCAAGACCACCGTGTTGGTCCTCCCCTCTGGCAACCAGAAGCTCACCACCAACGACTTCCCACTTCCACACGTCTCATCTACCTTCTCGCTCGACGCCGCCATCAAGGAGCTGGCTGAGAAGCCACTCAAGGCTGCTAAGAAGGCCAAGGCACCAGCTGCTGCTGCCCCAGCCACCGACGCCATGGACACCAAGTAAATGCTTGTCAAAGTTTGTTATCTGAACCATTCATTCATTATCTTGTCTTGGTATTATAATACCCTATGTTACATAATATATTTGATTGATTGAGATTGAATGATTGGATGATTGATGGATGGAGTGTGATCATATGGGTCTATGATGATGATGACTTTGATCCATTATTGTCGTTGGGTCCATTGCCATTGTTGTCACTACTGTTGCTGTTGTTGCTGACAAAGACATCAGACTTGCAAACTGGACACATTCCTTTGATTATTAACCAATTATCTATACAATCGGAATGATAGTGATGTTGACAAGGCAGCGTCTTTAAACGCTCACCAACTTCGAATCCACTCAGACATATCGAGCATTCCACCGGTGCATCACCTGACTTTGTGGCACCATTCAACTCATCCAACTCCTTCTGTCCAACCAAATGATTCACTGGCAGCGACTCAATCTGTTCCTTCTTTGCTGCACCATAATTCTGATTGTTATCATCCAATGCCAGTAGCATCTCATAGTCTATGAACGCGCGATAGATAGTAAGGTAAGTATCATCAAACATTGATTCCATCATTCAATCAATCAATCAATCAATCATACCATTGGAGTTGAAGTCTCTGTCCATGAGAGTGAGTTGTAGACTCAGGGGTATGTTGAACATTTGTGTCAGACGTGATAGATGTTGTGGATGCCTAGAGGCATGCATTCGATGTGTTGTTGATGTGCTGCTGTTGGTGCTTGATCCCAACCATCCATGTTGATGTTGTTGTTGTCGTCCAGAGGAGGAGACACCGCCGACACCTCCGCCGCCAGAGTATAAAAAGAACAGTCCATTGCCACCAAGCTTATAATAACCAATAATACATAATAGTTGATAGATTAACATAACGGTGAATACCAATGTCATCATCCATATCCAATGTGTCAGTGTCATCTGTATCAAAGTCCATAGTATCGAGTAGACAATCGATGCCAATACTATCAATGCACTTAAATGATTGACTATAAATTCTAATGTATTCTTGATGTTTGAAAGTAGGTTGTTATTGTTGTTATTGTTATTGATGTTGTTGTTGGTGACATTGTTGGTGTTGTTGTTGTTGGTGATGTTGTTGGTGTTGTCAGAGTTGTTGATGATGTTGTTGTTGTTGATGTTGGTATTACCCTGGTCAGGGACATGTTCCACTTCAGCTGTTGACATGTTGTTTATATTAATTAAACTAGATTGATGATAGAATTATTATTATATATGTACATTAATGATTACAATACTATACTGATCGTTTGATGATAGATATATAAATACACTCATATGATCAAACACATAGATAGATAGATAGATACACACTTCGATCGATGGTCAGTCAGTCATGTAATGTAATATTCATTCACACAACCAACAGTGTTAGCTTTGTTTGTTTGTTGTAATTCAGCATAAACACCACAATCAATCGAATTACGTTTCATTGTGTTGGTTGACCCATCTTATTATTAATCTGGACACAAGATCAGGATAAAGATCTTTAATGAGGATGAATCCTTTAAACATTGTTTATCTATCATCGATCTTTGTTGATGTACTACTATAACTTTATTTTTTTCAATGTTGACTCTGCCAATTGAAAGATAAGATGGTTAAACATTAACTGCCAATCCACACTCATTCGTATCATTACCCAAAACTACAACTTACAACTGTTTGTATTAGTCAAATGATTGATTATAGGCACAGGCAATAATAAAGATGTTTGTGTGTATCCATGAACCTTGTTGGTCATGTTGGAAACCACCACTTTGAAGAGGGGTTCGAATTGTGATTTGAGTGAACTTGCTAATCAAGTTTCATTCACAATCAACTAGTTTCATTCATTCATTCATTTTAGTTATTACTTATTACTAACAGAGATATCAATCAATCAACATTAAACTAACTATCTACATAACATATGATGGAATCACAATCATTCGCTGGTGTTGAGGCAGGGTAAGTTTGTTTGATTGATTGAGTGAATGAGTGATGAGTGAATGAGGGAATGATGAGTGAGTTGTTACGAGATGGTCAACTGACATGAACGACATCAAACTATTGATATATTCAATAATAATTAGTGGAACGAGCTTCACTGTGGCTATTGCAACAGGTACACCTGGTAATATAGTGGATCGTGTATCAATCCCAACTACTACACCTGATGAGACAAGGGACAATGTGCTCGCATGGCTTAGACAGAAGAAGTTCTCGTCGTTGGGCGTTGCTTCATTCGGCCCAGTCGACTTGGACAGAGACAGCAGCACCTACGGATACATCACCACCACACCCAAGCCAGGCTGGGCCAACACCAACATCCTTGGCTGGTTCAACGAGTTCACCTGTCCCAAGGCATTTGACACTGATGTCAATGGTGCCGCCATCTCAGAGGCATTCCATGGTCAGCATGCACGTGGAAACATCACATCTTGCGCCTACATCACAGTGGGTACTGGTGTTGGTGTTGGTGTTGTAGTCAACTCACAGGCAGTGCATGGTCTCGTTCATCCAGAGGGTGGACATGTGTAGTAAGTAGACCAAGATTGGGCTGAGCTGGGCGGGATGGACTGGACTCTGTACTGACCCACTCAAACAACAACAGCACCAAGCTTCTTGACGACGACCACTTTGCAGGCACATGTCCATTCCATGGCAACTGCATTGAAGGACTTGTGAGCACTGGTGCCATCTCAAAGAGACTGGGAGTCACTGCCGACAAGCTTAACCTCATCCCAGACGATGACCCCGTGTGGAGAATCGTTGGTCACTACCTCGCTCAACTCTGCGCCAACCTCACATGCATCATCTCGCCACATGTAATCGTCCTCGGAGGTGGAGTATTGAACAGAGAGACACTCTATCCAATCGTTCGTGAAGAGACTCTCAAGATCCTAAATGGATACATCAAGTCTGACTATTTGACCAAGGGTAAGTTGTCCAGCCGGCTGGACATCATCAATATCAAAGACTAATGACTAATGACGCGATCCATCCCAACAGAGAACATTGACAAGTACATTGTAAAGTCGCCATACGGTGGTCAAGCAGGTATCGTTGGTGCCATTGAACTTGGCAAGAGAGCAAGCAACTAGTGTTGTTTTCAACTTGATGCTAGGTCCGCATGCAATGAGATTCGATGCTATGCGATGCGATGCGATGCGATGCAATGAATGAAATGGAAGGAAGGTGTACATAAACAGCCGCCACTCTATATTCTGTGATTGATTGATTGATTGGCTCATTGATCAGAGCAAGTTCTGACGCTCTGGTTGTGAATAGTGGAAGTCGATCTTCATCTTGAACTGATCAAACTCATAGTAGTAGCTCACAAAGTAGATGAACTGAGTGACAGCGCACAGTATCTCAAACAGTGCAGACATGTCTTGGTTGATAGCCGACGTGAAGAATTGGAGAATGAAGTCTGTTGTGTGGATATGCGTGTTGTCAATGAATGATTGATTCGCATCGCATGGTCATCAACAAACTGGCCCAGAGTGATACATACATGGAAGGAAGAAAAGTATACAAAGAGCGCATATGATGACACGGATGGTCATGACTCGACCGGGATTGGCGTGAACATTGAGGTCAAGGATGGTTTGTAGACAGATGTATACCATGCCACCAATGAAGTAGATGGAGGCAAAGACCATATGTGCCCAGGGTGCGTTCGAGTATTGGAATGAGACGACACCGGTCAGAGCGACTGAGAAGATGAGTCCAATGGCCAATGCTGCTCGATTATATCTTATCTTTCGTTGATCGGTCCAATAAGATTGCCATGATGTGACGTACGGGCAGTTGCTAATATTGAACCTTGTGATTGAGTACTTGACAAACACAATGAATATCATTACAAATGATGTTATCGCCAGTCCAAATGTACCAATGCAACTCTCTATGATTGTGGAGGCACGAGGGGAGGTGAGGTGAGGCGAGGTGAGTTAGTGATTGATTGATTGATTGATAGAGTGAGTGAGTGAGACAGAGCGCATACCTGGAGGGAGATTGATTGACTCTGAGATGTAGGGAATGCGTTGTTCTTGATGGCCATTGACACTGTTCAATGTGTAGGTGACGATCAAAGTGATGATGGGCACGATAGATATGAACACCAAAGGATATTTCAACTCCATCCTTTTACTCTGATTAGATAGGTATAGTGACACGTATAAAGGTAATCGGTATTATTTATATATAACACTTATTACTTCAACAACTTGTTTGAATGATTGATTCGACTTGTCGATTGAAATAATTGTGTGGGGTGATGAAAGTTCTGACGATCCTAAATCATTCATTGTTTGTTTATTTACCAACTTTGTTGTATCCAAATCTCATTGAATGGAATGAAAGTCTATCATCATTTGATAATTGATATCTATTTTGATGTTGTCTAATCACTTCTATACCGTTGACTTGATCAACCATTTTGAAATATATAGTACTTTGTTTATCATCATCTACTTCCAATCCTATTCTAATAATCTCAACCAAGGGAAATGCAATAGCTACTGATTCAACAATATAAGATTTTAGATTAAGTGGTCTTCTATGGTGATATTTAGGAATGGTAACTTTGATTGACAATGATTTGAGACGCCTTTTAGCTTGAGTTAAAGCCATGATTACCCCAAGAGGTATCTCCTTATGAACTACAAGGTGGAAACTGCTTGCATATGCTTCCTCTAATATCAAATAATGTTTCAAAGAGTATATCTTCAAATGTGTAAGTTTCTCAGAGAGTGAAAGGTCCTCGGTAAATTCTTTGGAGGGCTTTCCAAGTGTCAAACGTTTGAGTGATGATGGAAGCATACTTCCAATTAACGGTGTCTTGAAATGATCTGGTAGTACTAGTTCTGTCAAAGTATCTGGTAACTGATAGTCAAAGGTTGCGTGCTGTGATCCAATTCGTAAATATTCAATGGTAGAGGGTATCATATAAGTGATGTTTTCTTCAGAGTTTATGATTATTCTTCTCAAACCTTTGGGATATACTAAGTCTGGATCATCCATTTTAAGTGGGTAAACACAATCTACTCTCATTGTAGAAAGGGAGGTCGGTAACACTCCCGGTGGAATCTTTTGTTGATAATTATAACCAAGTTGAATGAATGTTATTGAGTTTGGAAGACTATCTGGTAGGAATACTTGATTAAATTTATCTCCAAAGATAACTAATTGAAGTGAAGTAGGTAATAACCCTGGTGGAATTACTATGTTATATTGTGGACAAAAAGTAAAAGATTCTAGAGATGAAGGAAATGCTCCAGGAATGAGTTTCAGATGATAATTTCCTAGGTCCAAAGAAGTGATTGAAGATGGAAGTAAGCCAGGTGTGATTGGATGTGAATACTCATCAAGGGTTAATTCAGTGAGGGTCTCAGGAATTGAATCAATCTCAATGGATTCACTGGGTAAACTAATAGATAACTCTTTAAGAGTATTGGGAAAGGTTCGACTATTGATTGGAAATTTGTAATAACCAAGGAGTGTTAAACTCTCGAGCTTTGATGGTAATATTTCTGCTTGTATCTCATTTTTATAGTTTCCAATGACTAGATTCTTAAGTGATTGAGGAAATATTCCTTTAAGGAAAGGAAAATTATAATCATAATGAAGTTTTAGATTTGTTAAATTATTTGGTAATGATCCAGGAACAATAAAATCATGTGGTACAACATATTCATCACAGCTATTGTTAATAATTAGAGAAATTAAAGATAGGGGCAGAGATCTAGGAATGATTTTCCTAACATAATTATTAAATGTCAACTTTAAAAGAGAGGAGGGAAGAGCTCCAACTAAAATATCTTGATTAAAATTGACTCCAAATGTGAGAGTTGTTATAGAATTTGGAAGATTGCCTTGTGTAATTACTTGATTGAAATCTGAACCAAATTTCAAAACTGTAAGAGATCTAGGGAGAGATATCAATGAATTGGGAGTAATGATTGATTCGCAGAGTTCTGAAGTGCATTTGTCTAATTTCTGGTTGAAGTCATCACCAAACTCTAATATGTCAAAGTAGAGGGAAATGATTTTGGTAATTCTTTATCTATCAGACTCATCTTTGAAATTGGAGGATAAAGTGAATTGATCTGTTCTATCTCCTCTTTGTTCAATAATGGTGTATTTATATTAAATAGTATGTTGAGCCTAACTTTGTTAATAATTTTGAATAGTCTTTTACATGTGAATAATAGAGAGATTATGTCCAATAGTCTATTATCGATATGTCGGATAACATAACAAATTAGAAGTGTTGACAAATTATTAATTGAGGTAGATGATGACGATGATGATAATGGTTCTGTTGCTTTCTTTGGGTTATAATCACCATAATCATATTCATTATCTTTATGATTAAGTTTGTACTCCATCTTTTCAATATCTCTTTATATCCACTCAGAGCAGAAAATGAAGTGAGAGGATATTTAAAAGATGTATATTCATTAATTCACTCACCAGATCTGGTGTATTTCTAATAAATCATTTATTGGTATTCCACTTTATTCGAATAAATCCCAATTTAATGAGAACAAAGATCCAGATAACAGATTGAATAAACCATTTAACCAAGATGTCTGGCCTAAGTTCGAAAATCTTGGTGCGCTCGATTGTTGAAACAATGGATTGTTGATCAACATCGTTTGTTTTGATCGTCTGAATATTATCGCGACATAACTTGATCACACGATGATTGGCCTTTTTATAACCAACTTGAAGTATTGAGCCAAGTGTATTCAATCGTAGTGGTACCGGCTGATTGGTGAATGTCGATGAGTTGAAGTGGTACTCCAATGAATTCCAGGCATTATATTTGGCGCACGATAGTAGAATCTCGAATGAAGGACTCCACTGTCCAATATTATCCATTTCTTTTTCAAATCGTTGTTGAATGAATTCTATAATCTCTGGTTTGTCCTCAATGATTGCTTGGTTAAGTATCCTCATCAATGCTGGGTCATAATCGTCATCACGATCAATTAGTTGCTCGGGAGTGAATAGGTTGAGCACATGCTCAAGCACTTCCAAATGGGGATTGGCCACGGCCCATTCACATATGGTGATGTCTTTTCGAACACTGTCCATATGATCTAGTAAGAATGTAATGTCTTCCAATGATTGGGTGCCTACAATAGTGAAGGCAGCCTCCTTGACAATATCTCTTTCGATATATGATCGATCAATGCGTTGGAATATCAATGACATTGTCTCGCGACATCCTTCTTTCATCGCTTTGATAGGAAGAGCATCGTCATTGTAGTCGGCACGAAAATTCTTTTGGAGGAGCTGCATTACTGACGCAGAGTAGCCGGCTGCCGACTTCATGGTGTCATTCAATTTTTTTGGTCGATGCACATTGTTGTTCACGATGAACTGGCATACAATGTCGGCGGTGATGTTGCTTCCTGGCTTGCCCACCGCCCTCACCATGTTGATCAGTGACTTATTATTATGATTGTATTCTACTCCTTTGAGAGGATTTGATATCAGTAATGCCATGGACTTTGTCATTGTTCTACATGTCTCTGCGTCCAAGTTATAGTTCTGTTTAATTGTTGCCGACTTGAATGATTCCAAGTCATTGTTACGAATGGCTGCCAATGGAGTGATGAGAAGTTTGGCTTGGTCCACATCCAATATGTCTAGGTCTTGGCCCATCACCAATAGGTCGCGTAGCAGTTCTTCGCAAATTCTGGTGATGTGACCATTTCCAACGTGATACTTGTAGAGGTGTTTGATGAATGATTCGTGACTACTGTCAGCTGCCTCATTGATCGTAGCTCTGATGTCCATCCGATCATTTTGATCCACCAGTCGTATATTGAATAGTGCATCAAACATAGCAATGTTGTCATTCTTGGCACACCTCCAGAGTAGCCAATAATAACTCATATCGTTGGGGTGGTCGTCGCTAGACAGAAGCTGCTGAAACTTTGGTGATGGCATGCTATCCAGTATATATTGAACACTGCCCAGCATGTTGCAATGGACCGAGCGTGATAGTATCGCTTTCCAAAGTTTGGTGAGAACAAACAGGCAGTTGAACTCTTCGTGAAGCACCTTGAGCATGTCAACACTGATGCCACCACGTCTCTTGAACTTGATGTCGTTGTCGTTGTCGTTGTCGGTGAGCAAACTGTTGGAATCCTCATTGATGGGGAGATGCTTGAGCAGCAAACGCACAAAGTCCAAATTGCCAGAGTCTACGGCCAGGGGAAGTACCGACACCATTCCCTTGGCAAACGACGAGTGGACCATGAGGTTGAGGCAGGACTGGAGTATGTGCACGTTGCCATGCTTGACGTAGCCAGGTGAGTCAGTACGCTCTATGGAATAGAATGTTCTTGGACGCTTGTTGATGAGATGATCGCATGCCTCTGTATTGTTCATATGTGATGCTGACATCAACAGTCTGTCGTTGATCGGGTAGCCTGATGAAACGCTGTCGAATCCTTTAATGAACATATCCGTGGCATTATATCTCAACATATCAAATAGGCTCATATTGATTAGTTCTGAGCCTTTGACCGCTGATTCTATACCACAAGGTATGTCATTGTTGTTAATGTCATACTCAAAGTATATATTTGATGATGATGATAGTGATGTTAACTTTATCCATCTCTTATGAATGTCGCTAACATATCGAAATATCGTATTAACCAACAAGTGATTATGGAACACTCTGTTGATACAACTAGTATCTCTTTGTTTCATATTTGTCTTGAAGATGAATGAATGAATGATTGACGCAATCTTTGACTCACTCACCTCATTCATTCATTCATTCTTTCTTTATTATTAATATTGATTGAGGAGGTCACATCCTACAGATGACATAGTAGTGAGGTATAGTAATGTCAACGATATGGTTAACATCGCTTGTGTTGAATGCAGTCAACAGTCGCTGTTTGATCTCTGGCAAAATATCAGAATTGCTCTGCAAGTACTTGTTGTATCCAGACCATGTACTATAAACTCCAAGTAACTGTGCAATGCTTACTTTACGCTATATTATCATTGTTGGTTGTTGTGATGTCAGTTAGCTGAGTAGTGTGTCGCCGGCGATGTTTACCGTAACATACCTCCAACAGTAATTCACCTCTAACGGTGTTTTCAAATGGTGGCACAATGTCAATGTACTTCCTATCGATGAGGTATCTGTTTGGTGCCCAGTATGGTGCAAGTATGTTGTCATACAACTATGTGAATGAATGAACGAATGAATGAACGAGTCAGTTAGTGAATGAATGAATGTAACCCATCTGCCGACAGAGGTGTAGCACTTACATCAATGTTGATAGCTTGAGCATCAGGGTTGGCAAACTGATTGATGTTGTAGGTGAAGAAGGCAAGTACACCATTGGGCTTAAGGAGACGTCTGCACTCTTCAAAGAACTTGGGCAAGTCGAACCAATGAATGGCAGTGGCAACCGTGATCAAGTCGACAGAGTGATCTTGTTGATGATCTATCTTCTCAGCGGGTGACGAACGATACTCTACGTTGGGGGCGGGCATTGCGTTGGCCAGCTGGCCCGGTGATGGATCGAATCCAATCACACGTTTGACCATTGATGCCAACTGAACGGTCCACTGACCACTTCCACATCCAATATCAAGTGCCAAATCCTTATCAGTATGTTCAATACTCTTCTTTATAATCTCGTACAACTCCTCTGGATAAGGTGGTCTGAATGTGCGGTACTTGTCTCCAACAACACCAAAGTGGTCCTTGAAGCCAACATCTACAATAGTAGGTGGATTGATAATAGGTGATGACATTGATTGATTGAGTATGTATCTGTACAACAAATAATAAGTGGATTATTAATGAATGAAGTCACTCAAGCACATATAAATATCTTGATCAAATGGGGCACACGGGTGCCCTGGTACTCAATCAACCAATCAATCTAACCCCATCAATTACCATTTATGGTATTTTGATCAACTAATTCGTCATGACGATCAAGTTCAATTCAATTTCAAATATATGACATATGTATTGTTTGTTGTTCAATACCGGCTATTTAGCTAGATAGAAGTGTTTGTTGGGGATATAACCTTGATGATGCTTGATGCTTCGATACAACCCGCTTGGACTCTTGGACGGAAGGAGGTAGCTATTGCAACAGGAAACGAACGGGTGGGCCTTTGACATCCTCACCATTGTCCGAAAACAGAACAAAGAGATCAATATACTTCTTGCCTTCAAGATCCTCCAACAACTGTTTCAATCTAGATTATATATATATAAAATGATGGGGCAAGCAACAGACAGTTCCTGATCAGTACATTGATGGTGACGATCGTCGGTCGTTGTGTCACAAGGTGACATGTGATGTTGGTCATCAACTTACGGAATAGATAGTCTTCTTCGATGGAATGGAAGTGCAGCCATGAACACCAATGCAGAGTTCTGATATATTCCTGATACCTTCAATCCATACTTGTCGTTGAAGCTATAAAGTTGATGGATGGACGTATGGATGGACGTAAGAAGGTTAGATAGGGCATGATCATGAGTCGCCAGACCATTCAATCAATCACATACAATTGGATAAACTCCTCAACGGTAATGTTGCTGTTTTCAATCTCCCATTTGTCCCAGAGTGTGCAGGAGACGGTGTTGGTCACCTTGATCTTGGGCGCGGCACCTGGCTCACAGAGTGAGAAGTATGGTAGCGCCAGGTTGAGGAAGCAGTTCTTGTAGGGCTCCAGACCAGCATGCTTGCATAGGACCTTGATCATTTCGAGCGACACTAGACCAGAGACTACACTTGTGGTTGTAGCGATTGCCGGTATGATCTTGCCGGCGATCAGCTTCACCTTGAACCTGTCGACCTCGGTGATCGTGTAGACGCGGGCTCTCATGTTGGACGCTGCCGTGATGAAGTCGATGTGATGGTTGCGATCGTCGTCCTTCTCAAAGTCCTGTGGCGCCAGCGACATTGACTTGGTCCAGTGCTCCGACGCCTTGAGTGTCTTGAGCTTCTGTTCCAGCGACTTGGTGAGCTCGATGAATTGCTCGTAGGAGAATGTCTCGACGGGTGCCTGTGCCTTCTCGTCCGATATGATCACCTTGTTCTTTGGCTTGAATGGTGGGAGTGTGACGCCATTAACAAACTCATACACGAGCTTGTCCGCGTTCTCTGGCACCTGAATGCCAAAGATGTTTGCCCAAAGATAAGCAGCCTGCTTTACAAAGTTGATATGTCCATCATCATCCCTACTGAACTGTTGTGTTGTAGGTGGTCTCTTTGGAAGAGTCCAGAATGGTACTATGTGTTGGGATGGCGAGGGAGAGGGTGAGTAAGGGGTCCATGGTCCCAGAGTACATGAGCTACATACCTCCTTCCTTAGTCTTGAGATCCAGTGGATATGATCGCAAGAGATGCAGGACATTGTGATTGTACAGCTTCTCAAACTTGGTCCTGGCAAAGGTGATGCAGTCTTCGAATCGATGTGGGAACACCTCCAACAGCTTGGAGAGTGAGCGACAGAGGGCGATCTTGTTGTTGGTCTGTGAGTTTAGCAGCTTCTCAATGTAGTCATCCTCGGTGATGAACTTGTCAAGCTCGGCAGGGTTGATGCAGAACAGCTTCTCAAACTTGTCTCGCGACCATTGTATACAGTGATCAATGTTGGATGGGAATGACTTGAGTGTGCAGAATGGCGTCTGTTTCTCGTTGGGGTCCTTCTGGGACGAGTAGGATTCGGTGAGGTTTGGTAGAATGACTTGGACGTGGCCCTTGGTGCCTAGTGTGCCAGACTCGAGCAATGGTCTTTTGTTGGCCACGCACTTTGAGTCGACATAGACACGAGCTTCCACATTGTCCAATGCACTAACTACCAAGTCCAATCCTTGATAAAACTCAATAGTATATATGTTCTCAGAGTTTGGCTCCACCTTGTTCTGATGAGCATCAATATTGATTCTCTCATTCATTGCTCTTGCTGCATTGGCTGCGGTCTTTGACTTGGGGCTCTGGTGATGGGGTGGGATTAGTCCATGTCCAATCAATCATCGATCAATCAAAAACATACATTGATATCCTTGTTTCTAAATAGGAACTGCCTGTTGAGGTTCGACTTCTCAATGAGGTCATTGTCAGTGATGGTGATCAATCCATTGTTGCCACAGCCAACACTAAGCAGGGCGTAGTTCTTGATCATCTCGCATCCAATTGCACCAGAGCCAACCATGAATAGCTTTGACTGCTCGAGCGTACGACATGCATTGTGACCCAGTGCCACGATCTGTGCAGCCAGACGCTTTGAGTTCAGACCATCCAGTGTGGCGGCCCAATTGCCAGCGGCGCTGGTCGCTCTCTCCTCCTCTGTCTTGTCATACAGCTCCAGTGCATCAATGTACAACCACTGTCTCAGTGGCGTGAACTTTCCAGTCAATGACTTCAATGCTTCCTGAGCAGTGAATCCTCCAAGTATCGCCGATATCGGACATATATTGCCACGTGATGTAAAGCATAGCTTCCTCATGATGCCCTCATCAATCGATGTGACAAACTAATGTGATGTGACCGATCGAGTTAGTATGAGTGAGTGAGTGATTGATTGAACACATTACCTTGTATTGCTCGTTGACTGCGTTGACTATGGTAACAAGCTGTTGCCAGTCATCAGTGTTGTAGGGTCGTGGATATGATCCATTCTTTTCCTTGAATGTGCCAAGTGCTTGTCTTCCAAGATGTAGCATGGTTGGGTCCTTCATCAAGTCAAACTCTAGGAACGCCGGTGATCCAATCGATTGTCTAAGTGGTTTCTGTGATGTATAGGCAATAAGGGTCAGTAACCTAAGCACATCTCCAGTCATCCTCTCTCTCTCCCTCTCGAAACAACATACGAATGATAATGATGTAGGAGCCTTGACATCAGAGACGATGCCACCTCGAGTATATGTTTGATAGGATGATGTGTCGCAGTCGATGGAGAAGCTGTTTGGATTGATGACGGTGACTTTGTATGTTTGACCGTTGAGTTCATCCATGCCCTCGACTTCACGGAAGCGTATGTGATCGTCGTTCTCCAGACCGTGGATGTGTCCCTCCATGCAGGACACGGTGGCTGGATTGCCATTGGTGATGCTGGCCACGAATGTCTCTTTGATCTCCTCGCCATTCTTGTCATAGACGATGAAGTCATCGCCAAAGTCTGCAAAGACCCAGCCAAACAGGCCGGCGCTGCTGGCGACCAAGAAGTGAATGCCATTGACGTGACAATAGTCGTTGATGGCCAGCTGATGCTCCAGACTGCAACAGTCGGTGAGTATGACGCACTTGAATGGTTTGAGGGATGTGAGGTCGGCGACAATGTCTTGGAATGGTGTTGTGATCGCCGACACCTTGACGTAGGGATTGAGCTCGGCCAGACGAGGCAGTGTCACCGACGCTCGATTGCGACCGATATCGGCGGCGTCGATATAGAACTGTGTGGCGAGATCGTCTTCCGAGGCGAGGGAGACATCGTGGATGGTGATCTCCTTGACACCGGCCAATATAATGTTCTTGGCAGTCTCTACACCTACACCGCCCATGCCACTGATCAATACATTTGCTCCACTCTTTGCCAGACGTGACATTGCAAAGTCACCCAACACATATCTCTGTCTACTATACAATGAATCATCCAAAGTATAGTCTCTAAATGTCATCACATCATTTGTACTATCTGAATTGGTCATGTCAACGTCCATTCTATGTATGTATGTATCAATATCAATCAGCTTGTATATCTGCGTTTGAATATGATTGATTGTATCTATATGTATGTTTGTACAGTTTGTTTGTAATATATATATAAATAGTTATTGTTGTATTGTTTAATAAATGAAATGAGGCCAATCTTTGGTTCAAAGTTGGTTACTGATTGATTGATTGATTGATGCCCCTCACGCACACACTTCAAGGGAAATAATTCAGAGAATTGATTGAAAGTGTGACAATCACACATTGTTTGTTTTATGGTTGTCAATCAATGTTTGGTAGTTGTTGCAATCACTTTAATGCAACTCGAACCACCGGACCAGTCTTTAGACATTGATTACAGGTCGAACTAATCAGTCAACACCTTAACAATTAGATCGATTCACACACATGAATAACTGACTTTGGATTCATCCTATATTAGTATGTAAATCAGGAACATCCTGATCATTACTCTAGAAAGAGGAATAGTGAGAGAGATCAATGGTCAGATATATATATAGATAGGTTTACCATACCATATCAAATGAATGAATGGATAATGTTTATGATCACCTTAAGGTTGGATGTGATTGATGTGATGGGTGTGTTTGTGTTTCTGCAAGGATGGAACGACACAACGATTGGTCCAGGCCACCCTCTTTAGGGTTTGGCCCCTTACATGTAGTTTAAAAGTCTGTTGTGACTAGATACAAGACAGCCCCAATGACTTGTTATAGTCATCCATCATCATCATCATCACTTTATCAAGTGATTGATTCATTCAATGTCCCCTGTCACTATTTCATATCACTCATATCATTCAAACAAACATTTATAACTAAATAATATATACATATATACATAGCATAATGATGGATATCACTCAATGTAATGATACATTCAACTCTACAGAATTTGACACTGATGTCAAGGCAAGAGCCAAGGCGTTGCAATACTTGGAACAACATAATGAGATAAAGACACTTCGAGTGTTGTGGGTCGATGTGTCAAACATCATTCGTTGCAAGGCTGTTAGGACCACATGGCTGTTGCAACACAAGTCTTCGTTCAACTACGTCTGTGTGACCAATGCCTGTATGTCCTTGCGTCCCTTTGACGACACCATCATCAACGAAGCACTGCCCAATCGCGACTTTGGCGAAGCCTACCTGGTGCCCGAGTGGGACACCTTCTACGTCACCTCGTACAGTCCGTCGTCGGCCACGGTGTTTGGTGGCTTCTTCCACAAATCACCAACGACTGGTATGATCGAGCGATGGCCCCTGTGTCCAAGGAACGCTCTTATCCAAGCCGAGAAGCAGCTGGCAATGACGCGCAGCAACTCTGATGTGCCAGGCCTGCTGCTCAAGGGTGCCTTTGAGGAGGAGTTCTACCTCATCCCTCAGTCGCTAGAGGTCAACAAGCAGCTGATGGTCAACCCCGACCCCTACACATTCACCAACGTCTACTCGCTCAATGAGTACACACCGATACTCGACGAGATTCTCGATCATCTGGAGCGCCATGGGGTGCCCGTCGAGCAGGTTATGGCCGAGTCGGGTCCCGCACAGTTCGAGATCACATGGGACTACTGCAACATCAAGCAGGCATGCGATCGCCACATTATTGTTCGCCAGACAGTCCACGCCATTGCTCAGAAGCACGGACTGTACGCCTCGTTCCTGCCCAAGCCCTACCTGCACAAGGTGGGCACAGGTTGCCATGCCCATCTCTCGCTCTGGACGCTGGACGGCGCCACCAACATTGTGCCGGACGCATCCGAACCAACAGGTGTGTCGCCACTGGGCCAGCGCGCAATAGCTGGAGTATTGTCGATGGCCAAGGAGCTGACATCACTATTCAACGCATGTCCCCTGTCCTACCGCAGACTACAGCCAAACTGTTGGAGTGGATGTAATATCATCTGGGGACTGGATAATAAGGAGGCGATGGTACGCATTGCATCGTCACCATTCATGTCCAAGACTGGCAACAGTAACTTTGAAATCAAGACCATTGATCATACGGCCAATCCATATCTGGCGATGGCCGGTGCCATATACGCAGTCATCCACGGTCTGGACAACAGTAACATTGTCATACCACCTCCAACGTCTGCCAACCCAGCAGTGATGTCATTTGAAGAGGTGTCCAAGATGGCATTAGAGAAACTACCAACCAATCTAGAGAAGGCACTTGACCTACTAAACAACAATCAATATCTTCAATCAAGTCTCGGTACACAATTGGTCAATGCGTTCATTCAAGTTAAGGTATGTATCATTCGTACATTCATTCATTCATGTCATTGACTGATACTAATACTTACTACATCCTATCAATCATTCAATAATAGCGAGCTGAAGTTGCTTTTATGAAGGACAAGGATATCAATGCTGCAGTGATGATCTATTACAAACTGTTCTAAGAGTACATTAAATCAATCAATCAATCTATCAATCAATGTGACATGATTATCTTCTTTCATTCCATATTGATATTGCATTTAGTGTTATTCGTTTTAATCACTATTATAGACAACTATGATGTAATGCGAATGAATGAATGAATGGGCACTCTGTGTTCTTGTTCCCAATGATCTAAGTCGTGTAAACATTTCCAAATTTTCAAGGATTGTCTGCTCATCTTGGGGTTGTGCAGATTATTGCAAACGACTCCACCACGTCAATAAATATCAAGGTGTTGTTATGTAGAATTGAATCATTCAATCTAACACACAATAGTTATTCATACATATAATATAACATTACATTACACATACATACATATATTTAAAGAATGACTTGTAGCAATCAAGGTGTAAATGAAGAGTCTGTTACATCAATAGACCAACTAGTACAACAACATATAGATCAAACAACAACAACAACAACATCATCAGTATCCACTATTACAACTCAACAACAACAACAACAACAAGAACAACAAGATATTGTATCATTAGTAAAGGATGAAGAACAAAAACAACAGTTATTGCAGATGCAAGTCTCTGGACTGGGAATAGATGAACAGGATGATTATGAGAGTGATTGTAATATATTGTCGACGAAAGAGCAGAGACAGGAACAAGTGGCTCAGTATGCATTGCAGGAGCAACAACAAGAACAACAACAGAGGTTGCAACGCACTTGGTTTCAATCTATCAAGTCATCAGTGAGCAGCTTCAACACCAAGGTCAAGCACATGTTCATCGCCCCCGAGACTGAAGATGCACTAGGTGTCATCTACCAACTGTTCACCACCTTCTTCAAAGATGTCAAACACTCAAAGGTCGACCTGTTCTCTGGCCTACTCTTGTTGGACAGTATGTTGATCGAGTGCACTGACCTCAATCACTCAATCATCGTCTCACTCACTCACTCTTCGTTCAATAATTATTAGGTTACTACAAGAACCCTCACATCGTCTCTGATCATTATGAACAGGATGAACTGTTCTTAAAGACTGCTAAGCATTATATGAACTTTGCTGCTGCAAGTTTGGGATCAAAGTATGTGTATAGTTACTTGGCAAAGAAGCATGTATCGGGTATAATCAAAGGAGTCACTGGTACAGATCGTCTAAACATCAAGGTCTTGTGCGAACACACTGGTATTCAGAGAGAAGATGTTATCTGCTATAGATTCACCAGTCACAACTTTGATCCAGCTCACTTTGTCGCAGTGGATCATGCCACCATGGCGATTGTTGTATCATTCAGAGGCACATTCCACGCCAGAGACATCCTCACTGATCTTGTGGCCACCAACACTCCTTTCCTCGATGGCTTTGCTCACACTGGTATCCTCAAGTGCGCTCAGAACAAGTTCAACGAGCTCACACCATTGTTGTTGGAGAATCTAAAGGTATGTCATCACATTGAGAGAGCTCTCTCTGGATATAATATCACAGGTCACTAACATTGAATGATTGAGTAGAAGCATGCAGGATATTCATTGGTAGTGACTGGACATAGTTTGGGTGCTGGTACTGCAGCATTGTTCACATTGTTGTTCCATTCAACTTATCCAGAGATCAAGATTCACTGTCATGCCTATGCTCCACCATGTGTTACATCATTGGAGCTTGCATTGGATGAGAAGACCAGGTCATTGATAACCAGCTACGTCCTAAAGGATGACATCATTCCAAGACTAAGTTACCAATCTTTAGAGCATCTTAAACATTTGATCACATCAATGTTGGATAATAATCCTGGTATGATCAATCAGGCCTTCCAAATACTTTGTGCTGGCAATAACCTTGGCGACAACCTCACCAACAAGGTTGCCAGTTTCCTAAAGGTTGAGCGAGGAGTGAAGCTTCCATCCAAGCAGTACGCAGCTTTGAACACTCAAACGATGCTTCCACCTGGCGACACCTATCGTATCTACAAGCAGTCCAACTTTGACAAGCACTTCATTATGGAGAAATCAAACCCATCACTGTTTGGCGAGATAGTCATATCTGGTAGTCTCCTTCTCGATCATTTCCCAGATCACTACGAAGATGCACTCTCACTTTGCTACCAGTACGCCACGAACAAAGAGGCATTCACTACTGCACCTTCATTGGAAGTGAACAACAGCTCGGTTAATCTCTCTAGCAGTCCATCAAAGTCTTCCAACCTTTCCATCAGTCCCTCCAAGTCACCATCAACAAGTCCCTCTAGGTCATTGTCCACAAGTCCATCCAAGTCATTATTCTCAATTTTCTCCACCAGTCCTTCAAAGTCGTCGGTCCTCTCAACCAGTCCCTCACAGTCATCAACCATTCTCTCAAGTAGTCCAGCCAAAGAGTCCATTGATAACAACACCAGTACCAATCAACAACAGATGTAATAATAATAATAATAAACAACAAACATTTATGTGTAATAATATCAATTAATTGTATGTTGTTCAACACTTTATGAATGTATCGGGAAGGCTTGGGAGGTGCACATCGTCGTCCATTCCTCTCCTTTATCCAATCCAATCCATTCCAATCAAATCCAAACAATCCTATCTAACGTAACGTACTAATCTAAAGGCTATCTAACTATGTCTATTTTGCGCTAAAGTCCCTGATCTCGTTGATGATATCGTTGGCCTTGCGCAACACATCGATCATTGACTTGCAAGACTTGCGCTTGGAGGATATCTGTGCAGACTCTTCGAGCAGTTCATCAAAGTACTCCTCGCGGTAGAGAGCGCCAACGAGCTCGTTCTGAATCTGATCCTTCGACTGGTTGACCAAGAAGTGCATGATCGACTTGGGAACAGTATCCTTGATGTTCTTTTTTACAATGTTGAAGTAAGACAACAGTAGCTCGCCTATGGTAGGTAGTGGATGGTGATGGAGTGTCAGTTAACGTCGACTTGGCTTCGAATGAATGATGAATGAATGAACTTACGAATCAACTCTGTCTCAAACTTCTCTCTCGAGTTTAGGTCCTCAGAGGCCTTGATGACGGTTGGCACTTGACCGAGCTTATCGTTGCGGTAATAGTCCTGTTGGTAGTTGTTGTACTGTTGTTGCTGTGGCTTGTTCTGGTAGGGAGATTGTGGTTGGAACATGTTGTTGTTCATGCCGTTTTGTTGTTGATTGTTTGGTGTACCCATCTGTTGATTTGGCATGCTGTTTGGTTGGTTGGGCTCGGCGTTCCTGAAGAAGCTGGAGAAGAAGCCAGACTGGTTGTCGACCTGGGGTGGCTGTGGCACTCCGTTGGTTGGACGTGGTGGCACGCCATTGGTGGCTGCAGGCTTGGCGCCTGGAATAGTATTTGGCTGCATCATCGAGGGGGGTGGCTTCACACCGCTAGCTGGTGGCAGGTTGGGGTACTTCTGTGGCACGTTCTGCTGCCACGTCTGGTTGTTGGCACCGGTGGGACCAGCGCCTGGCACCTGCTGTTGCATTTGCTGTTGCTGCTGCATCTGTTGTTGCTGCTGCTGCATGAACATTGCCTCCTGCTGTTGCTTCTTCTCGAGCAGCGCCTCAAAGATACCGTCTCCTCCGACAAAGTCTGGATGTGAAGTGTTGATGTAGGCCAACTCGATCTTGATGAGGTTCTCAATCATCATCTTGGTGGGCGAACGGTTCTTCTGGAGCAGGTTGTTGACGACCTCGATAACACGCTGTCTGAGGTTCACGAACCTGGCCAACTCCTTGCCCTCGAGCTGACTGATGATCCTCTGAAGCTCGTCGTAGACCAACTCGACACACTGTGCCGATGGCTCGTCGAGACGGGCCACCTGCTTCTTGACCAACATCTCAAAGGAGGCCTCGGGGATGAAGAGGGCCGCACGTGGACCGGTGGCGTTCTTCATTGCCGTTCTAATGTCATTCAGGCTGACGCCCTCCATTGGGTCGATGCTGTTGAGACACTGCGAGAAGATGTTGTCAAAGATGTAACTGATACGAGCACCACCGCACAGCTCGTTGGTGGACAGCTCAGTGAGCTTGCCATCGATGGCGTCCTTGAAGTTGGTGGAGAAGATGGTGATGATCTGGAGCAGCAAGGCGCCCTGGCTGTTCTTGGTGTCGTAGAGGGGGTCGCCGTACGAGGACAGCTCGCCCTGCACGTCGGCCAACATCTTGCTCACCTTGATCTTGAGATCGGGCAGGCAATCGCGGATGTGGAACATCAACAGCTTGTTCAGCGTCTTTGAAAGATAGGCTGTGCCGCTGCGTGTAGCAATGTTCTTGTAAATTGGATGGTTCTTGAAGTAGAGCACCTCACCCTTGAGCGATTCTCTGATCGACTTCTTCGATATGATGTCCTCCTGACTACGATTGATCACACCAATGAATCCAAGAGATAGAGGGATAACACGACCTGTCAATACATCCATGGCATCAGTACCCTTGTCCTACAAGTTGGGGTTGCAATGTGATTGAGTAAGTATGTATGATTGAGTGATGGACAATCAGGACCAGGACGCAGGACACAGGACACATACCATGAGATCCAACTTGGTGATGACACCAATGGTACGCTTTCCATCGGGGTCGACCTCACGAGCCAGTTGAAGTGCGTCAGAGTTGGCCAAATCAGTGTTGGCTGGAGTGACTGCCAAGATGATGGCATTGGGCTTCTTGATGTAGGCCATGATCATTCTTCTGATCTGTGTCTCAATGTCGGTTGGCTGATCACCCACTGGCACCTTGGTGATACCTGGCAGATCGACCAATGTAAGGTTCACAACATGAGGTGAGTAGATCTTCAGATTGATTGGCTGTGCAGAAATGCCCTTGTTCTTTCCAGTCAAACGGTCTGTATCCTTGATAATCTCCTCTCTAATCTCTCCAAAGTCATAGAACATATCATTTGGTCTATGTAAGAACTCTCCCCATTCCTTTGATGTTGAGTCTGTTCAGTGTGATTGAATGAATGAGTGAGTTAGTGAGCTGACCATGGTACATGACCATCACGATCAATCAATCGATCAAACATACCATCCTCAGCAATTGGCAAGTGAGTGAGTTGAAGGATAAGTGGACGTCTGGTGACGATACCAGATCCTCTGGGCAAGAAATCTCTGCCGACAATGTTCTCCAATACAGAACTCTTTCCTGATGACTGACTTCCAACTACAACAATCTGTGGCAAATCAAGTGGATCAGTTCCCAAAGTGTTGAACACATCTTGTAACTTGTTAATGACAGGGATGAGTTGATCCATGTTTCTTTGTTTTTGAAGTTAAGTTGATTGATTGATTGATTGACTCTGATATTTATATTAATAATAATAATGGTACAATATATATACACACAAATACAAAAAGAGATAATAAGTATAAGTATAAAGATAGACTCTAAACGTGATAGCACGAGTGTTTGTTGATTGTTTGGGGTCGTGACTCAGTCAGCGAATGCACGGATGCTTGCAAGCTCTTGGGAGAGTGCTTGCCAGCTACTCAAGAGTCTGGGAAAGGGGGTTCCCTTTCAAAACAAAAGATCTTGTGAGCTCAGCGATACATGCAAAAAAACAACATTTATTTCGAAAATTCTCAATTGGTTGTGATTGATTGAATGAGCGCGCTGTGGTGTTAGGACAAGGACTGGATGGCGTCCTTAAGGTTGGTGCACTGGAATTGATGTCCATGTGATAGGAGTCGATCGGGGACGAGTCGTTCACTGTCCAGTGCAACACTGGCAGATTGGCCAAACATGAGTTTGAGTAGGGTTGGTGGTACGGTCACCAGACACAACAGACGTCCACGTACTGATGCGATTGTACTTAGTAGTTGTTCGTTGGTGTTGCTTGTTGGCGCACAAACATTCACTATTCCTTCATATTGTTTGTTGGAGTTGTTGGAGTTGGAGATGGAGTTGGAATTAGCCACACTGGTGATGGCCAGTCCTACATCATCAATATGTATCCATGGTACATACTGTTGTCCTGTGCCCAAACGGCCGGCGCGACTCAATGAGGCCAGGTCGAAACTTGGGAATATGCCACCATCACGTGACAGAACATGGCCAATACGAAGCATTGTCAATATAGTGTCGGGATGATTGGCCACTGCCAGCTTGGCCTCTTCTTCAATCTTCTGGCAGGTGGTGACTCGGAAGTTGGTGCCTTGTTCGGAAGCCTGGTCCGTCGATGATGTCATCTCCATGAGGTCGAGATCAGAGAGTATTTGATCACCGCGATCACCATGGATACCAGCGGCCGATGCTTGAAGGAATGCACGAGGGGCGCGACCCTCGGTGGCAGCGAGTTGGATGGCCTGAGAGATGGCCCTGATCGAGTCCAGGCGTGATTGAAGGATTGTTTCCTTTTTGGATCGTGTCCATCTTTGTGTGCCTGGATTATCACCGGCCAGATTGATCAACACTGTATTGCTGTTGACCAGATGACCCCAGCCATCAGGTGTGCGTCCATCCCAATGTTCAACGCGATGTACATCGGGCATGGTCTCAATCAATCGTGGGAACTCAGAGTATGGCGCTGTTGTGAGAACAACGACCTCCCATCCCTGTGCCGCCAAATGTTTGGAAACTGATCGACCAACCAGACCCGACCCGCCAGCAATGATGGCGCGGCCACGTGTGAAGGCCATGTCAGTCGACTTCTTGCTTTGTCTGATGGCAAAGTTGCCATAGTATCGCATGAGCTTGCCAATTAGGGGCAGGGTGATCTGTCCATCAAAGTGCCAGCCATTGCGTGTTGGGGTTTCGATCCATCGACTGGTAGGCAGGATCCATGAGGGGAGGGGCAGTGGCACGCCAAATAACAAAATGCCTTTGGACTCAAACTTGAGTGATGACGCGTTGGGGGCTTTGGCCGCCTTGTCTATCACACTGACATCATAGTAGAATCGTAGCCAGGAGTCCAGTGGGCCGCCAACACCCTCGGTGAGTGCCAGCGAGCCATCAAAGCCCACACGACATCGCTGTGTGGTGGCGTATGTCTTCTGATTGTTTTGACCCAGACCGAATGTTCGTCGCCATGTTTGAAGATCGCCTCCCTGTGTCACACTCACGGACGCGTCAAATGGCGCGTCGATCATGTTCTGTGGTATGCCAAACATGTTGGCAAACATTGTTGCCAACCATGACTGGCCACGCTCGACTGTCACCGAGCCCGCGCCGGACCCACCATACAGGCAAGACTTGAAAGCGTGAACATGGCTAGCCAGCAAAGACATTTGCTCATGTCCAAGCACGCGCCCCAGGACAGAGACGCGATCGAGGGCGCGTTGATTGCTCTCGCGATGACTTGTTTGAATAGGGGGCGGGATCCATGTGCGTCGGGATCTTGTGCCGCCCAGAGAGTAGGACACAGCCGCCTCAAATATGCGCTGTTGTATCGCGGGCAGCCACTTGGTGGCCGTTCGCATGAACCAGTCGCGAGCACTCTGCAGTCCCTGCATTTGTCCCACGAATGCCACAGCGTCTGCCAATGTTTGTACAGTGTGAGCTCGTTGCTTGCGTGTCGCTTCGAACTCTTTGGCTGCGGTCGCGTAGCCATCCTTGTGCGGATGTGTGATGGTGTTGCGCTTGAGCGCGTCGACATAGGTGGCGGCGTCCTCAATGCACAGGCCGGCACCTTGTGCCAGATTTGGTGCCGTGGCATGGGCAGAGTCACCGAGCAACACGACGCGTCCATCATGTCCATGCCAAGGGAATCGATCCACGCTGGGTACCTTGTATATATCGCTCTGGAGTATGTTCTTTGATGGCGTGCCCTTGATCAACTGTTCGTAGCTGATGGGTAGTCTGCGGGTTGATGACGTTTGGCCACCCTTCCAATCGCGGAAAGTGTCCAGTAGCCACTCCTTGCGTTGATCATCGCAGACCTCAACCTGGATCGAGGAGGCCATGTGGTCTGCCTTGGGAATGGCCGCGAACCAGAACACCTCACGTCCACGCAGAGGAACGTAACCGAATCGATTGCCGTCGCCCCATGCTTCGAATGCTGACTCGTGCCATGCGCGACCGTCCGTCTCATCGACCTCGACATTAGCGCGGAAGTATGTGTAGCCGCAGTAGTTTGGTGACACGGGTTGAGTGTGCAGCTCATTCAACAGCTGAGTGCGGGCCAATGAGTTGATGCCGTCCGTGGCAACCAGTACATCGCCATGCAGTATCCTTCCATCGCTGAGCAACACCTGAACGCCACCCTCAGGGCCGTGATTCAGCTTGTACTCCACATACGATGCCGATGTCACAAACTCGACGGGCGGCTCTGGCTCCTCAGGCCCAATGCAAGCCGCGTAGAGTGATGTGAGCAGGTCGTCGCGATGAAGGCAGAGTATGGGGAAGCGCTCGCTGAACTTGGGAGACGCCTTGGCCATGGCGTTGCCATGTTTATCGCGATACTCGGGTGGCGCCATCCAGGCACCCTTGTCTCGTAGTGATTGCATTAGAGTGGGTCCTGCCAGATCGAGGGAGTTCTGTGCGTTGCCCCAGAGTGCAATACCGCCGCCAACATTTGCCCTGCAAACTGATGGAGCGCGTTCAGCCACTGTGACCCTAAAAGCATGACGAGCCAAAGCAGCCGTTGCCAGTCCAGCAATCCCTCCTCCGACTATAATAATAGAGGGAGCTCTTAAAGTTGATGCTGACATGATCTGATTGATTGATCGATTGAGTGAGTGGGTGAGTGAGTGAGTGAGTGAGTGAGTGGGATGGTTCCAGTGATGGAGACATACTAATTAGTATTAGTCATGGATACAGATAGAATAGTTATATATATTTATAAGATGAAGTGACCATCAATCTAACAATCACTTGTCTTTATGATTGATCGTTTCATCAATTTGAAACGACACTCACACTCAAGATCATGTGATCAAAAGATGAGCTGGCGATACAAATAATTTCCAAAAACGGAATCCTGGATGTACAAGTATGACACATATGAGGCGATGACTGACTCCCTGGGAGTCCATCACTCGCTCGGTAACTAATTATTATTATTATTGGTTATGTTGATGGATGTTGTTACTGCTGTTGTTGACACTGTTTGATGATCGATGTATCCTGGACTCTTGTACAAGCTTCATTCTCTTCTCGCGTAGTGTCATCTTGGTGGTAGTGGTCGATGTTGTTGAACCACTGCCATTCTCTGAAGCAGTTGTATCGCCTGGCGACCCATCCTCACCGGTCTGAGACACGGCAGCTTCCAAATCTGTTGACGAGTATTGTCCTGATGTTCTCTGAGCAAACTGTTGTTCCAGCTTCAACTTGGTGTCTGCAACCTTATGAATGACACTCGATGTTATCCTCTCCTCCTGTTCCTTCTCATGCTTCTCAGCCTCAGTCTTCTCAGCAAGAATGGCAGCGACCCATTCATCTCTAGTGTCTCTGTCATTTGCACAGATGATCAGCGAGTCTTGGCTGGTAGTAGATATCTTGAGTGCATTCGAGTAGTCTGTTGGACATGATTGATTAATTGAATGTTAGTGATGTATACGATGGAATGATTCCAGTTCAAGGACCAAGGCCCAACAAACTTACTTGTAGTATCATCAAGTTCGGACAACCTCAGCTTGGTGAGGACGAAGCTGCGCTCGAATTGGAGACGGACAGTCTTTTGCTTGCCAAAGAAGGAGCCAGAGGACTTGGTAGGCTTGGTGACGGCCAGAAGATCGTTGAACAGGTAGAGCACCTTGGGATGCTTCTTGAACTTGGGACTCTCCACCTCAAAGAAGTCACCCTCTTTGACAAAGCGTCGATGTGCCTTTACAACCGTTGACGCGCTCTCACCATCCAACTTCTCCTGGATACCTGCCAACTTCATCCTATTCTCAGCATTTCGCTTGGCCTCATTCATCTTCTCAGCCACAGTATTCATCGAGGCAAAGGCCTTCTCCAATGATTGATAATCACGATGTGATGGCCAGGTATGAGTGATCATCTCTCTAAGTAACAAGCTGTATCTCTGTGTGATTGAATGAGTGTGAGTGAGTGAGTAAGTGGAATGATTCCAGCCTTTGATGTTGATGTGGGAACATACTGGAATACGTTGGATTGGTCTGATGAGATGGTCCTCGAGTCCTCGCAACTTGATCTCTTCGTTCTTCTCTTTGACCTTGTTGAGGTAGGAGCGGAATTTGGGCTGCTTCTGGCATTCGTTCAACACTTCGATGGCGGTCTCATAGTTGATTGAGTACTGTGAGTAGACCTTGAGGAATGAGCTAAACTTTAGGAAGATGTCTCCAATCTGTGTGTCGGTGTCCCATGCCTTGAGTCTTCTTTGCAACTCTTCCTTCAACATTGTATTCGTCAAGATAATGCTCTCCAGCTCGCTGCTAAATATCGCTCGCACCTCCTCCTCACTAATGATTGGTGAGCCCTTCTTGATGGCCTCCCTAAGGTCCTTCAACATGTGCTGTGAAATGTCAAATGAGTTAGCGAGTGAGTTTGGCGTATCATGTGCCGCGGACAACATACATCACGGAGGAACAGGAGACGCGTCAGGTACTCTTCCTCGGTCTTTGTGATCTCCAGTGCAATGCGCTCTCTGTAGGCATTGTGTCGCTCTGGAATGAAGGAAGGAAGGTGTTAGAGGCTAGGACATGGTGCCCAACGATGATGTCTTAGATTACTTACCCTTGATACGTTGTCGAGTCCTTTCCAACCATCTTCTAGTCGCTCGTTGTATCTTGATTGCAGCACGCACTTCAAGTGATTGTCTGTTGGCATTGCTGTTCAATGGTATTGCTACTGCACATGTGGATGATGGTGATGGTGATGATGGCGTTGATGGCGTTGTTGGCGCAGATTGGGTGGTGGCAGGTGTTGATGATGGCGATGATATGAGTGAGTCTGTACACTTGATATCACTCAATGTCGATTGAACGACTTGAGTTTGTGAAGGTGTCGCGGGTGTGATTGGCGTTGTCGATGTTGGTGTTGCTGGCGTAGTTGGTGTTGTCAATGGAGTCGATGGCGTGATTGGTGTTGATGGTTGGCTGATTGATTGCGCTGGCGTCTTGTCAGGAGAGTTGGGTGGAGTGGCTAATGTTACAACAGGTGATGATTGTGTTGGGGACTGAGCTGGGTCAGTGGCAGGGATGGGGATGGGGATGAGTGGCGTGGACTCCACTGTAGGAGAAACAGCAACAAAGGTGTCTGGCGATGTGGCCAACACATCATCCTTGACCTTGATCTCCTCAGCGATCGACTCGAGCATTGGAACTGATTGCGCCTGTGTCTGTGGCTGGGGCTGAGGCTGTGGCTGTGGCTTTGGCTGTGGCTTGGGTGAATGATGAGGCAGGATTGTTGGATTGATGGTGTAGCTCCTGGCACGACCTTGGAGCTGTTGTACAACGCTTTGTGATGGTGATGGATGCACCATAGGAGAGGAGGAGGATGGTGATGATGTGGCTGATGTATCTACATTGTTGGTTGGAACTGGAATGGAGGTTGTTGGAGCAGGGCTCTTGTATGGACTGCTTGGTAATCGTACAGAGTTGAATTGTTGGCGATATTGAGCGCGGTTGATCGATGTCGACGTCAGGTCTGTTGTGCTACTCGCTTGTTGATTGATAAGTAGTGATGATGGTCTGCCTGGTGCTGTGCTATATCGCGATGGTGTCGATGATGACGATGATGATGACGAGGTTGATGCGAATGAGTTCCACTTGTTCAATATATCCTTGAATGAGCTGCCACTGTCATTGTTGCTGCCTGTCTCGATGGTAGTGTTATTGGCAAGTGATGATGAGGGAGATGGAGGGGTTGGTGGAGGTGGCGAGGCCGGGCTTGGACTGCCAGGACTTGGCGGCGCGTTTGGTGCCAACGGGGAAGTGAGAGAAGAGAATGAATGAGAGTATTGTCTGCTGGTAAAGTTGGTGTACATCTTGCTGCTGTTCCTGTTGGGTGTGGCTGGTGTTGCCGATGATGGTGTCGTAGTCGTCGTGGAGATTGATGTGGAAGTGCTGGCAGAAGTGGAGGTAGATGTGGTGTGTGGCTGGACAACAACTGGACATGATGATGCTTCGGTTGCATGTTGGAGTAGTGCCTTTGTCTCCTCCACAGTGTGTTCAGTTCCCTTGCGTGGTGATTGACTCCTTTGTACTACTTCCAATCTTTTGCGCTCTCTGATTGTGAACATGGCCAACATTTGTTCTGCCTCCAACATCTCCTCTTCACTGAACGACTCTTGTGTGGCGTCCACAGTTGGCCAATCAACCGAGAACTCGTATTGTGTATCAGCGTTGGCGATCTAAAAGTGTGACAGTGTGGCGTGTGAGTGGCTTGGAGTGGCGGGTGGGTAGCGTGAGTGGCGTCACGCGCCACACATGTGTGGCAGTTGGCACCTACCTTGCATAGCGACTCTAGACATTCAATGATTCGCCTGATGTTGGTGTAGGATGGACTCTCTGTTTGGAGATCAGCTGATGTGAATCGCTTGTGGCGTGGCACGCCAACATCGGCACAGGCCTGTAGGAAGAATGATATGTTCTCACCATTCTTAAACTGTACGATACGATTGGGTGCCAATGGATCAGGTATGGATATGCGTGGCATCAGACGAGGTGATATCGTCTGCATTATTCTACACAACAACACTCCATCCCTTAGCAATTGGATGAAACTTGTATGAGCCACTGATGCCCCGTCCAAACTAATCTCCAACGATGCTTCAATCCATCTGATCGCGGCCCTCTTTTGACAAAGATATACGATGGCCTTTTGATTAGTCATGTAATATTTGATTGATTATGTATATGTATGAGTGTAGTTAGATAGAAATGATGATTATGATTGATTGATCGATGAGTAAGAAGAAGGAAGTAAGTTGTAGACTAGAGGACAGTCTGGCACTCATACCCACAAACTGTTGTCTTTGATCAGTGAGCCCTCTCTGATCACAAAAACTGACCACGACCCCCACAAAGGTGCCAAATTCAAACAAAATGGGTCTAAAATCGAGATTTACCCATCTCAAAGGGGTGATCACAACCGTCTTTAGTGTGTGTGAGAGTGCACTGAATGATTAGATGAACCGAATTGATTGACACTACTCCTCCCACACACATGTTTATTTGTTCCCAATTAATCAATCAATCAATCAAATGATCATCCATAACGCATCGGGAAACAATTATCGACCCATAAATTAACAGCATCGATATCCATGAATCCGAATGAATTGATTGGTATGATTTCGGTTGAGGATGATGATGATGGTGAACTGTGATATCGAAAGTATGTACGATCGGACAATCTAAGTAGTGGTAGTACATGGCCAATGTTGAGCTCCAAGATCAGTGATCGAATGGATGTGGGCAGCTGTTTGAATAGTCGATTCTTGGCAAAGATCTTGTCCACACTCACAGTCAAGTGATTGAGTGATGGTCGCAGTGACAGAAATATGCCTTTGTCCGTGCTCCACCAATGTTGTGTGGCCACATTCAAACTCAACCATGTCACCGATTGAGGAATGCTGTCTGGTCTCATGCCCATACAACCCTTCAACTCGAGTCGCCTGATTGAGTTCGGAAGACATTTAGCGTTCGATAATTTGAATTGACAGCCATCCAGCGCCAACTTCTCGATACCAAAGGGGATCGGGTTAATGACGGACATCATGTCGAAGCGGCCAGATGGTTGCGACATCCTAAAGCACTTCAATGTGACCATAGGGAATGGCGAGAGATCTTGAACATGCTCGCCAGTTTTGATGTACAGTCCCGTCAAAGATGGGTAGCGCGTTGGGTTAAAGTTACTTCGCGAAGTGTAGTCTGTGATCCAGAGCTTGCGCAGGTTGGGGTAGGGCCCGGAAGGAACGAATGATCTGACATGAAGTCGCTGCAGGGGCGTGTGGTCCAGTCGTGTCGAGAAGAATGATGGCAAGTAGATCTCGGTTAAGCTGCTCGGCAGCGTATTCAACTCCATATCATACATGTGAATACTAATTGACAGGTCGAGCGAGGTGAGTGAAGGCGGCAACACACCATTGATCGATTGTTTGAAGTCGCGACCAAACATAATTGTCTTGACTGATGCGGGTAGTGTATTCGGTCCAATAACCTGATTGAACAAATCATTGAATGTGATGGATTCGATGGTGTCAGGCCAGGAGTGATCGGCTATAGGTTGATTCCAAGTTGAACTATAGATGACCAATTTCCTCAAGCCTGTTGGTAGTACATTGTCAAGTGAACGATGACAGAATATCGAGAGACTGTTGGTTATACGAGCAGGGAGGTGACTGCGATCAAGTGCTCGACACGACTTGTTCAGGTTCAAGTCCAAGTCATGTACACTTTGTACATTATGCATTGTGAATGGTTCGTTTGAATTGATATGCAAGCTGACTTTGACTGACCTCCAAGCCAAGTCTGCCAGTAGCTCACATACCCTCTCAGGTACCTGACCCTGGGCCAGACTTGATGTTATCCGTACACTCCTTAGACTTGGTTTGCTCAACTCTTGTTCAAGTCGATCTGTTGTGTAATGTCGGTGTCAGTGATTGATTGACCGATTGAATGTGGAATAGTTCCAAGTCACACTCACTTAAGGCATTAGGATCATCGAAGTTTGTACTTATTACTTTGTGGTAGTTGTCGTATTGATTGTGTAGGATAGTGATGTATGATCTGAGGTGGAAGTCATCACGATCCTTCATGTCCAAAATGACATTGTTGTTGTTGTTGATGACAACAAAGTTGAGGTAACTGTTTCTTTGTTCAAACAACCTCTTGCACACCAATGATAAGAACAATCTATCAACTATTCCATCAAGCCATGATACTATATTGCCAAGAACTGTTGATGGTAATAACTCCATCCTACACTTGATGTGAGGCTGTGTGTGTGTGTGTGTGTGTGTATTGGGTGAGTGTATTTGTATTTGATTGATTGATCGATGGAGTGAGTGAAGGGGTGTTGTCTGTAATGCAAAGTGATAAATCAGTGATTCAATCAAATAATAGTGAAGTGTAGTTCGAGATTGCCCATAATCAATGATTGACTTCCTTATTAATAAGGATCTTCTCCTTCTGATTGAGGATCATAAATATATGTGTTTAAATTAGTTATACATGTTCTTACTCAATCAATCATTATTATTTCCCTTGGTTTCCAACTTAAGTATATTATATATATACTTACTAATTACTCTTATAATGATATCATCATTTATCTATATCTTATTGTTGGGATTATCCCTGAATTTTATTAATGGACGTATGTTCTCTCCAATCAATCATTCATTCAATCAAACAAATAAACTAACATACTTAAAATAGAGGAAATATCCTCCATTTATTATCTTCCAAATGGAAGGGCATCTGTGAATGGAACTGGCCTCTCATCAGTGTCCAATGTGTTTGTGAGACAACATTTGAATGGTGGAGGTGAGATCTTGAGAAACTTGACCATCATGAACAAGACTGATGTGAATATTCTCGTTGGATTCAATCAGACCATATCTGTGTTCAATGGTGAGATAGACCTTTGTGATGCCTCAAATAATTGTACAACATATCAATGGAATCCTGTCATTATTACATCAGTCAACTCAATACCAACTGAAGGAGGTGTGATCTCAGTATCTGGAGAGTACCTTCTGCAAAGCAACTATTCAACTCCAAACACTTTGGAGTTTGGCTCATTCATCATTCTCAATGAGACTCGATCAAATAACAATGGTACAATCAGCATGTACAACATGACAACAAGCAATGCCGAGATGATCCCAACAAGATCCACCAATATCTTGATAACAATCAGGGGTACACAATATCAACAATTGATGAACTTCAAAGGTATGTTACTCACTCATCTGGGTTGATAAAACTATACAATTAGAATAATATTGACATTCAATCATACTAGATCCAAATATTACATCTGTTAGATTGGACTGGTTCCAACAACAACTTGTCATCAATGGAAGTAGTTTTGGATCAACGAAGGATGATATCAGTGTCATGATCAATGGAAGCCAAGGTGCATTGATCAACTCTTTCACCAAACATAAACAAGTTATTGTTAACATTAGCCAAGGTCGAGGATATCAACCCATTTTCATCAGTCCAACTTCACTCAACATTAGTCTACTGATCCAGAATACAACTTCAAACAAATATTTATTATCTCTAAGTAAGTATTCTTTTATAATTGAATGATTGATTGAATGAATATTAATATTACTTCTTAGGACCCATTATTGATTATATTACACCATGTCCTTCTGAAGGTGGTCAGGTAACTATATCTGGATTATATCTTGATGTTGGACGCTACCCAGATACATTATCAAGTCAAATCATTATTGGAGATTATTCTCAATGTATGAATCTATTCAATCTTGGCAATGATGGAACTACTTTAGTATGCACAATGCAACCCTATATCAAGAATAGTCCAACTATTCTAAAGGCTCAAGTTATAATCAATGGATATGAATCTGACATCTCATATGGATTTTATTACAGTGTGGACGGTGATGATGGTCGAGACTCAGTTCCAATCTGGTGGATAATTGTACCTATTGTAGTTGGATGCATCTGGATCTTTGCCCTGTCTGGAATAATATTTATACTCTGCCAAAGAAGAAAGAGAGGAGTTATGAACAAGGTAGATCACCATCACATTGAACCCAAACCTGAGGTCCACGAAGAACCAGCCTCTCTCGCTGCCAATGAAGTCACTCCAGGGTCACCAGATGATCTGGATTTCTAAAGATACAATGTAACTTAATTTTATTAAAATTATTTTATGATCAATGATATGATGATCATCAATAACAAGGTTGTGTATTGTGGATTGATTGAAACAGCTCCATTTCTGATTTTGCAGCCAGTGTTGGTGATAGTTGGCTTAGATGCTAGGTTCTCATTATTATGCTCCAAGAATAGAGTTCCACTAGTACATTTAATGTCCACTTGGCTAGGAGTAGAGATTGAATCGGCGAATGTAGTGTTGGTGATTGTGGCGTTTGCACCTGGTAAAAATGTAATTTGTCCTTCATTTACATTATTGCCCATGAATAGAGATGAATCAAATGAACCCTGTCCGCCATCCAAATAAAATATTGAGAATTGTGTAAATAATTGAATGAAATAACTATTCTGGACGATTAGATTGGATTCAGAGAGGAAGAAAACTCCACCAGGTGTGCTCAGTCCTTTGAATGTTGAGCTGATTATGGTGAGATTGTAGATGCCTTGCCAGAGGAATATGCCACCACCATCAACAATTATTCTTGATAAGTAAACGTTTCCAGATTTAATGGAGAGTACCTTCTGGCCATATGTTTGAGCATTCATATGTAGCAATGTGTCCTCAATGAAGATGGAGAGTTGAGGGTTTGTAGCAGTGTTTGAGACCGAGTTCGGATATCCGACTAACCGAGACCGAATAAACCGAACCGGACCTTTTACCAATCCGAAGGAAGTTCAATTATTCGAACCGACCAGCTGTTTTTTTAATCAAAACCGGATCGAATAACCGAGGGTGAGACAGTGCATTTTCACTCTAGTGAACAACACAAGTCTCATTTCTTTGAAACTTAAAATAATAGTATTGATAGAAATGACCAAATGGCTTCCTTTGGACATCTTCTTGATCCTAATGATTATCAACCACAGACAGGCATTGTTAGTAGTGGACTAGTCTTGGTTGGTTCAATATCATGTTTCCATCCAATACTGTACTTCTTTGTAGTCTCTGTTGAAGTTGATGATGTCACCTTGGTGGATGTTGTTGTTGTCTGGGTTGAAGCAGGATGATGAAACAATCAGTTGCAGGATACATGAAGCTCTAATTGGAGACGAGATATCGAGGAAAACAAAAGCCTTTTCGATGAATCAGATCAAAAAATAACATTTTTGTCTTACTGAGTGTACATACTGTACGTATTCATGAGCAGTGTAGTACCGGTTAATCGGTTTTCCGGTCGAATATCGGTTAAAGGCGATATTCGGGTAACCGAGCTCGTTTTCAATCTTGGATCATCCACACGACCGAGTAAGGAATTATTCGAACCGAATGATATTGATATCTCGTTTATTTGAACCGAGTAGTATAATATTCTCGGTCTCAAACACTGGTTTGTAGAGTTTATAACATTTCCAAAGTGATTGATACTTGATGAGAGAATGTTGATATTGAGGGGATGGGTAGAATTGTCAGGGGATTGTGATGAGTTGATCCAGATGAGTTGGGGAGTTGGGTTGGCTGGATTGGGGGATATGGTGCAGTTCCATATTGTGATATCAATATTGGCATTCTGATTCATTTGAATCAAGGTATCCAAATTCGGTATTGTAAAGGTGTTGAGGTTGATCGTGGTTGGGGTGAGACATGGACTCGAACTACTGGTATCAAAGTTGACAAAAGGTATGGAAGATGTGATGATTATTTGATTATCGTTGGCAGTTGGGATGCCGTCAAGTGTGAGGTTGAGTCCACAAACGTTGATGGTTGGCTGAGTGTAGTTGCCTGGTGCAAATCCTATGTTTAACTGAGTTTGTTTGGTTGGGATATGATTGGGCGAAACTATGGAGTGCAGCCTGCAATGATTGGCATGCTTCATTCTGTGAATGTCCACAAATGATCGATGTGTTTGGGGAATTAAGATGGGTCCACTGGACGAAGCCCTCATCTAGCCCAATCATAAAAATCAGTTACAGGGTGGTGGATGAAACATAATATTTGCAGCTATCATATATGGTACAATGTCAGGAGGATCTTGAGTGTAGGATGAAGTATAATAGGATCTCTTTGTCTTTTTCTTTGAGGTCTTGTCGATCTTTGCATACCATTCATCATCCCAGGGATATGTATTGAGGCCAATTCAAACCAAGCTCATTGGCCAGGTACCGAGCAAAGCGTTGACAATTGGCTTGGGAACTCCATTGTGATTTACCATTACATTCATTCTGAATAAAGTTACTAAATACCTTTGAACCAAAGGACACCAAATTGTTTGGGTCTGTACTCTCAAGTAGATATTGTCGTTGTAAAGCATCAACCATAGGCAACTCTGACTTTGCTCGACCAAGTAAAGTGACTCTAAATGTTTCACGAGACCTTGTTCGGTAGCCTGCACAGAGATAACATATATCTTCGTTGCTTTTGACCAAATGAAGCTCAACTCCAGTCACATGGTAATCATTTGATTCAGCTCTTATATCAATAATGATTGAATAATGAGTATTGGTCAAAGGATCTTTGGTAGGGTATCTGACCAAGTATGAAGCTTTGCAAAGACTGGAGAGATAGACTTCTTTCTCATTTGGCGATGGGAATTTTGATTCAATCCGCGGAATATGTTGAAATCGGCTCCTATATTCACCATCTTCTTGTCTAGATCCTTTACCCTAATAAATAATTATTATTAGTTTGATTAATTAGCTTTGTTTGGTGTGAATAAAGTATATTTATCTTACAATTTGGAAGATTGATAGAATTATTCCCATTATTATTATTCTTATTATTATCTAAATTGAATATATGAATGAATGATTAGTATTGGTGGTGTTTATCAGGACCTGATCCTTTTTATTAAAATAAATAAATAAATATTATTATTAATTATCCAACAAGAGATGGAACTGATTATTCAGTACAGAGTGAGTGTATTATATGTATTATTGTTGTTTCTTCTTTGTCTGTTGGTTGTTGTCAAACTCTCGAAGATTCTCAATGTCTACGTATGACGATACATCCTCTCTCTTTAGATCATGTCCAAGGAAGTAGACTCTGTTGCCCTCTCCCCAAACGAATCCTGGTACAGGTGTCATATCATGGAATGAATCTGAATTGATTGATTGATTGATGGATGGATGTATAAGTAAAGTGAATGATTGATTGATGGAATGGTTGAATGATTGAATGAATACATACCACAACACTTGCAGTACTTATAGTTGAATCCAAAGAATATCTTGACTAGGATGCTCATGAGTGGAAGAGTGAACATCTTGATCACCCACCAGATCACACTGATGATGCCACTCCATGGATTGTTTTGTTGTGGATTGGTGACGGGATGTCTGGTCAACAATGCTTTCCTTGGTCTGATGCTGTACTCAATGTCATCGTTGATCAGATCGGGTATCTCGTCGAATAGGTCTGGACGATCCTTTGACCTAGACTTCTTCTTTGTTGTCGTAGTCGTGGTTGTTGTTGTTGTGGCGGCAGTGGCATTACTCATTACAGCCATTGGCACATTAGATGGTGACATAGATCCAGTTACTCCACCTCTTTCCCTTGATGTCTTCATCTGTCTTTCACTCTTTGTGCTCTTCTGATCGTTGTTGCCAGTGCTTGCCAATACCTGTGGTGGAGGGACAATGCTCTGTGTGCCCTTGCCACTGGCAGCAGCCTTCTCCACTACACTGATGATTTTGGCTGTTACTGCTTGAATATCATCGTCATCATCTGATATCAAGTCGGGTATTTCATCAAGGTCATCATTCTGTTTGGCGATCGGTTAGTACGATATCTCGGGCGGACTCTATCGATCTGACGTCCACATTCCACATACCTTGTTCTCACCAGATTGTGACTTTTGTTGCTTTGTTCTCTTTGGCTTGGACTTTTGTCTCTGCTCACGCTCCCTCTCGAGCTCGCGCTCTCTCTCTTTCTCGCGCTCCATTCGCTGCTTCTCAATTTCATTTTGAAGTCGCAGTTGCTCCTCCTTTCGCTTCTCTCTGATCTGGCGCCTCTTCTCAATCTCACGCTTCTCTTTGTCCTCCTTCTGTTTCTTCTCCAGAAGTAAACGTTGTTCCATCTCACGCTCATTCTCCAATCGCTCAATCTCCATGCGTTTCTCTCGCTCCAATCGCTCGATCTCTGCCTGGCGTCTGGACTCGCGTTCCTCCTTCTCTCGCTGCTCCTTTTCGATCTGCTCCAACTCAATCCTCCTGAGCAACTCGCGTTCATTCTCCTCCTGCTTGAGCCTCTGCTCCATAAACTCGCGCTGACGTCGCTCCTCCTTCTCTCTGAACTTCTCCTCCTTCCTCTTTGCCTTGGCCAACCTCCTCTCCTTGGCCTCCTCATTGGCAATCTTCTGCTGCTGAGACAGTGGTTCACCATCGCCCAATGTGTCCTCCACTTCCTCTGGCTCTGGTGCCTTGACCTGGGCCACCTTGTCCTCACGTGATGATGACTTTGTTGTCTTCTTTGGCTCCTTTGCATTAGCCTGTTGTTGCTGCTGCTGTTGTTGCTGTAGCTGTTGCTGTTGCTGCTTCTGTAGTTGCTGCTGTTGCAGTTGTTGTTGAGCAAGGGATGCTTGTTGTTGTTTCTCCTTGGCCTCCAATGCTGCTGTGGCTGCGGCCACTGCATCACTGCTTTCAAGCTTCAACTTTGATTCTTGATATTGTAACATCGCCTGGTTCTGCTGGGAGGTCGTTCCAGACGTCTGCTCACTAGTGGCCTTATTCTTAATAATAAGATTGGCTAATTCAAACACCTTGTTCTTTGATTGTGTCGTCGGGTTGGTCTCATAAGACTTGTCAAAGCAGTTCAGTGCCCTACATCATGAGTGAGTGAGTATATCGATTAGTCATCAGTCATTGCCAATCTATCAATCAATCAAACATACTTCTCATAGTCCTTCTGCTTCAAATGTTGGATACCAAGTGTGTACAGTCTGTTTGCTTCCTTGATTTGACTATCAGACTCTGCCATTGTCAATGTCGTTGTGGTTGTAGTTGTCGTGGTCAGCATAGTATGTGATTCTGGATCGATGTGATGATGAAGAGGTTAGGTTTGGCATCGTCCATAAGATCAATCAATCAATACATACGCTTGGTCTTTGCAGTCTTGGTACTACTAGAACCACTCTGTTGCCTTGGTTGAGGCGATGGTTGTTGCTGCTGAGGTTGTGGTGGTGGCGGTGATGTCTGTTGTTGTTGTGATTGATTGATGTGGTAAGGCGGTGACGTCGATGCACCACCAGTGACATTCATCAACTCTTCATATCCATGTGCGGTGAATGATGGTGGCATTGTTGCGGGAAATGATGGTTGCTGCTGCTGCTGGGGCGGTGACAGGTGCTCATTGCCAGCACCAGTCATTAATGGAGGCGAGTTGGAAGCTGGAGCATAGCCGCCAGCTGACATGTCCGCCTGATTGAAGCCTGGAGAGAATGAGTGCCAGTTGTTGAAGAAGTTCTGTTTCAATCTGAGCAGCCATTGTGACGCCTTAGTGTGATCATGGTTGGAGGCCAAGAGAGCGTAGAGACATTGTTCCAATGAGAAGCCTTGGTTGAGGTACGTGATGATGAAGTAGCGCGACTCGGCTGGCAGCGACTGCATTTGGGAGTCGTACTGTGATGAGAATGAAGAGAGTGGCGGAGTGGCCGGTTGCTGCTGTTGTGAGAGAGGTGATGGCTGTGGCGGCGAGAATGGTCCGTAGGACTTGGGAAAGATGGGAGGTGTGGCAGAGGTTGTTGGTGCTGCCATTATTGGCGAGGTGATATGTCTCTGTTGGAAGAAGCCTCCACTGCTACTCAATCGCTCGCTGTGGGCCAATGAATAAGCGTTCAACTCTGACACTGGATGAATGATATTCTTGAAGAAGTGAGGGCTGTTGTCACTGCCAAACAAGCTGTACGACCTTGAGTGATCTATTGATGTTGCGCAGGATGAGTGAGTGGACATACCTCATTCATTCAATCATTCAATCAATCATAGACATACCTGGATCATTACCACTTGATGATAAACTGTGTGATACTTCATCTTCATATACTTCATCGTCTTCGTCGTCCATATCTTCATCGTCATCGTCTTCGTCGTCGTCAAGATCTTCAATATCGTCATCTTCGTAGTCATCGTGGTCTTGAGGCGCCACGTGATCCTTGCTCGCACCTCTTCGATGTTGCTTTCGTACAAAGTTGTCAATGGAGAGTATTGGATCATCGTCGTCATCATCGTCATCGACATCCACATCATCATCATCTATTAGATCAGGCACTGTTGCCGACGACGACCTATTATGTGAACTATCAGCACGCTTGAACAATCTAAGACTCTTGATCATATTATGTTGAAAGAATGTATTGAAACCAAGTCTATTGTTGCTTGTCTTGAATGCATTTGGATCGATGTTTGGCAGATATGAGCTATCGCTAACCTTTGTATGTGGTTGTTGCACAGGTGTAATGGCTGTAGTAGTCGTTGAAGGCACATTTGTGTTTGTTGTTGTAGTTGTTGTTGATGTAATAGCTGTAGCATTCATGTTTGCTGTTGGCGTTTGTGTCATGGCATTAGATGTGTTGTTGTTGTTGTTACTGGTCGTAGTTGTTGTCATGCCATTGTTGTTTGAATCTGTTGAGTCGACGACCATTGTTGTATCTCCGTCAACGACATTCATCATTCTGTTTGTTTATTATTATTATTTGTTTATTTGTCTGTTGTACAATGTTGTTGTTGTTTATGTATGTATTGTATTATGTTATGTATATCTCTAAGAATACAATTGACTTTAATTTATGAATAGGTGCCTGTCATAGGGCTGAGATGAGGGCAAGGGGTTGTGACTTTTCAAACACGAATCTCAAATGAAGATAGTGTTGTTGTTTTTGGAAAGAGTGTGTGGTGAGAAGAAAACGAACGAGGATTATTAATAATGTGTGATCACTCGTTATCAAACAAAAATTATAATTATACAAATACAAATACAAATATAAAGATGTCATCTGCTACTAGAACAAGAAGAACATTGGCTATTTCCGATGATCAATATAATAAGATGTTGGTTGATGGTTTAAAGTCAAAGAGAGCTTCAACAAAGAAGAGATCAACTACTACTATATCATCTGCCATAGACCTCGATACTGAATTCGATACTGATGATCATATGGCAACTATATCCCTACCAACTAAAAAGACATCAACTGCATCTGCATCATCATCATCAGCTTCATCATCATCAAAGAAGATCATCTCACAGAGACAACAAGAGTTGTTGAAGAAGCAACAACAACAACAAATGGAGGAAGAGGAAGAGGAGGAGGAGAGTGAGGATGAGGAAGAGGATGTTGAGGAGGTTACAAATCAAGATGAAGAGATGATCACAGAGGTGCCAGAGGTCAAGAAAGAGGAGAATACCGAGCACAACAAGGACTCAATCGTATGTCATTCATTCATTCATTCATTCGTTCGTTCATTGTTTGATCTAACTCACACGCTTATACACTTTACAATAGGACGTCAGCCATATTAGAAGATCAATCAACCCTCTTGTTGGCAAGCCAGTGTCTGGAAGAGTCTGGAAGACAAAGCCACAGAAGTATGTTGTTGTCATAGTGAACGACGCCGGGCTGGCCATCATCATACATACTAACAATCAATCGATCAATCATCAAATAATACAGGAAGTACAATGTAATTAAATCAAAGGGATTCAGAATGTCATGGGAGGATAAGGAGAAGTTGAGAGAGCAGAAGCGTATCATCAAAGAGAAGGAGACTGCTATGAGAGGTGAGACCAGACGTCAGAAGATCGACAATGTAAACCTGGTCAAGGAGAGAAAGAAGATCAAGGAGGCAAACGAGCGCAAAGGAGAGCAATACCAAGTTGTACGTATACTCATCAATCATTCAATCAATCAATCAATCATTCCATTCGTTATGAGCATGTCTAATACCAACTCCATCACACACATTCATAGATCAAGAGCACATTGAAGATTAAGCAGATGACAAAGAAGCAGAAGAAGCTCCTCCGTATGCTATAATTAATAAACATGATTAATTGATTGAATGAACCATGACCATGCATGTGAATCTCCAATGTCCGCCAACTAAACTGGAAATAATGGACAACTCTCAACTTGAGTTTGCTTTGAGAAAACACCAATCACTCGCGAGACCTCCATCCAACTCAAGAACACACATCATTCATCCATCCATCAATCCATCCAAGGAGGAAGAACAGGAGTGAGTGAGCCATGAGCGAGATGGAGGACTCTTGGTTTATTTACTTACAACAACCACTTTCCTTCTTTTTGTTGAGGTTGCTGCTGCTGCTATGACTGGCATTATCTGCTTGTTTCAACTATGTAAGGTCGAGTCGGGTCGGGTCGTGCGACAAAGTTAGTTAGGTTTGAGACACTTGCTTGTGCCCAAGGTCTTGTATACTTACATTGACAGTCTGTGGCTTCTTGTCGACTACAACCATCTTGCCCTCTTTGATTAACTTTACAACCTTTCTAGTGGCCTCTTCGAATGCCTTCTCGACGTTGGTGCTGTCCTTGGCACTAGTCTCAATGAAGAGGATGTTGTTCTCGCGAGCGAAACGTGCGCCCTCCTCGTGGGTGACTACACGTCTCTCATTGGAATCGCACTTGTTTCCAATCAATAATGTTACAATGTTGGCACTAGACATATGTGTAATCTCCTCTAGCCAGCTTCCCAAGAATTGGAATGTTTGGCGGCTGTGTGCGCGATAGTGAGTGAGCGTGTCAGTCATTGATCTGTTGTCATGTTGTCAAAGTGTCCGATGGCATACTTTGTAATATCATATACCAAGAGTGCAATATGAGCACCTCTATAATAGTTGTTGGTGATTGATCTAAATGATTCTTGACCGGCAGTATCCCAAATCTCCAGTTTGATCTTATATGCAGAGTCCAACTCCATTGTCTTTGTCTGGAACTCTACTCCAACCGTAGTATCAATCTCTGGTGAGAACTCCTTCTCGCAGAACTGCAACAAGATGGAACTCTTTCCAACACCTATCAAAAAACATAAGTTTGTTTCTTGTCAGTGATTGAATGATTGATTGATTGAATGGATATGCTGGTGATACCTACATGGTGGACCAGTGACAATGCATTTGAAATGATATTCGTTCATTGTTTGTGTAATGTTATATTATGTATGTGTGTATATATATATATATATATTGATACTATAGTAGTAATAACTAAATAAATAAGATTGAATGTGTTTGTGTGTTGTTGAGTAACCTTGGTAAACAACAACCAAACAACACTTGAGAAGTAAGTAGAAGTAGTAGAAGAGGAGGAGTGATAAGTGGTGTGCAAGAGTGTATTTGTGCAAGGGTGTGTTTGTTTGTTTGATCGCGGGTTGGAGAAGTGGATGGAATAGTGTTTGTGTTAAATTAGCAATGGGAAGGGCGAAGTACTTTGGTTGGGGTGATCGTCAGGGTGATTGGTATTCGCAAAAGGATGAGGTAGAGAGTTTGTTATTGTTATTTATATATATAAATAAATAAATAATGGTTGACTTTAGCTAGCTGTGTTATAAGTATCGTGTGTTGTATGTTAGTAACTGTTTCTATGTCCGTCTTTGGGCTTGGAGCAAAAAGGGAACGGAATCCGGACGATCAATCTCCCCCCACTCCATTTCGAAATGATCAATTTAAATTAAATCAAATAAAAATCTCCCTGAATGATGTGTTTCATCGATGTAGAATTACTTCTTCTTATTATTATTACCTTCTATGTAATTGAAGGGTTGGGAAGGGCTTGTACTTCAAGACACAATAACTCAACTAACTTCTTCACAGTGACCTGGAAATTTCAAGATCAGATCACAGATCATTATTGTCATTTCATGACACACTCCATCAGATATTCATGTGATTGATCCGAACAAGATCGATCATTTATAAATTAAACATAACTCAAACATACATAGATATAAATATAGATTGATGGCTGAAAGAACTTGGGACCTTGTCCAAATTGATGTATGTACATCATCAATCATTCCTTCAATCAATCGTTCATTCATTCAAGTCAGCTGACATTCCAAATCAATCAATCACTTTGACATCGATTATCAAGTGCTTCACAAGATGGGCCAATTATATATTGAAGGAAAGAGTGATGTCAATATCAAACATACAAACTGATTTGGCTGATGGTGTATTATTGATCAATCTGTTGGAGATATTGTCCAGTAAGAGTATAGGACATTATAACAAAAAGGCACCGCTTCGTATTCAAAAGTTGGAGAACCTCAACAAGGTGATGCAGTTCCTAAAGAATGAAGGCGTGAAATTGGTGGCCATCTCACCAGAGGACATTGCCGATGGCAAGATCAAACTGATATTAGGTGTGACGTGGACCATCATTCTCAAATATCAAGTACAGCCTGCTTGTGGCAATGATGAAGATGGCATGTCACCCAAGTCTGCCATGTTACAATGGGTCAATGATCGTGTTAGACAGTTCGAACAGAATGCCAACAACTTTACCACCTCATGGAATGATGGTCGTCTCCTCACAGCTCTAATCTTCTCATTCAATCCAGGTGTGATTGATCTATCATCCATCACTGTGAGTGCACTCCAATCAATCAATCAATCATGACCAACTCATTCACTAACTCACTCAATGAATCAATCTCAATTCAATATAATACAGAGGGAGCCAGTTGTTGACTTGGAAAGAGCACTGACAGTGGCCAGCGAGTATTATGATGTTCCAAAGATCATTGATGCAGCGGACATGGCCAACTCACGTGACGAGCTCTCAGTGTTGACCTATGTCGCATTGCTACGAAGCAAAGTGACAACCCATCAATGAGTCAGTTCCCAATGTCTTGGTCACCCAAGTCGTCAGTGATCATATGTACGAATATGTGTGCTTCTATCCCAGGCATGATCGATCAGGACAAACACATTTTTTGATCAACCTCTTCAACAAAACCTTCCATTTTTCAATGAACTTTTGATACATCGGTTGACCTAGAGTGTCATGACCTCATCTTCCGATCCGCCTGGACCTTGTCAGGTCATAAAGTCTTTCAGTCTTGGACTCACAATTCGTCCACCATTCATTCATTCATTCCAGCTCACACACTCACCCATCAATCATTCAAACATCCATCAATCAATCAATCACATCAAATATATAAATAACTGTCAATTGTATAACTAGATATTATAATATATGTTGTAATAATAATAATAGATATAGCTACAGAGAAAGATAAAGATATAAAGGAAGATGTTGAGTGTAGAGGAAATTGCAATTCTTGGAGTTGGCGCTGTGACTGCATTCTTTGTGTTGGTGTTTGCACTGACATTGTTGATTGTGTTGCTGGTCGCCAATAAGTATGTTAGGTCAGCATCATCTGGAAAGAGTTCAATGTCATCAATGGGCACAATGAATAAGAATAGCAATGACATTGGAGGTGAGGATAGCCCCGACAACATGTCAGACAGCAGCATAGATTATATAGAGTTTGTCGGTCGCAAGCAGTACGTGGTCGTGCTGATCACCTCTGTGATGGCCGTCGTACTGTTTGAATTGACTGTACTAGTATTGGTGATATTCGATCGTCTGCCACTACCTGCTGGCATCATCATAATGGTGTTGGTCGGCTGCACCTACTGGCTGTCATTCATCATCCCCTCCAACACAGAGGTCATTGCCAAGTCATTGACACGCAATCCACTCTCACGATGGGCGCGTCGCTGCGTGTGGAAGCTGAAGCATCGCACGCTCTACTGCGTTCTCAGCTTTGTGTTCATCGCAATGATACTCCTGGCGCCCACCTTGGCACTCTGGGGCATTTGCGAGGACAACCTGCAACTCATCGACACGCGTCTCATGCGCCGATACATGTCACCATCGTGCCCCGCCGGCGCACCATGTCTCATCTATCTCACGTTGAACGAGAACCCGCACAACTCGGTCATTGCCAACTATCACACGCCACACTCATCGCCATCCACCCAATGTCTCTACGACACATTGTCCGCCAATGGCAACAACACCAACTACAGATTCAAGGCGAGCGGCGAGCAGTTTGCCATGCCCAACCTCGAGGTGTCCAGATACATTCACTGGGTGCACATCGATGGCCTGACGCCCAACACCACATACTACTTTGTCTGCGGCTGCAACGAGCAGGGATGGACGAATGAGCGTCGCTTCAAGACTCTCTCGGATGACCCACAAGCACCAGTCACATTTGTCGTCGGTGGCGATGTAGATACCACAGAGACTGCGACTCGCGTGTCCAAGGTGGCCGCGCTTCAATCACCTCAGTTCGCACTGATAGGCGGTGATCTCGCATACGATCGTGCACAATACACATGCTACAGGATCTTGGACAAATGGCTCGATCAATGGCAGACGACAATGGTCACGCCACAAGGCTACACCATCCCCATGGTGGCCGCAATTGGCAACCACGAGGTCATTGGCAACTATGGCGCCACAAAGGATCGCATACCATTCTTCCTGCGCTACTTCCCTCAGATGGTCAAGTCGGACGACCCTGGCCAGAACATACAGGCGCGCTCAACATACAGCGCGTTTAACATTGGTGGACCCAACGGCACGGTTGTCTTCCGTCTGGACTCGGGTCACAGTGCGACCTATCCCGAGCAGACGTCGTGGATGCTCGACCAACTCAAGAACAAGTACAACAACACACAGTATCGATTCGCAATCTATCACGTGCCGGCCTATCCCACGATCAGAGTGTACGAGACGCCGGCCTCGGCAGACGTTCGCAAGAATTGGATACCAGTGTTTGATGAACACAAGTTCCAAGTATCATTTGAGAACCATGATCATGCCTACAAGAGGACACTACCAATGTATGCCAATCAAGTGGTCAATCAATCATCACCAGCTGGACAAAAGGGCACAGTATACATGGGTGATGGATCATGGGGAGTAGACCTCAGACCAACTGCAGCACAAAGATGGTACCAAGCCAAGATTGCAAAGATTAAGTAAGTTAACTTATTTGTTTGATTGATTGATTGAGTGAGTGAAGAGGACTAACATGTTGGCGCGCACGCATGTGCACTTCATTGCATTCATCATAATAGTTATATATTAAGAGTTGACCTCAATAGCACTCAGATGACTTATACAGCTTTGGATGAAGAATCACAATCGTTTGATGAAGGTGTAGTTGACCGATGATGATACCATTTGACGTGATGACTTCGAATGATCATCGACCTTAACTTTGCAAAGGAAGGCACATGTGATCGACAGAGATAAAACAAGTGATAGACTACACTTCTAGAACCTCTGGTTCCAGCGCGGGTGTTGGTTGGTCAAGGTGACAAGTACCTCATCCATGCGTCATTGTGTTGTACTCATGTTACACACAACGACACTTCAAACACACAGATCATCATTGTGTCGAACAAACACGCACATCAACGCGCCCTCGAGACCATGCCCATGAAATGCCCTTCATTGGAAGTGTTTGATTGATTGATTGATTCAGCTCGCACACACACTCAGACACATTCGACATGCATGCATTGATAGATCAAGGTGCACTACACACATCACATGTCACCATGGTGTTGACAACTGTTGTCACTTTAGTGATTTGTTTTTGGTGGACCGGTTGGTTGGACGTTAACCCCCAGGAAGGCTACAGTTTGTGCAGGGTGACAGAGAGGCCTCAATTTGTGGGGATCACCCTCACACACACCTGATCTATTTTCACATGAAGTAGTGTGATCCAGGATGGATTTGGAATGCATCTGTTAACGCACACACTCTCTCACGCTCTATTCAACCAGAAAAGAATAGTGTGTACCATCAACATCATAGCGATAAAATATTATCACTGGTATCGCCATTGATGTTGGATTAATGCATTGTATGGAATGGGGCTGGGGGGTTGGCATGGAGCGGTCTTGGACATGTGATGTCTATCATTTACAACTTTGTCACCAGTGATTGTTTGATTGATTGATTGATACATACAAATACACACTCACTCGTTGACTAATTAAATCAAGTCTCTGATCAGAACCAGAAAACACAAACACTTACTTAAAATCCAGACTATTTGGAACAACATCATCGATCGAATATACAGCAACTACCCCTCTAGATAGACTTGAATTATTAGGTTGGACATTCTTTCATTCTTTCATTCATTCTTAGGTATGTTCGCCACCACCAATTCATTCAATTTCCCTCAGGAGTCATTGTCGCGCAACAACAATCCCACACATACACATGTCCTATTGCATCCAAACACACACACTTAAACACAGATGTCGTCTGACTACCTTTAAAGGGATATAACAATAATTGTATATCAATCGTCGACGAGTGTGTGGGAGTCGTCAACAGATAGATACACACACATACACACACCCACACATAGACATACAAAGAGAGAGAGATACACACGAAGTCAAGTCTATCTTTGTTTGAAACATGTGTGTGAGAGTGTGATGTTTGTCGTCTTAGAGTGACTTGTCTTACCATTGCGAGGGTGTGTCGTTGACGACGTAGTTAACACACACACTCTAATGTAATGTTCACCTGTTCTTGCCAATAGGCACTACAACTAATTACTTCATAGTTATCTATCTATCTTTGTTCTTGTCTCCACAACTACACCTACACCAACTACTACATCGATAACAAGACAAGCAGTTTCAACACTTTCAATATTTTACAGAACAACAACAACAACCAACAAACAAACAACAAAGTATGTTATCTGTTTTGTTTTATTGTTTGTGTCTTGTTATTTCAAGATCCAATTTGTAGTCATTGTCAATGATGATTCATTCATTTATCTTTACTTTGGACATTCGAAACCATGGCGACACATGTCATCAAATGTCAAACATCACCAAGAATGTCATTCTGTATTCCTGTATTCCAACGAAAGACGTCTATTGATGGGGCACATTCATTTTAATTTCAGTTCTCAATTTGCCCCTTCCATCGCGAGCATTCTCCTCTTTTCGCGCAATCAAAACAAGTCTCCCCACCACAACAACACCATGCACCACACTCCACACTCAACAACAATAGCAACAAAAGACACATCAATCTTCAGACCCCGAACAGCCCCACACAGGGCAGCCGGCTGATTTTATGATCATTTCGAACCCTGCACTACACACTATCAGTCAGTGGGCCAACACAAAGAATGCCCATCATGTTGTTGTCAGTCAAATGACATGTACACAACTCCCTCTTTGTACTAGTTAGTCAGTTTGTTAGTTATTATTAACAAGTTGAATAGTTTACTGGAGGTGAAGGACTGGAATGGCCTATGGACCTTCATTACCTCATTTCTTGGGAAAAGTGTTGGTCATTGTTATTGTTGTTGTTGTTAATGATACATCATGTCCTTTAAATATATATACAGATCCTCCACTACAATATCTCTACTACACTTTAATCATCATCTTCCCGTTGTCCTCCTCCTCTCTACTACTTTTACTTCTCCCTCACATCAATCTTGTGAATAGATTACAACATATACTCGATCAATCAATCTAACATTACTCAATCATTAACAGCATCAGTAGCAGTTACAGCCACAACAACAGCATCAATAATAATAGAATAACACTTGAACACAGAGCAGATTACATACGATACATGAGTTAGCATCTATAGATTATACATTATAATATATATATACATACATATTTATTATTATACATAGTCAATCAATCATATAATATATACATAGACAAATACAAAGACAATGGGAGTGCCACAATCACCTGAGCTTCAACCATCCACTCCCAGCAACTTAAAATATGTCTACCTGCAGAAGGACCCAATCGTTGCAGAGAGCACACCCGACACACCATTGAGAGAAGGCCCAGTGCCCAAGTTGTCGGTGCTCAGCTTCTTCACATATAGGAAGTATGAGCGCGAGCTCCGATACGAGCCGTCGATAATGGACGACCTGTCGACGGACGGCGGCATTGGCATTGGCGGCAGCGGTGGCTTCCAGTCGAACGAGTACCCCACCTACGCCTTTGACACCAGCAGCAACAGCAGCGCCGGCAGCAGTGGCGGTGGCAGCGCGGTCAGCAGCGACGACGACAGTGGCTCCGAGAAGGAGTATCGCGTCGACATCACCTATCTGAGTCCGGTCGTGGAGAAAGAGGTCGACCTGAAGCTGAGGCCACAATACAGGAAACCCTTTGACTCCACCATATATCCATATTCTCCTGTTCATTCCGACACCACCTTCTCGATTCTGGTGGCTGTCGTCTGTATATTCGCTCTGGTCTACGCATTCATTGTTGGACCTTTGGTAAGTCCCAGTTCAGTTCAGTCCATCACTCATTCAATCAATCAAAGTGACTAACAACCCTTCCCATCCATAGCCAATCATATTTGCATTCCTTGTATCGATATTAATCATTGTTTCATATTCATTCCTGGTTGTATCCAGGACAAACAAGTGGTACCTTGTCTCAATTACCTTCCTGGCCGTTGGGCTGGGACTCACCATCCCATCATTCTTCGAAGCCACTGGCAAGGTAGTCTTGGGATTGGACCTCTCCACCTGGGACCAGCAATTATTGCATGGTGACACGTATGTTCATCCCTTCCCATACCGTACCATTCAAACATACTTACATCGCTCAATCAAATATAGTTTAATTATGGGATGGATATTCCCGCTAGGCCAGATGGGCCTGTTTGTGGACAGAAGCAATGTGATTGGACCAGACTCATTCGTTGGTGAACTGTCAACAGAGATCTTCCAATTGTCTTATATCAGCTATTACATCTGGGGCTACGCAATGGAGTTGTACATTCTTTACAAGATGTGGAGGTGCTATCGCTCCAAGAACCTGGAAGAGACACTACAGATGCCCATCTGGGACCAGCGCCTCAAGATGTTCATCTGCACCTGGATCAGCTCCTACTTCATTGTGTTCTCGATCAATATGATCTTCCCCGCGCAGAGCCCGCGCGTCTTCCTCAGCGACGAGTACGTCAACAAGCTCAACGGCTTTGGCCTGGCAGGCTTGATCCGCAGCAAGATCGAGAACGCCGCCAAGGGCAGCTTTGGCTCATTCCCCAGTGGCCACATCGCCACCAGCTGGTCGATTGCATTCGCCGCGTACAAGATCGTGCCAGTGTACGGCGTGATCAGTGGCTTTGCAGCGTTCCTCATCACAATTGCTACAATGTATCTGCGCTACCATTATGTCGTCGACTTTTTGGCGGCTGTGCCCGTGGCCTTCCTGTGTCTACTGTTTGGCGGCTTCTACTCACTGTCTGGCATGAGGGACAGCATTGTAAACACATACAGATCGATCAAAGCTAAGTTTAGCAAGAACAAATATCAACTGGCTCAATAAATACCCTATTATATTTTGGGCCATTATTATTATTATCTTCCTCATCCTTTATCCAACTTTATTATTAGGTACACGGTTGATTAATTATTGATGACCCCCGATTCCAGATAAAGCCCAGGTGTGAACATGAATCATCGCCCTTTGTGATCAAATAGTTTGAATCCATTGAAGTATCCAATCAATCAATCAATCACAGTTAGTCATGTTTGGATAGGATTGTGATGATCAAACACATAAGCTACCTTTTAAGGTAATGTTCACAATCAATCACACATACACGTGCCAACGCACTCTACTTCGAGATCCCCTGTGTTTCCAAAGGACACCATCTTACTCCATCACAATTCGAGGTGGTCCACTGTGATCCCTCTGCACCCTACCAACCTACCAGATGGATGGGCTTGCCCTAATATAGTGTGATACTAGCCTAGTTTGTAAACACATACTTTGCCTCACCTCATTCATTGTGTTAGAGTGTGTGTATTTGTGTTGATTGATTGTGTGTGATTGGAAACACTCATTGTGGTGTGTGTGGAGATGAGCGAGTGATTGATTGAATGAAAGTGTGTGTGTTGTGACAGTGTGATTAGATGTAACACTTTAAAGTTGATGTTGTTGTCGATCAATCATTCATCCTCTGCCTACTTTTAGAAGTTAGCCGTCATCATCCATCCATTCATCCATAGGTATAGTCGTGGTAACCAACGACTGACTTTGCAACACACGGGACTCAACAACACATACCTTCCTCCTCCGCACACTATCTGTTTGCGACCATACTTCATCTATTTTTAACAGACACTGTTGGGAAGAGATAGTGATTGGTTGATTGATTTGTGTGTGTGTGTAAGTGTTGTTGATGAAGAAGAGTGAGTAAGTGAATGAGCAAGTGAGTGTGGGGACAACAACAGGCGAATTGGAGGAGGCATGGTCCGGTGCCCCATCACCAGATGGACAGTTATAAATTAGAAGTCACTCGCTCGTAGGACCCATTACTTAACTACAATCAATCTTATCACTTCTTCCCAATCCAATCTACACTTTTAGAAAGACACAAGTTATTATTATTATTTATATTAATATTTATTAATTAATTAATTATTATCATTCATCCCAATAATACATCATTTCTTCAATCATACACATCATACCACATCATACAATCAATCAATCATTGTGTGGATCACGTGACAAATGTCAACAATAGACACTACACACTTATCCTCTGGTGAAGAGATAGGCAACAGTCTGGCCCAACCATCCAAGTGTTACTGTGACCCTACGGTTCAGTTTGGATTCGACTGTGCATTCAGAGCTTGTAGAGCATATACATTTATATTCCTAATATTTCACCTAATCGCATTTATATTCTCATTACAACGTTGTTGGACATTGAGGCGATCAATACCATCATCACTATTCGTTTGTTATGCATTCCAAGTACTTGGCAATGGCATGACCGCCGCCAAACAAATCATGTTGGCCCTATATATCACAGAGATCAAATCATTAAACATACTTTTAATATTCGGTAAGTAATCTCAATAAACCTGGAATCATTCCCTCCCATAAACTAACATTTCACCCCACCACACTAACCCAATCAATCAATTTAGGCGGAGTATTCCTTTTGAGTTCATTCTCAGTTATACAATTATATTGGTGCAAGGTGATCACGACGATAGAGACATCTGAACAGATAAAGAAGTTTAGCAAGATAATGTATTGGGTCATCATTGGTATTGGAGCATCAACTACATTCTTTTTAATCGTTGGATTCCTGTTGTGGTGGGATAGAGCTGCAACCAATGCCATCCTTATAGTATACTCTATACTATGTAGTCTAACATACTCATTGATAGTATGGAGACTGTACATATATTGGACACACATGGATATCAACAATCCAACAATTGGCAAAGAGATACATAGAAAGATTATACAGATAATATTATTGGCCATTGTAATCATTGGTGCTGGAATGGTGTTTGGACTGACATTGATCGGTCTGACAATATGGACACCATCAAGTGACAATGAGAATGTGGCTTGGCTGTTCATCAGTCGTTCTGCCGAATGCCTTTATGTGTTTGGTATACTTTTCTTCAAGCCAATGTCATTCAAGAAGAATTCAAGACAACAAGTGACTGATGTTGAGATGACCAAGAAGCCACCAACACCACCAATGCAACATTCTCCAAAGTTACTCTCGGGAGCATCATCTCCGCCATCACCATCCACTCCTCGTGCTCTGGACATCCAGCCAACTGGACGTGTCTTGGAAAGAGAAGTGTAATTTTAATAATATTATTGTAACAACATCATATATAACAAATACAAGTATAGTAAATATAGCATCCGAATTGCTGGATTGTAATAAATATTAATTTCTTTATTATTTGATAATATTTAATATTTTTAATATTTTTTAAATTGAAATGAATATTTGACTAGTTATGGATCAACGATTGGAATAGTATATTGGTGAATGGATCAGACTGGACTGACATTCATCCACTCATCACATCACAAGTTGCCAGACTTGGCAAATTGAAGTTGAAAAACTTGAAGACATGAGCGAGTGATATTCATTCATACAAGTTGACTTACTCGTTGAAAGACACAATCACATAACATAGTGATAGAGAGAGAGTATAGAATAGTAGAGAATGAATACAACAACAGATTCAAATACAACGACGACGACGACGACTACTACAACAAATAGTACATCACCGACATCACCAGCTGCAACAAATAATCTCCAGGTAGTTGCCAGTAGTTTGAGTGATGATACGTTGCAGGTACTAAAGAATAAGATCGATGAGATTGAAACGACCAAGAAGGAGGAGAAGCAGATTGTCAAGCAGACCCAGAAGCAAATGACCTCCCTGAACGACTCCATTGCCCCAATGAAGGACAAAGACGAGAAGATAAAGTATCTCTTGAACAAGTACCAACAGATGGTAAGTTTGTCAATCATTCAATCATTCATTCAATTATACTCATTCAATCAATCAATCAACAGTTGATGGATAAGAATAGATCTGAGAAGAAGTTATCGAATGCAAGTGATGCCATTGACAGACTGAACAAGGATGTCACAACACGTATGTTATGATGCACAATGAAGAAGGTTGATGATGGATGAATGGTCGTAGCTAACCTTCAATCACTCATTCATTCATTCACTTAGTTTCCGCAATGAAGGCCAGACTTGAGTCATTGTGTCGTGAGTTGCAAAAGAAGAACAAGGAGCTCACGGAGCATGGCCAAAGGATCATTGCTGAGGAGGACAGGAAGAGGAGAGAGCTCTCTGACAAGTTCCGCGCAACCCTCACCGACGTATCTGCCAAGCTCGACGAGTTCAACGCTCAGAATGAGAGACAGACCAAGTACATCGATGAGTATGTCAGTCCATCTCATTCATACATACATCCATTCCTAACAATCCAATCAATCAATAGACTCCATGCCAAGATCAAGTCATACGAGGACATCTCGCAACAGAGCAATTTGAGTCTGACGGCGATATTGAGAAAGACCGAGGAGGACTCCAAGCTAATGGTGTCAAGACTGAACAATCAGATCGAGATGACTAGGGGCGAGACCGAGAAGAACCTGAGGGCGAGGAGCGACATGGACAGGATGATAATGGAGAACATTACGTTGAAGGAGAAGCTCAGACTCTACGAAGAGAACATCGAGCAGTACCAAGACGTCCTGAAAAAGTCCAGCGATCAGTTCCTCAAGTTCAAGGACGACATGGAGCGCGTGAAGAACTTCAACAAGCAAGTGGACACTGACAACAAGAACCTCATCGTCAAGAACAAGGCCGTTAACAAGGCCTTGGCTGAGTTGAATACAGAGGTATGTTTGTTTGGATTGATTGAATGAGAGGAGTGGATTGATCAACATACTGACTAGTCAATCACATTGGAACAGTTCCAGAAGCAGAAGAAGCAGAACACAACCCTACAGAACTTGTTGCAGACATTGACTAGTGAGAGAACAAACATGCAGAATGAACTGAAGAAGTACAGGGAGGGCAGTGCCACTACCACTACCAACACTGCTACTGCTACAACTGATGACATGCCTCCATTGACCAGCGATAACAACAACAACAACAATGGTGGTGGAAACAAGGATAGCAATGCCAATACCAACAACAACAATGCTGTTGCAACTGAAGACATGACTCCTTTAATCAGCGATAACAACCATGGTGGAAACAACAGAAACAACAGAAACAAGACATCGCACAATAATAACATGGAGGAAACCACAACAACTGTGTCCACAAGCAAGTTGAGCGAGGTCGACTAACGACCATTCATAATAAACAACAGCAACAACAACAGTCGTCCATCTGCGTTAGGTAGATTGGACCAACAACATTCAATTGCCGCAGCCCAAACAGACACTCGCGTGAACTTGAACTTGACCAATTTGACGCTGACTCATCTCAAGTGTGTGAACTTCTCTATCACTTACTTAACAATATGTTGTAGTGTATTCAAGTTAGTGATAGTGATAAGATAGATATAGATATAGAAATAAACAATGAGAAGAAGAGGAACAGATAAAGGTATAAAGAAGACTGTTGAACATGAACAGAAGAATATCACTGAGGAGTTGGAATCAGAGTCCTCTGACGACTCGGATGTTGAAGATCAATCAAAGAATGATGCATCAAAGATGATAGTATCATTGAATAAGAGTCATAGAGCTATCAAGGCATTGGCCGCATCATCAAGTTCAAATTCTACTACATCTATATCAGATCAACAACAGATACATACACATCTGCAACAACAACAACATTTACCAGAGAATCAATCATTGATTGAACAACACAAGAAGAAGATATTATATACACTTAGAGATGTTGATCCAAAGTGGATTGATGAGCAACTCACCGATGATCAACAAGACGAAGAGGCTGCCGCAGCCAAGGAGATGACATCCAACCAAGCGTCACTGGCCATATCAATGAGCAAGCGCAAGAGTATGAATGAATGAATGGTTGATTGAATGAATGATTGTCCACAGTACTCTAACATCACATCACATCACATCATCCATGATACAGGATACCTCAAACATATACAGATGATGATTAATTATATCATGGGACTGCCAATGCAGAGTGTGCGTCTGTTCAGCAGGACTGCTGCCCGCCAATTCAAGTTATCGCCATTACACATTCACAACATGCAGCAGGCTGGAGCAAGGATCTTGCTCAGTAACGATGGCCGTCTCTTGGCCAACACTCAGAACTCCTCCATAGTCATCCGTAGCATCGATGATGACTTCAATTCAATCAGATCACAATGGGACAGTATGTATATTTCCCTTCATTCATTCATTCGTTCGTCTGTCGCATTGGTCACTGACACCATCCTCTCAAACAAACAGACCCCAAGCGAGACAGGGAGTCCCAATGGCAACGAATGTGCTTCAGTCCGGACAACAGTTTGTTGGCCTTCTCCACTAGCGAGTGCACAATATACATCATATCAGTGGCTAATGAATGTCTGTTGCACATCTTACCGCCAAGCGTACTTGGCCTCGATGCCAAAGTTGGCATTGTCGACCTTGCCATGAGACATTCATCATGTTCCCTCCTCAAGGAAACCTCCTCGTCTGGACCTGAATGGTATGTTCAACAACGCCATGCTTGCCATGTCAAGATCTAACGCATACCTCCCTCTCACTTAGCAATGAGTTGTTGATCATGGGATATGATATGAAGCTGCGTAGTTTCCATGTTCCTACGGACTCGTCGACTCCACATGCTGTGAGAACGAGTGATCATAGCGGTTGTATACCGGGTTCACCAACCATTGATGTCAATGGAGCTCATCACGAGGTTGGCTGCATGGACTACTGCGCCGAGACTGACATCCTGGCTATCGGAGGCAATCGCCGCTCCAAAAAGTCGAGAAACTCCTCGATCAAACCATTCGTCTCGTTCTGGAAACTGACGGACCAGGCGCCCTACTTCAAACTGTTGAACGCGCCCAACAAGGAGTCGCTGGAGCAGAGCATTGATGGACTCAACTCTAGTGGAGGATCAATCGCCACATCACCATCACTGGAATCACTCAATCAACAACAATCCGCCAACAAAGGATTCACAAGCAAGCTCACGAGCAGGCTGACCAAGGCAGTGTTTGGACACTACTTTCCCGGCATCATACTTCACAAGATCACATTCTCCAAGGATGGACAGTACCTCCTTGGACTGGACCTGAATGGCGCCATCACAATGTGGAGCACGCCTCGCCCGGCAACCAAAGGCAAGACGCCCATCGTCGTCAAGCCCAGCAAGACATGGAACACTGTCGACCTTCTCAACATTTGGGACAAGGCACAACCCAGTAGCTCCTCATCCTACATTCAAGCAAAGAGTATGTGTTATGTATCCTGCACGAACCAAGTCCAGCACTTCCTAACAAGCTCACTTCACACAGGCGCGATCGATATATCATGGTGGTCAAACGACCAGATCATCATGGCCAATAGGGTAGGCGAGTTTGTTATATTCTCAATCACAACGAACGACAACTGTTTGGTACACAATCACGAGCAGGTATATTGCTCACAGCCCCCACGCCTGACAAGAGCGAGTGGCGGCCACTTCTTCATTCTTGAGACATCGGGCTCATTGCCCAAGAAGACCACACTGGTGTCAGTCACTCAAGACTATTACAACCTCTACATCAAGAGGGTCACAATCGCCGCCTACAAGTACATCTATCGATATTTCTATGGCGATCATCCAGACGACTACCATCCATTCGTATATCAAATCAATCGTGGCAATCAACCTCATGATGACATGGCCATTGCGTCGCCCGACGACAACGAGCTGGAACAGAACATCGTCAGACACATCATTCGATTCCAATCTACTACGCCCGAGGAGTTGTTCCTCGACAAGGTGGCACTGAAGGAGTACAAGAATGCCATCATCATCGCCGAGCTCTATGGTCTGGACAAAGACCTCGTTCATCAAAAAAGGTGGTCAAAGGCTGTTGTGTCCAATGAGTCGATCAGGGTAAGTGTCCATCACTCGATCAATCACACATGTCATTCATCCACTCACTCGATCTATCAATCAATCAGTCCTACCTCTCCAAGGTGCACGACATCAATTGGATTATGTGGGAGTGCCACACAAGGATACCATCGACCTACGAGTCCACCAAGTTACTCCTGGAGTACGCACTTGAGAAGTCTGGAGAGTTCATCAATGAGAACTCATCGCCTGACACACTAAAGTATGTTTACAATCAATAATGCTACTCACTCTCGAGTGTTACTAATCCCATCCCCATACATGCACCGTCCACAACCACCATTAGGGAACACGCCACATTGATTGTACATAGAAACATTGTTGTAAACTACCTGAATCGGTTGGTGGCATACAAGGAGATATATGGAACGTCGTTCAATGCACTGGACTTCCTCAGATTCAGAGGCTGCAACCTGGTGTTGGCAGCAATGGAGTACGCCAACTCTGAACACTTTAAGGCCATCGAAGTGTTGTTCACGTACTACAGCAGACAGGTGCTGTCGGCTCGCCTGGCCATCCTCTCCATGATCCCCGAGACAACCGACCCCAATCAGTACGCCAAGCTGCTGCCCGACGTCAACTACATTTGGCAGGAGCGCAAGCAGTTCAAGGCCGACTGGAGCCAGAGCAAGGAAATCTTTGACAAGGCTCTGCCGGGCTTTGAGTACGATCGTCGCACCGACTCGAACTACCTGTGCGAGATGCTGGCACTCACCTACAGCCACGCTCAATACGAGGACATCCGTGGCAAGGACAAGGCCGAGGACAAGGCCGACATCTACGCCCTCGACTATGTACAGGTGCCCTTTGATGACAGTGGGCTCAAGGCCATCGACTTCCCCTCGCCACAGGACATCAGCAAGTGGTACATTGGTCGCGCTGAGGAGATTGATCGCAAGTGTGGCCAAATCGACAACAGTCTCAACCTCATACAAATTGGCATCAGTCTGGACGTGCCAGACCTGCTGACATTCCAGGCGATCCTGGAGCAGGTGGCGCTGGTCGTCTACGAAACCAACCAGGACATGTCTCTGCAGCGCTACTTGGCCATGTCACCGTTTGAGCGTCTCTCATCGCTGCTCAATGATAGCACTACCGCGAGCATCTACAAGGACATCGCGGTCAGAACCACCTCGTTCAGGAGCCAGCACAGCGACACATTCGACAGCCTGCTCGAGCAGTTCTTTATCGAAAAGGCCAAGTGTGGCAAGATCGCCCTCGTACGCTCATACCTCGAGAGTGTCAAGAGCAATGACTCAACGCGCAGTAAGAGCGCGCCTATCTTGGCACTGGGCCTCAACTGCATAAGGGAGTGCACTTCCGATGGCATTGACCGTGAGTCTATTGCGCAGATGGAACTCATCATTGCCGCACTGCCCGAGCGCTCATCGAGCAGCTCGTCAACAACGCAACGCCTCTATGACATGCGTTCCGACTACTCTCGCTACATCCAGGCCAACAAGATACTGCAGGTCTATGACCAGGCCCGACCCATCCAATACTTTGTGGATGCCCAGGCTCATCCGGACGACCCCGCTGCCGCCATGCTCCAGGATTTGTTCCGCCACGCCAAGAAAGCAGCCTTCAAGAACATCGCGTATCGTGCCATGTTTGAGGACTTCCTCAAGGTCAGACAACTCGTGTTCTTCAACGCGGTACAGGCTAATCTCTACAGCCAGTTTGTGCGCCATCTTCTGTCCGAGGGCAAGTACTCACTTTCCAAGGACTACTTTGAGGAATGTGGACCCGGACGCGTCGAGGCACTCATCCTGGCGGCTGCCAAGGAGCTCTACAACTCTGCGCCCTCATTCCACAGCGAAAACATTACAGAAGCAGTCATCTGTCTTGAGTTGCTAAAGCCCCCAACACAAAGGATTGTGCGAGAGCTCAACTTGATCAAGGCTTCAGAGCTGATGTCCAAGTATCAGTATCCCAAGATACCCCTGCAGGCTCGTCTCATCCTCGACAAGGGCGTAGCCAAGACAACTCAATCACCCAAGCAGCAGCAACAAAACAAGAAGGGCTCGACACCCTCGCCATCATCATATGACATCAGCCCCTACGAGAATCAAGGCCGCTTCGAACTGATCAAAGCACTGTTGGACAACAATACTGGATCATACAAAGATATTCGCGACATTCGTGCCATTGCCGCACTGCTCAGTCACTGGGTCGACGATGAACAAGTCGATGACTCGCTGCCCTACGTCGACGACGAGATCATTGTTTTGGTGATCCTGGCACGCAAGGCATTGGAGTGCAGCGACTACCAGGCAGCGTTTGACGTGTGCAAGGAGCTTATGAAGAAGAACATTCCCGCCTCATACAAGGAAGTCAATCGCATCTTTGCCCGTCTGACCACAGACGACAGATTCACCAATCTGGACGACCGTATGGAGCTGCTGTCGCACTGTCTGGTCACGTGCGAGCAGGGTGATCTGACCATGCTGTTGGAGCAGTATCAAGAGCTGGAGCTCAGGCGCACACTCATCACATCCGCCATAATGTCGCCCATCCTCCGCAGCAGCAACAGTGGAGACATGTCACAAAAGACAGTGTTGCAGAAGTTTGAACAGGATCGATTGGCATTGACAAGTCGCGTTCATGAGTTACCAGATAATGATGAGGCCAACCTTCAACCACCCTACATTGAAGCTCACTATTCATTGTCATCATTGCTTGACGAACATGATGGCAATGGCGACGAGGACGACGAGAATGATGATGACCATGATGGACATGAGGCACGTCTCGCTCGACAGAGAGAGAGAATCTTGCATGTTGATCAACTCATTGACTTCATCACCAATGGCACGACTGAGCAGCCTACTGAAGAGGAGATTCAATCATTGCTCCGACAGCTCTCCAAATACTCTTTGCACTCGGGTCAAATGCAGAACGCTTTGGCCTACCTTTTCATGCTCAAGGACCAGTCTATAGTCGATGCTACCTTTGATCATTTGGTCAACTCATCCAAGAGTGACACCAACTTCCAAACCAGTCTCGAGCGAGTGACACGTCTTGCCTGCTACTACTACTCGGCAAGATTGCTCACGATTGTTGGCGCCAACAATAATAGCTCTCCCCTGGTTGACACGGCCGCGATATTCACAAAGCCCATCGATGGTGTGTTGTACTCTGCACTGTCCATCGCCACTGACACCACCGACAGTGACACCAACTTGCACGCGCTGGCCCAATCCGTTCTGAAGTACAGTCGCCTGCTTACTGACTCGGTCCAAGCCAAGGAGTTCTCAGAGATCGACTCGAGCGTGGACTTTAGTCGCTTCAAGGAGGACCCAGAGTACAAGCGCGACACCATCCTGCAGTTTGCCGCGACCAACGATGCCAAGTCCTTCCTGACAGCGCTGACATTGGCTGCGCGCTACAACATACCACGCGAGGACATACTCATCCGATACATTCAATGGAAGATTATGGAGGATGGCTCTGGCTTTTCCCAACAATGTTTGCTCAGCAGCGAAGACCTTGCCCTGCTGGCGCAAGACCACCATGCCTCACTGGACGACATATATAGACGCATCGATGGACACGACTACGAGCAACTCAAGTTCTACTATGAGTTGTTGGAGCGCATGGGCAGTGCTTCGTCCGATGCCTCTGAGAAGTCACTCATCAAGCACAAGAAGAACTTGTTGAGCCTGTTGCTCAAGTCCACAAAGTATATGAGTGGCGACAACAAGTCATTCGAGCCACTGGACTTCAAGGCGATGGTCGATGACAGCACGTACGATCTGTACCGCGACACACTTCAGGCGTGTCTTCGTGAGGACAACATCACCTTCTGCTGCAAGCTGATCAGCCAGCTGCAGAGTATCAGACATGGCGATGATGAGACCATCCAGAACTACACAGTCAGCACAATGTACCGCCAGCTCATCGCCAATATTCTGAGCGACAAGTCACGCGACGTGATCAGTGTCGTGTCCAAGCATCGAAACAACTTGGACGAGCACGACCTGCTCGATGTGTTTGAAATGATCGCCCTCGGCGAGTACTCGAACAGGATGACTGCTCAGGAGCGCATCGATGTGCTCAACGTCATTGCTGGCTCTATCGCTCGCCACAGTGACACTGGCGTGCGCATGAAGGAGATTGTGGCACACCTCAACACAATGAAGGCACTGGGTCAGCTGACAGACAAGTGGTCTCCTCCAGGCAAGCAGTTGCTCTGCGTGGACTATCACAACGCCTTTGTCAAGTACATCGCCGAGCACTCGACACTTGAGGGTTTGAATGAGTGGAAGAAGGAACAGTTGGACACGCTGATTCCCGAGCTCATCCAGAATCACAGAGCGGACGTCTCACCAAACACCTGCCTCAAGATCTACAAGGTGATCAGTGGCTCAGGCGACTCTGATCAGAAGTCCAAGATCATGGACTACTACCTCAAGGAGATCGATGGCACACTTGCAGAGATGGACAGCACCCCCAAAGACAATCCTGCCTCGCTCTCTCAATTGGCCCATTCATTGCAGAACTTGGTCAAGGCATTCACCATCGCTGCGACACCAGACTCAAACAAGTGGGAGGCAGACAAGCACAGACTGCTGAGTCCCCTGCGCGACTATGCCTACAGTCCATCACACTCTAATGAGTCGAGGATCTTGATATTCGAGTTGCTCAAGACAACACCATCACTTTACAACGCCGATCAGAAACAACTGGCCGAACAGGATCACACCCAGCTCAAACAGAACAAGACCAAGGAGATCATACTTGAGACATGGAAGGATTTGTCTATTTCATTCGAGGAGATGGACATCACCACGCCCGAGTCGTCACGACCACTCTTCAACCGTCTGCTCGAGTCCAGCACCACTCTCCAGCACGTCTCCTACCTCTCTGAGTTGTTGACCATGTGGAGCACCGTGGGCAAGCATGGTGACGATGAGAACATTGAGTATGGCGCGAACTCCACCGCACATGTTCTGCACGACTGTTGGTGTAAACTACTGTTGGCATTCATTCCATACTTCTCTGCTGGCAACACCAAGGCCATCAATCAATTCCTTCGACTGAGGATCGATCAGTTGAAGCAGTTCCCAATGGAACAAAATGAGGAGTCGACCATCATGGACGCACTGAAGCCCGCAGACCAAATCACCTTCTTCAAGTTTGGCCTGCTCTCCAACTACTCCAACATTCAAGATATCGCCATTGACTCTTTCAAGGAGTATCTTGCAAGTACATACCCGTCTGGCGCACCTCCCGCTGGTCAGTCTGTGACAAACTTCTGTCCACACACTGCCTCTGCCACCTCTGCGCCATCACCGTTATCAGACAAACTGAACACATTCATCAGAGAACAACAACAATTACTTCAGATCATATACTCGAATGGATATATACATCGATTCGTGGACACACCACTCTACAATGGTCTGCTCAACATATTGTTGATGTACAAGGATAACGAACAGTGGGTGGTCAAGCTGTTCAAGGAGAAGGACATTGCCACATCGTTTGAGTACATAGTTGGATCGATTACAAAGGCTGGCCATATCAACGAGGCAGCCTCATTAGTGCTGTGGTGGTATGGCATGCATACATCTCTCCAGACTTTGAACACTGCTCTTCTCTGCTTGAACAAGTTTATCAATGGCACCATCAGGTGTATTGGCAACTATCTTTCCAAAGCTGACCCACAATCAATCAAACCAGATCGACTTGGATACACATGGACCAATGTCCAAGAGTTATTGGTTCAAGCCAAACAAGTACTTGATGAAGCGATCACAACCAATACAGCTTCTGACCAAACTGACCAAAGCGAATAAAGCCATCCCTTCATTCATACATCCCTGTCTTGTCAAGATGGATTGTCCATTAGATGGTTGGTGGGTAAACAATTCTGAATCAATCCCATTGGCCAATGGAGCGAGTGAAATGGAGTCAATGACTAGTCAACCCAAGGCATACCCTACCCTTACTTACCCATACACTATCATTAATCTTTGATCGAATATCGACCCCACACCCACTCACCCACACACTAAAACTTGGACCCAACAAAAGTGATTGGTGGGGGAGAAACCCAAATGGGTTTGGATGGCTTTTTGTTTTCAAGCATTTTCAATGAAGATTATGGCTTGATGCGAGGTCAACTTCATAAATTCAGATATTGTGTCAGCAAAACCCATTTAATTCATTAAAATTAATTAAATATCCAAAATGTTCTGGATTAATGATGTGAGTCAGTCACTGAGAGACCGATGGTAATTTATACACCAAGTTGAAGGTCATTTACAAACTTATCTGCTAATCACAGTAATAATTAATACTTTAATCACTCACTAATAATAATAATAATGGAAGGAGAAGACGTTCAAGCTTTGGTCATTGACAACGGTTCCGGTATGTGCAAGGCCGGTTTCGCCGGAGATGATGCTCCCCGTGCTGTGTTCCCATCGATCGTTGGTCGCCCAAGACACACCGGTGTCATGGTCGGTATGGGTCAGAAGGACTCCTACGTCGGAGATGAGGCCCAGTCCAAGAGAGGTATCCTGACCCTCAAGTACCCAATTGAGCACGGTATCGTCACCAACTGGGATGATATGGAGAAGATCTGGCATCACACCTTCTACAACGAGCTCCGTGTCGCCCCAGAGGAGCACCCAGTCCTTTTGACTGAGGCCCCACTCAACCCAAAGGCCAACCGTGAGAAGATGACCCAGATCATGTTCGAGACCTTCAACACCCCAGCCATGTACGTTGCCATCCAGGCCGTCCTTTCCCTGTACGCCTCTGGTCGTACCACCGGAATCGTCATGGACTCTGGTGATGGAGTTTCCCACACCGTCCCAATCTACGAGGGATACGCCCTCCCACACGCTATCCTCCGTCTGGATCTCGCTGGTCGTGACCTCACTGACTACCTGATGAAGATCTTGACCGAGCGTGGATACTCATTCACCACCACCGCCGAGCGTGAGATCGTTCGTGACATCAAGGAGAAGCTCGCCTACGTCGCCCTCGACTTTGAGGCTGAGATGCAGACTGCTGCCTCCTCATCTGCCCTCGAGAAGTCATACGAGCTTCCTGACGGACAGGTCATCACCATCGGTAACGAGCGTTTCCGTTGCCCAGAGGCCCTCTTCCAGCCATCCTTCCTCGGAATGGAGTCTGCCGGTATCCACGAGACCACCTACAACTCAATCATGAAGTGTGACGTTGATATCCGTAAGGATCTCTGCGGAAACGTCGTCTTGTCCGGAAGGTACGACCATGTTCCCCGGCATTGCTGCCCGTATGCAGAAGGAGTTGACTGCCCTCGCCCCATCCACCATGAAGAATCAAGATCATCGCCCCACCCGAGCGCAAGTACTCTGTCTGGATCGGAGGTTCCATCCTTGCTTCCCTCTCCACCTTCCAGCAGATGTGGATCTCCAAGGAGGAGTACGACGAGTCCGGACCATCCATCGTCCACAGAAAGTGCTTCTAAACGCCCAACTTGTTGTGTTATTAATAAATCGTGATAGCATGATCACCTGTCCTGGTCATGGTCAGTCAACTGTTGATTTCATCCAGTTGTCTGATCTGCCAGGACATTGTAACAATTAAATCGTACATCAAACAATCAGTGAGTGCACTCTATCAATCGATCAGTCAATCATTTTTCATGATCATGTTTCCAAAGTCAAAGAGAGAAGTAATGAGATGGACACTTGTGAGATACATAATAAGAAGAATAGAGTTGTCTGTATCGATTGTAGCGTATTTATATCACGCTCAACACATGAAGCTCGTTAAATACGATGTTGTTGGATCATCATCCATGCCTCAAACATATCGAGTCAAGATTGACCAGGTCAGATTGAACAACATCAAGAATCAGATCACAACATGTTTGAGGCTGGCTAGGTCTCCTCCAGCCCAAACAATCATTCCTCCCGAGTTCCAGAACTGCTTGGTATCTATGCTCAACAAAGATATGTCGCTGCTATCACTGGATACAATGAAGTGGACAAGGATTGAGAATGCATTCAAGAATGATATGTCCAGCTCCACCAATGCAATTGTCTACGCTCGTGGCAACATCTATGTGTTTGGTGGCAACACAACGTCATTATCATTAACATCATCTTACATGCGATACTCATTGGCTGAGAAACAATGCTATGAGGCAGAAATGCTTGGTATCCTTGGAGGCAGGGAAATCTCGGCCTGCTACGATGGAGTTCATCTACCGAGTAGGCGGCAGCTTCCTGGATTGCTCTTTATTGTTGGATCGCGTTGACCGGTTCAGCATTGAAACTCAGCAGTTTGAACACGTTGGCTGTCTTCCATATGCTGTGAATGGTGCGGTTGCCCACTTCCACAACGACACTATCTATATCTATGGCGGGTTCGACGACGATGGGAATGATCATGATCACATGACATACAACATACTTACCAAGGCCACCACAATTGACATCGAGGGCAACCTTGGCAGTTGCTTCGATGGCGATAACAACTTGTATATACTGACTTACTTGAAGGAGTTCTATCGATATGAACTATCAACACGAACATTGGTCAATCTGGCAGAGTATCCTAATGACGGAGGCACTTGTTATATAGAGTACGTGGACCGAGAGATTGGAATCATCAGCATCGATGGCAAGGATAAAAACTATCAATACTCATTGGTTGATGACAAGTGGACATTGATGAATGACAATGATCAGAGGAGTTCGTGTCATGGTGTATGTTTGATTAGGTAGCCATCCAAGCAGGCTTGATTCATGATCACTTGTGGCCTACAAAAAAATACAATCATTCACTTCACTTCACTTTCAATCACTTTAGTTAGAGGTAGAGGTAGAGGTAGAGATAGAGATAGAGATAGGAGGAAGATGGACACTTGTGAGACGCACAACACCCAGAAGAATAGTGGTATCTGTATCGATTGTGGAGTATTGATATGCTCTTTATGTGCAAATAAAGATCATACATTACATAGAAAGCAACATTTCAAAAGTGTAAAGGATAGTATCCAACGTAAAGATCACAAGTCTTTATGGTGCTCATCAAGGTTGGATCAGTTGTGGAGTACTCTACAACGGTGTGCAACATCATATCAATCAGTGGAGGAGACACATCGTCAAGTCAGTGATCATTATGAACAACTTTATAAACAATTGATGGCACAGGAGCACAAGGCCAAATCAACGATCAACACTCAGTTGTCAAGCATTCAATCAACAATCAATGATATCATTCAAGAGATCAAGGATATCAATCATATCATCAACTTGGAGCATCCAACAACAACAACATCAAGTGATATGAGTAATCAAGAGGGTCTTGAACAAATGGTGGAGTCGATCAAGTCATGCTCATCACTTGATCAGTTCATCAACAACAACAAATCAATCATATGCCCACAAGCTGTTGACGACAACCAGTCGTCATTGACATCGGCATTAAACGACAAAGAACTGTTGACCATGATCAAGAATCACACTCAACACATGAAGCTCGTTAAATATGACGATTTTGGCTCATCATCCATGCTCAAACCATATCAAGTCAAGATTGATCAGGTCAGATTGAACAACATCAAGAAACAACTCACATCTTGTCTGAGGCTGGCTAGTCCTCCGGTCCAAACAATCATTCCTCGCGAGTTCCAAAACTGTTTGGTCTCTATCAAGGACAAGCAGATGTATCTGCTATCACTGAAGACGATGAGATGGAACCATATCCAAGATGCATTCAAGTATGAAGTCTCTTGCCAACCCAACTCAATTGTCTACGCTCGTGGCAACATCTATGTGTTTGGCGGCAAGTCATCATCGTCATCATCAAAATACATGCGATACTCATTGGCCGAGAAACAATGCTATGTGGCAGATATCATTGGCATCATTGGAGGCTGTTGCATATCTGTGTGCTATGACGGGGATGAGTTCATCTACCTTGTCGGCGGCGATATCTCGGATTTTAATCTTGATCGTGTTGACCGATTCAGCATTGACACTCAACAGTTTGAACACGTTGGTTATCTCCCATTCAGTGTGGCCTCCCCATTTACCCACCTCCATAACGACACGCTCTACATCATGAGCGGGTTTGATCCCTGTCGGGAGCCTGATCATCAATTCATGGCATACAACATCCATACTGGTGCCAGCCGAGTTGATTTGGAGGATCGAATCTCATATGCTAGTTGTTTCGATGGCAATGACAGCCTGTATATACATACTTTTGATAATGATTTCTTTCGATATTCACTGTCCAAACGAACTTTGGKSTCGATCTGGCAAGTTGTCCTTTGAAAGATGACTACCATCAAACGGTGTACGTGGACCCAGAGATTGGAATCCTCAGCATCACTGGCAATGGTCAAAACTATCAATACTCAATAGTTGATGACAAATGGACATTGATGAAGGACCTTGATCTGTGGAAACGATTTAACCATGGAGGATGTTTGATTAGGTAGATGTTTTGTTATTACAGTATTAATAATAAATATATTATGGGATGATCTACTTTATGACTGCATCATATTTTTTTTTTAGTCCACTTCAATCATTTTTCCCTGATGATCAATAAGTAGTTTGGAAGTTAACGAGAGATAGAAGAAGATGGACACTTGTGAGACACATGACAAGAAGAATATTGTAGTCTGTATCGATTGTGGAGTATTGATATGCTCTATATGTGCACTCAGTGATCATAATGGACATAGAATGCAACATTTCAAAAGTGTAAAGGATAGTATCCAACGTAAAGATCACAAGTCTTTATGGTGCTCATCAAGGTTGGATCAGTTGTGGAGTACTCTACAACGATGTGCAACATCATATCAATCAGTGGAGGAGGCACATCGTCAAGTCAGTGATCATTATGAACAGCTTTATAAACAATTGATGGCCCAGGAGCACAAGGTCAAATCAACGATCAACACTCAATTATCAAGCATTCAATCAACAATCAATGATATCATCCAAGAGATCAAAGATATCAATCATATCATCAACTTGGAGAGTTCAACAGCAACAGCAACTGCAACAACAACACCAAGTGAGATGAACAATCAAGAAGATCTTGCAAAAATTGTTGAGTCGATCAAGTCATGCTCATCACTTGATCAGTTCATCAACAACAACAAATCAATCATACAACCACGGGCTGTAGATGACAATCACCAGCAGGTGTCAATGGCATCGGCATTGAACGACAATGAACTGTTGACCTTGATCAAGAATCACATTCAACACATGAAGCTCGTTGGATATGAAGATATTGGTTCATCATCCATGCTCAAACCATATCAAGTCAAGATTGATAAGGACAAGCTGAACAGAATCAAGAAGGAGATCAGAACATGTTTGAGACTGGTTGGTCCTCCAGTCCAACCAATCATTCCTCCCGAGTTCCAAAACTGCTTGGTCTCCACCTGCAACAAAGATATGTTGTTGCTATCACTGGATACAATGAAATGGACAAAGATTGAGAATGCATTCAAGAATCAAGTGTCTGGCCAACCCAACTCTATGGTCTACGCTCGTGGCAACATCTATGTGTTTGGCGGCGAGTCATCATCTTCAACAAGATACATGCGATACTCATTGGCTGAGAAACAATGCTATGAGGCAGAAATGCTTGGTGTCCTTGGAGGCAGCGAAATCTCGGCCTGCTACGATGGCAATGAGTTCATCTACTTGGTGGGTGGCGATACCCATCATAACTCCTTGGACCGTGTCGACCGGTTCAGCATTGACACTCAGCAGTTTGAAAAAGTTGGTCATCTTTCAATCGGTGTGACAGATGCGTTTACCATCTTCCACGACGACATGCTCTATATCGTTGGCGTGCTGGATGGATGTAGCGACCATTACATCACAGTGTACAACACGTATAACAATGTATGCAATATGGAGCAGAAGAAATTTGATTTCTCAGTTGCCTGCTGTTTTGATGGAAACGACAACTTGTATATTCAAACACAAGAGAACAAGTTCTACAGGTACGAATTGTCGACACGAACAAAGGAAAAGCTGGCAAAGTATCCTGGCCAGGACGACTGTAGTTTTCATATGGCCTTTGTCAGTTATTCATTTGGAATCATTAGCATCAATGGCAGAGGGCAAAACTATCTATATGCGGATTCAGGTAACACATGGACATTGATGAAGGATGACAATGATCAGTGGAGTCGTTCGTATCATGGTGGATGTTTGATTCAACAAAAAATATAAAGAGGACTGTCGCCAGCCAACTTTTGTTTGTTGTTACTGTCAGGGGATTAGTTATAGTTTAATAAGAAATGAACTATTGGAGTGGCTCAGAATGAAAGAGTTGGTGACATTCCACAATCTGATAGCTAGGTGATTGTTTATTTATTTGCTTGTTTGTGGTACCAATTATTGCTGGCTACATAACGATCATGACTGGTTAGACCTTAACCTATAGTGAAGGATGGTAAATATAAGCTCTAAGTTGTCTGGTAGTGAATCCATCATATACTTACGAATCCACCATGTATGGTCAATAAGGTGTTGAATAACTCGTTTGCCGTGGTGGTATTCAAAACGAAGCAGTACTTGCCTGTGGCATCCAGTTGGTTGTTGGGAAGATTGGGGTCTGAACCGATGGGTCCAGGCTTATAGACGCCAGATGGGTCGGTCATCTTGATGCAGTAGTTTCCAGATGGGAGATCATTGAATCTGAATGCGTCATTGACTCTGGAGGTATTAGTCTTGCCAGTTCGGATAACAACGCCACCTTCATCCTCCAAGGTGAGTTGAACATCAATGCCGTTGATCCTGACCTCAGCGGGATCATTCGAGTTGACACCATCATTATTGGCATCAAAGAATGCATAACCCCTCAGTTCCAATGGTATCTTGGCAATCCATGCACCATGAATGGTCATCCAGGTTCCAAAGACTTCATAGGCAAGTGTGCTGTCCAATGTGAAGCAATACTGTCCGTTCTGATCCAGATGACTGTTGGCAGTTTCTAAATTGTCTGGACCTCGGCGACCTGGGGTGTAAATTCCTGATGGATCAGTCATCTTGACACAGTAGTCACCTCCAGCGATATTCTCAAAGCGGATTGCATCGTTTCCATTGGTAATGTTTGTTACTCGACTGCTTATGACTACTCCATTCTTCAACAGATCAACTATGATTCCTTTCATCCTGAACTGCTCTTGAGTATTATTATTGATTCCATTCTGTTTGATGATTGTGATTTTGAAGAAGGAGTCAATCATCGGTAAGTGTTCCAAACGAATATGAATAGATCAAACTCACCTTGTAGGCATCATAAAATGCATAGCCACGAATAGTGTATTCCTTGGTGGGTACCTATTGAATTGATCGATTGAGGAATGGTGGATTAGACAATGGTTTGATATGCTTGTCTATGATAAGTGACTTACGTATCCAGAGTGAATGGTCATCATGGTGTTGTTTGACTCTGTTGCAGTGGTGGAGTCCAATGTGAAGCAGTAATTGCCATCGGAATCAAGGTGATTGTTGGGAGAAGTTGTTAATTTGCCAATGGGGGCGGGCTTGTAGTTACCAGATGGATCGGTCATCTTGATGCAATACTTTCCAGATGGGAGATTGGTGAACTTGAATGCATTATTGACCAGTTTGATATCAGTCTTGGCGGTGGCAATCACTGTATTGGTATCAACATAAGTGAGTTGGACATCAATGCCATTGATCCTGTACTCTGCTGGTGTGTTCTGGTTGGTGCCATCCTTGTTGTCATCATAGAAAGCATATCCACGGATTGTCATTGGAGTCTTGGCAACCCATCCACTGTGAATGGTCATCTTGGTGCCACTCGCTTCAGTTGCAGTTGTGCTGTCCAATGTGAAGCAGTACTGTCCATTGGCATCCTGCTGATTTGATGGACTAGTTGGACCTGGTATACCCTTGGGACCTGGGATGAACACTCCAGATGGATCAGTCATCTTGACACAGTAGTCGCCTCCAGCGAGGTTATCAAAGAAGAATGCTTCGTTGGTCTTGGACGTGTCTGTTGTTCCATTGCGAATGATGTTTCCATTGTTCAGGAGAACAACATTGATTCCTTTGATCCTGAACTCCGCTGGAATATTCTGATTGATACCGTCCTGTTGTTTGGTTTTTAGTTAGTATTTAAGGCAAAGCACAAACAGGCAGACTTGAGCAGTGCAGTCCACCACACTCACCTTGTTGTCATCATAGAATGCATAGCCACGGATAGTGTATTCCTTGGTAGCAACCTAATATATTGATTGATTGATATGGAGGGTGTTAGAATATGGTAGGCTACCTTGTGCTTCGGAGTCTACTTACGAATCCAGAGTGAATGGTCATCATTGTGTTGCTTGATTCTGTTGCCGAGGTGGAGTCCAATGTGAAGCAGTACTTGCCATCGGAATCAAGGTGATTGTTGGGAGAAGTTGTTGATGTGCCAATGGGGGCAGGCTTGTATCTTCCAGATGGATCGGTCATCTTGATGCAGTACTTTCCTGCAAGGAGACCAACGAATTTGAATGCGTCGTTGACCTTGGAGGTATCAGTCTTGCCCGAACGAATAACAGCTCCACCAGCATCATCAGAGGTGAGTTCAACATCAATGCCATTGATCCTGTACTCTGCTGGTGTGTTCTCATTGCTGCCATCCTTGTTGTTATCATAAAATGCATAGCCACGGATTGTCAAGTCAGTTGTAGGGACCTTTTGGATACAGGTGCGTTAGACTGGTTGGATCAATTGTCAAATATGTGTGTTGGATAAGATATACTTACGTATCCGGAGTGGATAGTCATCATGGTGTTGCTAGCCTCGTTTGCAGTGGTGGAGTCCAATGTGAAGCAGTACTTGCCATCGGAATCAAGGTGATTGTTGGGAGAAGTTGCTGATGTGCCAATTGGAGCAGGCTTATATCTGCCAGTTGGGTCGGTCATCTTAATGCAGTACTTGCCCGATTGGAGATTGGTGAACTTGAATGCATCATTGACCTTGGAGGTATTAGTCTTGCCAGTTCGAATAACAGCACCACCAGCATCATCAGAGGAGAGTTCAACATCAATGCCATTGATCCTGTACTCAGCAGGTGTATTCTCATTGGCACCATCTTTGTTGTCATCAAAGAAGGTATAACCACGTAGTGTAAACTCGGTTGTGGCAACCTGTTGAAATAGGAGCCGCGTTAAACAAAGGCAATAGGCAATATATATGATCAGTTGGATTAGATCTACTTACGAATCCAGAGTGAATGGTCATCATGGTGTTGCTTGACTCTGTTGCAGTGGTGGAGTCCAATGTGAAGCAGTAATTGCCATCGGAATCAAGGTGATTGTTGGGAGAAGTTGTTGATGTGCCAATGGGGGCAGGTTTGTATCTTCCAGATGGATCGGTCATCTTGATGCAGTACTTTCCAGATGGGAGATAGGTGAACTTGAATGCATTATTGACCAGTTTGATATCAGTCTTGGCAGTGGCAATCACTGTATTGGTATCAACATAAGTGAGTTGGACATCAATGCCATTGATCCTGTACTCTGCTGGTGTGTTCTGGTTGGTGCCATCCTTGTTGTCATCATAGAAAGCATATCCACGGATTGTCATTGGAGTCTTGGCAACCCATCCACTGTGAATGGTCATCTTTGTGCCATTCTCTTCAGTTGCAGTTGTGCTGTCCAAAGTGAAACAATACTGTCCTTTGGAGTCCTGCTGATTGGATGGACTAGTTGGACCGGGTATACCCTTGGGACCTGGGATGAACACGCCAGATGGATCAGTCATCTTGACACAGTAGTCGCCTCCAGCGAGGTTATCAAAGATGAATGCATCATTGACCTTGGCCGTGTCTGTAGTTGCAGAACTAATGACTACCCAATTCCTCACGAGATCAACCTTGATTCCTTTGATCCTGAACTCCTCTGGCGTATTCGCATTGATTCCATTCTGTTTGTTTGTATATCGATGAGGGCATTAGTATATCAGTCCAGTAGTGAATAAAGCTGCTAAACACTATACCTTTTCAGCATCATAGAAGGCATATCCACGAATAGTGAGGGGTTTAGCGGCAACCTAGTAGTTCATGTGTATGTTAGTGGGGCGGTCTTTCTTACATTCTTAAATGTGATTGTACTTACAAAACCACCATTGATAGACATGCTGTTACCGTTGCTTTGGCTCAAAGTGAAGCAGTGCTTGCCATTGGAATCGAGATCATTCTTTGGCGCAACTGTGCCCATTGGACCTGGAACAAAGATTCCCTTGGGATCGGTCATCTTGATGCAGTACTTGTTAGGGAGAAGACCGTCGAAAAAGTACGCCATGTTGCCCTTGGTAGTGTCAGTCTTGCCAGTGGCCAAGACGTCACCAGCCTCATTGGTGAGCTCAACATCGATGTCCTTGATCCTGTACTCATGTGTTGTGTTCTGATCGTTGCCATCTTTGTTGTCATCATAGAATGCATAGCCGAGGACTGCGAGTGGGTTTTTGGCAACCCATCCACTGTGCACCGTCATCAAGGTGGCAGCGGCCTCGGTGGCAGTTGTGCTATCCAAAGTGAAGCACCACTCTCCATTGGCATCGAGTTGATTCACTGCTCCGGATCCTTGTCCCTTGGGACCTGGGATGAACACTCCAGATGGATCAGACATCCTGATGCAATAGTCGCCACCAAAGAGATTGGTGAACTTGAATGCATCATTGAACTTCTTGATGTCGGTTTCGGCTGAGCGAATGACAGCACCGTCCTTGACGAGTTCAACCTTGATGTCATTGATCCTGAACTCTGTGGCTGTGTTCTGATTGATACCATCCTTGTTGGCATCATAGAAAGCATAGCCACGAATGTTGTATGCTTTAAGGGGTACCTATCAATGTTGATTTGTGATGTCGGTTGGTCAGATGTTTGTGCAAGATCTTTCAATTAGCTAGGAACACTTACAAAACCACCATGGATGGTCTTCAACGTATTACCAGACTCAGTAGCAGTGGATGCATCCAAATTGAAGCAATAGACTCCATTGCTGCTGAGCTTGTTGATGGCTCCACTTCCTTTGCCAATTGGACCCGGGGTGTAGGAGTTGCTGGGAATTGGACATCAGTCATCCTGATGCAGTACTTGCCAGCCCGGACAGGAGAGAACACAAAGGCATTGTTGAGCTTGCTGGTGTCAGTATTAGCAGTGTTCAAAATATTGTTATTCTCATCCAATAGCTCAACCTTGATGCCATTGATTCTGTATTCATCATTGTTGTTTTCATTGATGCCATCCTAATTGATTGATTGTTAGTTTGTATTATTATTATTATGATTGATTAATGGTATATATAGATCTAACCTACATTGTTGGCGTCGAAGAATGCATATCCACGGATAGTGAACTTTGGGTCTTCCGCTCCAGTAGTGGCAGTGGTGGTAGTAGCCGTGGTCGTGGCAGGGGATGTAGTCGTGGCCGGGGATGTAGTTGTGGCCGGGGAGGTGCTGGCGGTGGTGGTTGCAGGGGACGTGGTAGTTGCTGTGGTCGTGACAGGGGATGTAGTCGTGGCAGGGGACGTGCTGGCGGTGGTGGTTGCAGGTGAAGTGGTACTCGCCGTGGTAGTGACAGTTGTGGACTGAGTGGTGGCTGGACCCGTAGTAGAGGCTGTTGTGGTAACGGTGCTTACAGTGGTCGATGCACCCGCACTTGTGCTTGCAACTGTTGATTGGGTGGAGACTGTTGTACTGACAGTTGTAGACATGGTTGTTGGCTTGGAGGTCGTTGAAGCTGTAGTTGTGGCGGTAGTTGTTTGAGTGATGGTTGAGGCTGGACCAGATGTCGAGGCTGTTGTAGTGCCGGTGGTGCTCACAGTGGTAGACATAGTTGTTGGCCTGGATGTTGTGGACACAATGGTCGTGGCGGTAGTTGTTTGGGTGGTAGCAGTTGTGCTCACGATCGTTGACGTCGGTACCGAGGTGGTTGTGCTCACTGTGGTGGATGCACTGGCAACTGTTGACTGGGTTGAGACAGTTGTGCTCAGTGTTGTTGACATGGTTGTTGGCTTGGAGGTCGTTGTAACAGTTGTCGTGGCAGAGGTTGTTTGAGTGATCGTTGAGGATGGTCCCGTTGTTGATGCTGTGGTGGAGATAGTGGTGCTCACAGTCGTCGACATAGTTGTTGGCCTGGAAGTTGTGGACACTGTGGTCGTGGCGGTAGTTGTTTGAGTGATGGTTGAGGCTGGTCCCGTCGTTGATGCTGTGGTGGAGAGAGTAGTGCTCACAGTTGTAGACATCGTTGTTGGCTTGGAGGTCGTTGAAATTGTAGTCGTGGCAGTAGTTGTTTGAGTGATGGTTGAGGCTGGACCAGTTGTCGAGGCAGTGGTAGAGGCGGTAGTGCTCACTGTGGTCGACATGGTTGTTGGCTTGGATGTCGTTGTGACTGTTGTCGTGGCGGAGGAAGTTTGGGTGATTGTTGAAGCTGGTCCCGTTGTCGAGGCTGTTGTAGTGGCAGTAGTGCTCACAGTGGTCGACATTGTTGAGGTCGATGCACCGGCAACTGTGCTGGCAACTGTTGACTGTGTGGAGACTGTGGTGCTAACAGTGGTTGACAATGTTGTTGACATGGTTGTTGGCTTGGACGTCGTTGTTACGGTAGTCGTGGCAGATGTTGTTTGAGTGATCGTTGAGGCTGGACCAGTTGTTGAGGCAGTGGTAGAGGCGGTAGTGCTCACTGTGGTCGACATGGTTGTTGGCTTTGAGGTCGTTGTAACCGTTGTCGTGGCAGATGTTGTTTGAGTGATGGTTGAAGCTGGTCCCGTTGTCGAGGCAGTGGTAGTGGCAGTGGTGCTCACTGTCGTCGACATTGTTGAGGTCGATGCACCGGCAACAGTGCTTGCAACTGTTGATTGGGTGGAGACTGATGTGGTTGCCACTGTCGAGACAGGCGATGTCATCGATGACGACGTGACAATAGTGCTGGCCACTGTGGACTGTGTGGATATTGTCGTTGTTACCACAGTTGATGCTGTTTGAGTAGCAACAGTGGAGAAGGTTGTTGAGGCAACAGTGGACTGTGTTGACAACGTTGTGGTGGCCACCGTGGATGCAGAGGTGATGGGGACACATTGGGTATAACCATTGATGATCTGGCAGATTGAACCATAGCCACATCTAATCAATGAACAAGGATTAGTTGTGCCTGAGGTGATCTGAGAGGAGGTGGTGCTGAGACATGTTGGGTTGCCTCGGACAATGGCACAGATGGTGCCAACAGGACAATGGACGTTGGCACATGCTTCGAGAACAGTTGTTATTGTGGTAGTTGTGGTTGTTGGTGTTGAACATAACACGCATATTGCTTTACCGCAATCATCTTTACACTCATAGCCGACAGGACATGAGAATCCACGGCACAAGTCATGATCAGAGTCTAATGGAAAAGAGGAAAATAATAATATTTGATAGTTAATGATATGTCTAGATTGGTTTTGATGGACAAAAATATTTACTCTGAGAAACAGTATGACCGATGTAGAGTGCGAACACCAACACCAAGAAGATACTAGTATGTAACTTCATTAATAATAGAGTTGGATTTTTAATTATTAATAATTATTATTATTATTATTAATATAGAGTTGGATGGTTAATTATAAAGAATATTTATTTTATTTACTATTATTTTTTTACTATTATTATTAATACTATTAATGATTCTAAAAATAGATGGACTTAAGGTACTATTTAAATATTCCCGTACCTCTTCATAATCACTTACCATAATCCTTTCACTACCCCTAGTTATTGTATCACCTACAATCATGCACAATGTAGTTGATATGAGGTAGCTAGAGCCCATACATTACCTTTTTCTACTTCAAATCAGGCCACCCCATTCATTCAAAGGGTAGTGGAATTGAAGTAGCCAGAGGTAATGTAAATGAGCCACCACTCTTTGGGAAACAGGTTTGCAGGAACCAGTTGTCGGGGTAGCTAGTGTTGGTTGCTGAACATGTTTGGCTATCTTCAATTAGGTCTGTCTTCCACCCACTTCAACAACCACATGCATATATATGATTGGAGGATATGATCATTGATCAGGTAGAGGTGGCTAATAATAAATATAGGGAATCAAAGATGAGAGTGATGGATCAAAAGGACCATGTTGTGCTTACTTTGTACAGAGAGTTTATTATTACTTTACTTTACTTGGTTTTGTCGGCAATGGATGGTGCTGCCTCTGATTGATTGATTTGCTCACCATCTTCATGGAAGTGGCTCAATGATGGATGTCCCTTCCAATCGATATAGAACAAACCAGACTTGGTGTTCTTCTTGACGTAGGAGATGTAGTCAGCACTGCGGAAGTATGCCTTCATCCTATTTGAAATTGGTCTTATCTGTTGATGGAAGTCCCATCTCACTGTCTTTCCAGTGTCTCTTTCCTTGACACAACCAAACTCGAATGCCCATGCCACTGGAACCAGACCAAACTGATGAATATCCGACTCCAAGTCACCAACCAGTGTCAAGAAGAATGCTTGAGTAGAGGGATCAATGAAGAAGTACTCCTATATGATTGATTGATTGATTGATCTTGTTAGATAAGTGTTTAAACAAACGTTTCAATCTGATTATACATACATCTGATTGGTAGAGCAATGCATTGTGGAATCTAAATGGAGTGTTGAGAAGGAAGTCACGCTTCTGCTTGGTGGCACCAGCGACTAGGAGCTTGTCGAACCTCCTGGCAATGCCCAGACCGGGGTGTTGTTGGCCAGGCAGAGGTGGACGCTCCTTTGTAAAGTCTTTGTTGGGGTCGTGAAGGCATAGCCACTCAATGTTGGTGGCCTGGTACACATTGTCTCCAATATTCTTCTTTAGGAAGTCTTTGCCGCACTCTGTCGAGGGCCACACATAGTACTCCCCGGTAAATGAGAACTTGGGTATATGTGTAGTGATGGCGCTGGAAACATGAGCATGGCCACTGACATTGGGCGAGTATTTGGCGTTGATGTCACACAGGGCAAAGTCATCCTTTCTGCGAAGGAAACAATCAACCAGATAAATGGCAGAGCCCTTTCTGTGTGCCAATGACTCATCAGTGTACATCAATCTGTGGACATATGGATCGGACACATCGATCACCACCTTTGTATGTTCATATCCTCTGTCGCGCTGGATTGGCAGGATAGGTAAGTACATGTACATTATTATAATTGTGATTGATTATGAATGTGATCACTTACGACAGCATCATATATACCATGCTCTCTACACATGTTCTCAAGGTCCTTCTCAGAGTAGGTGTGCAGCAGTAGGTCATCGTAGGAGTGTTGGACAAAGTCGTCTTCGGTCAGGTCATCAATAGTCAAAGGGATGTCGATGGCCGAGGTAGAGTAGCTCTTGAGTACCTCACGTAGACTGTTGAGGCGCTCGGACCACTTGCCAAACATGTAGGACCAGTTATAGGACAGATACTGTCCTATTTTGAAGTGATGATCTTCGTGGTGGTGGGACTCTGGGTGATACTTGGGATTGGTGAATGAGGAGGACGATGACCCGGATGCGACAGTGGTACTGTCAGTGGCAGTAGCAGTGGCATTGTCAGTGTCAGTGGTGATATCAGCTGGCATTGTATCTATATCATGTTTGATGACATTGTTGTTATCTTTGTTCATGTCCATGTCATTCTCTTTGTCCTTGTCTACTTCATGTTGTTGTGGAGGTAGTTGTTGGAGGTGTGGTTGTTGTTGAGACGGGTCCTTGGTTGCCAACATTGGATGCTTCTTGAGAAGTGTGGATTCGAATGAGTGCTCAACAGCAGTTGTAAGGTTCATTCTTTGTTTGTTTGTTGTTGGTCTCAAAGTTTGAGTTTAATATATTAAGGTGGATAGTGAGTCAGTGAGTGAGTGAATGAGATGATTAGGTGGCTACGGATATTGGGCAATGTTGTTGTTGTTGTTTATATCTTTGAATTGAATGAAAGCTTTCAATGACGACGATGAAACAAACAAACATGTCTCTTGGTCCACCAATTCACACATTGTTACAACCTTTATTCGCCACACATTACCACGCTTGTCCTTCTCCACATCTACACACCATTCTGCAGAAGACGACACACCTATGACTCACACACACGCCCCACCCCCAAACTACACAAACATACACACGCCCCCAACCCAACACCAACAACAGTGTTTGCCTATCTGTTTCCTTTTTAGTTCGCTCCGCAATCTGTAAAGAAGACGGGAATTTGGGACCCTTGCTCCCACACATGCGGTCCAACACAACCTCGATTGTTACCTTCATCTAGCAATGGTCAGTGGACAGTAGTCTGCGAGAGAGACTTGACTGATGCTTGGTCAAAGCTTACTTCTTCCTACTGTCGTCGTCCTTTCATCTCGACAATGTCAATGGGTGGTGTTTTCACACTAACTCATCTACTCATTCCACTAATTCAATCTATGACTATGTTTACCATGGTACTATAATCTAAACAGAAATTGGTATCTTGTTACCAAGATTGTCATTCTATCTATCTCCTCCTACTTCTGAGTTAAAGTATTGGTTGTTTCTACAATGGTGGCGTGATGTCCTTCCACCCAATAAAGAAAAACCTATTATCTGGTACATGGTAGTAAGTAAGAAGTGAGTGTCTTGTTGTCTCCAACTCTATCACTGTCTCGTGTCTCGGTTTCATCTATCTATCTTTGCACTTTTAGTGTTGTTGTAGTTATTGTTGTTCTTAGCTGACAACAACAATTACTATCTGTTGATATTGACGGGATTGCACTGAGCTTGGTAACAAAGACTATCTTTGCAGTTGCTGAATAAAATAAATAAAAAGTTAGTGGAAGGTAAATAGAATTCCAAGTGGTTGACGAAACACTTCTGTTTGTGTGTGAACCTGAGGTTGAGACCATTGAATGGAAGAGACCTCTCGAGACCTTTGGCAAAAGGGTAATCAAACAAACACAATGAATGAATACAGGTATTAAGGATAATAACAAGTTATAATGCGCAACAACAATAATAAATAATAATAATACATAAGTTCAACACAACATAACAACATGCCACATAACAGTTCAAGTAACAATAATAATAACAACAGTACTATTGTCAACTGCAACAACAATAACGACAACAATCATAATAATAATAATAATAATAGTAATGGTGATGAGATGGTTGTTCTCACAAACTCAATCAAACAGATACATTTACATAATGAAGTATTAGCAGCACAACAACTACAAATTACAATATTAGACCTACCAATTGAGATACTGTTAAACATATTTACGCCATTCTACAATGACCTCATATTCTCACATGATAACGATGAAGATCTGACATCATCATCATCATCATCATTGTCATCATCATTGTCATCATCAACATCGTCGGCGATGACCACAGCCACAGCCACCAACACCACCTCCACAACAATGACGACAAACTCAAAGCTGAGTCGTTATGAACAATATAGATTGGACTCATTCAGGAGCATCATTTCATTCGCACAGACTTGCAAGCTGTTCTATAACATACTTCAAGATGACAGTCTATGGCAGTTGCTATATCGCAGACATTTCTCATTCTACTCGCAGGTGGATGTCGATCGCATATGTCTCTCCAACAGTCTATCACCTCTGCTCGAGTCGGCCAATAGACAGGGCGATAAAGGTTGTGGCGCCGTCGCCGCACCGCGATTCGAAGCCAAAGAACATACAGAAAGCGCGCCTTGGAAGCGACGATATACAATGCGCGGACATCCTTGGAGTGTGGACGACATCACATGTCACAAGGAGATAGTTGGTGGACATCAGCTTGGCGTCACATCACTCGAGGTCGATGACAACTACTTGTTCTCGGGCTCGCACGACTCCACCATCAAGATGTACAACCTGGATACGCTCAAGCATGTGCACACTTTCCAAGGCCACGAACTCACAATCTGGGCGCTGCTCTCGGATGGCAAGCGACTGTACAGTGGCTCGAACGATCACAAGATACGCGTGTGGGACCTGAAGCGTCGCCACTGCAAGTCGATACTGCGGGAGCACAACACCAAGATCTTTTCGCTGGCCATCAAGGAAAATGTGCTGATCAGCTCGGGCGACGAGACGATCAAGGTGTGGAACAAAAAGACCCTGGTGCCAATGCTCGACCTGAAGGAGCACACGCGCGGCGTCAACACCATGTCGGTGCACAATCACCATCTGGTCAGCGGGTCGTCCGACAAGACCGTCAAGATCTGGGACCTCAACACGATGCAGTGCGTATCCACCAAGGAGAACCCGGCCACGGGCAAGGTCCTGTCGATGGCCCTGGTCGACTGCAACACGGTGGCCACGGGCACCGATTACCTACACATCAACACATGGGATCTACGCGAGCACAACAAGGTCAACATCATCAAGAATGCGCACAAGTGGGAGGTGTGGCAACTGCACATGTGTGGCGGCTACCTATTCAGTGGCTCATTCGACCACACAATCAAGACATGGGACCTTCGCAACTTCCAGAATCAACGCACAATCACTGGCCATCGTAGTTTCCTACACGCTCTAACCAGTTCCTCCTATCATCTATTCAGTGGATCAGCTGATAAATATATTAGAGTATGTTAGTTTGTTGTTGTTTGTTGATCATGACCGGGCCTCACAACAAAAGCCACTTACACACTCTCTCGCTCTCCCTTCAATCACATCACACAAACACAGGTATGGTCTCCATTCACAACTTAGATTGGCTTAGATCATTGCCATCTTTACACATAGACGAATCAATGACTTTAGATTGGGCGACCCAAATGAGAGATCATTGGTCAACTGACACACTCACGCTACACTGCACTCTACAAACTTTATAAACACCTCTCCCTAAAGGCAGAGAGAGTGGTCGATGATTGGCAACGAGAGTTGACCTTTCATCACGCGTCGCGGCGTCTACCTCCACACACCGAGACCAACAAAACCACGCACCGGACCCTTACCCTTATATCCACAAGGCCTCAAACAAGGTTATTTTTAAAAGCTTCAGTGTGTGGGAGTCAAATATCAGCCATCTTGACGAAGGAGGGCTTCCGAGCTTACATAATCAAATATCTAATTCGGGTTGAATCCGTCATAATTATCATCACGTTCAACAAACACACAAACACACAACTCACATAATCAATCAATCTTCAAGATGATGTTGTGTTTGTTATTATCTGTCTAATTAGAAAATTATTATTTGTACATAGAGATATATATATAAGATTTATTTATTATAATGGCCATCAACAAACTAACAAATAGAGGATACTTGTTCAAGAGAGGACGTATCAACACAAAGTGGCAGAAACGATGGTTCATGCTTGGTGCAGACAGTCGTCTATGTTACAGTAGATCACCATCGGATAAAGGAATGTCTGGTTATATACAACTGATGAGAGCAATCATAAGTGTAAGGTTGAGTCTATTGATTGATCAATCGATACAACAACTAACAATCAATCATAGATTGTACCAGATGTTATCGATGAGTATGATCATTGCTTCAATATAATTACACCTGATCGTGTATATTATATGGCTGCAGAGACAAAGGTGGAGATGGACGAATGGATAAAGATAATTGAAACACATTCATTCATCAAGGCTGAGAATGACTTGATGGATGAGGCAGAGTTCAATATAAGAGAGTACATGTTGAAGCGTTCAAACATGGTCGATCATATGATGAGCAAGCAGGATAAGGTATATAATCATCTCAAGGCGAACAATCATCCAACTACTCCAATGACCAGCACTGGTACAAGTAGTGGCAGTAGTAGTGGTAGTAGTAGTGGTGGTAGCAGTAGTACATCATCATCATATACTTCACAAATGTCTTCTTCATCATCTTTGGCATCGTCATCATCACCGTCGGTATCACTGTCATCTAGGGGTGTACTGTCTTCATCTCCATCCAGCAGTGGCAGTCGGCGTCTAATGTCGTCTAGAGATCAACCAACAATGTCCACATCAATGCCATCGACCAACAACATCATTCTGAAACCTTCATCATTCTCATCGTTTGCCTCTGATAAGATACCTTCACCATCAACACATAACAACAATAATAATAATAATAATAGGAATACAATGCCAGCACCAATTACATTGACAACAACTTCAACAACAATCAATCATCAACAACACCAGTGTGGCGGACCGACTGCCAGCATTGTTGTTGACAACATAGATAGTATTGAAGAGCAGCATACTACCACCATTAGCAGTAGTAGTAGTAGTAGTATTGGCGATAATAGTAACAACACTACTACCAACACAAGCAGTAGTAGTATAAGTAAGAGATCAAGGAGCTTCAGTTTATCATTCTCAACAAAGACTGTTATGAAGACATGGTCCTAGTACTGCTGTGATAGTAGTAAATCACATTGTATACATCAGGACAATAATAATAATAATAATTAAACATAATGTTATTATCTTTCCATCTAATCAATCAAATTGAATGAATGCCATTGAAAGAATGAAGTGACCAGTTTGGTCATCACCACTTTTCATTCAAAAGCAACACATCCACCACCAAACCCAACATTCAAATTGGATGAACAACACCAGACAGTGATACTGATCATCAACGGATATATATATCTGTGTTTGATTGATTGAACAGAAGATACATGTACATACTTAATACCTAATATATATATATATATGATAATAATATAATGAGTAATCAAACTTTGCAACCTCTGCTACCTCTGCAGCAACAACAACAACAATCACAGCCTCAACAAGTACCAACAACAACAACTCCTCCAACAACAACAACAGCATTAACAACATCAACAAACAGTACCAAACCAAGACTATGCTTTAAACGTGAACTCGATGAGCAGGATTCGCTCGAGGCTGTATGTTTCGATCATTCAATCATTCATTCAATCAATCAAACATATACTAACTGACATGGTATGACTGTGATACATGCTACAGAGTTGGAGAGAACAGTATGAGAAGATTGAACAGGTATTGAATACAACTAGTGAGACAGAGATATTGGCTGCATTGATGGATCGTGTGGGCGAGGGACCGGATAGACATGCTGATGTGACAGTGGCATTGTTGTACGCCGTGTTGGTGTACGGTCACAATCAATTCTGGAAGTACTTGACAATCGTCACCAAGGATTCACTACAATTCTGCTGTCAGCAACTGAAGAAACTGATCAATGATCGCTTTCAAAAGCTGAACGACTTCCCTCGCGCACAACTACTCTGGCTGCTGTCTGAGCTAATCTCTGCCAATCACCACGACAGTGAGGCCATAGCCGCACTCCTAATGCGACACATCTACAGTGGCAACACCACGCCCAAGAACATTACACTGGCCACCAACCTCCTTTCAATCATATCAACAAACAAGTGAGTATCATTACGCATCGTTCAAACATGGAATCATTCCAATCACATGATTGATCGATCACACATACTCACTCCTTCCCTTCCCATCACCTTACAGGACATGGCTATACAATCGCTCGATGTTTATACCGACAGCACTTTATACATTCCTGCGCTTGTTGCAGGACCACTTGAAGCCACAGTTCAATTCGCTGCGCGAAGCAGAGACCACATTCTGCCTCGATCTGCTCAGGAACAAGTTCAACGAATCAATCACGATTGGCAGGGACCTGGTACGTGTGCTACACTACCTCTCGACGTGCAAGCTGCCCGAGTTTGAGCAGCTTTGGAAGGACCTCAACACCAAGCCGGCATCATTCTCCAGTTCGTTTGCCGACTTGTCTAGTATCATGCGCATCCCGACGCCCAAGCACCACCTGCAGTTCCGTCTATCGCCCGAGATGGAGACACAGGTGCTGTTCATCCTGAAGGAGGTGCGCTTTGGCTACCAGAAGCGCTACCAGCAGTGGTTCGTCACCAAGCATCTCCCCACGCCCGAGTCTGAGTCACTCATTCCCGACCTGATCCGATACATCTGTTGCTGCTACCACCCGCCCAACCACGTGCTCTGCAGCGACATTGTGCCGCGCTGGGCCATCATTGGCTGGCTGCTCAAGCATTGCAAGGACCAGTGGCGACTCTATGCCAAGCAGGCATTGTTTTACGATTGGCTCTACTATGATGGCAAGCTCGATTCGATCATGAATATCGAGCCGGCACTGTTGCTGATGGCCTGCTCAATCAAGAAGTACTCAGACATGACTGTAGACCTTGTCGAGTTTATCCTCTATCTCTTGGAGAATCATGACAAGAGCAGGAAGGATATGATCAAGAATGGTATCAACACTGCATTCGCCAACACATTGGACAAGAGTGTTGTGCCGTATGTATCCCAACTCATTCATTCATCCATTCAATCAATCATACTGACTGACATGTCCTCACAATATATAGCTCATTGGAACCAATATTCTCAACAGAGTGTCTGAGTCCTGCATTGTATGATAAGGTCAAGGTGTATTTCTCACATTTCATGGCAGGAGGTCCACAACATCACCCTCATCCTCCTGCTGGTGGAGTACCACCTCAACAACAGCAGCCACCGCAACCACAACAATCACCTCAGAGACCGACACCTGCTCCAGGGCAGTTCAAGCCCCATTCTCTTGGCTCCTCACCTCAGTTTGGCAGCAGTCATCAGATGCCGCTTGGTCATTTGAAGCAATCACCATTGATTCAATCACAGCAAAACATCTCACAGCAACAGCAACTTCCAGTCAATCCACCACCACAATCATTGAAGCTTGAGGATGGCCAACACCAGCAACAGCTAATCAACAAGGAGAAGGATGAGAAGGAGGACGTGCAGATGAAGGAGGTGGGTGCTCCGATCCCCACAGCAGCAGTGGCAGCACAGTCGACAACACCTGTAACCGCCCAAACACCGATCTCACACTCTCTACCATCAAGCAAGCCTGCGACTCCATCACTGAGAAGCTCTGCGACTACACCTCTCTCTCACACTCCTCTCACCTCGTCCACCTCCACAACTCCAAACCTTTCATCTCAGAACATTGGCAGCAGTAGTACCACTGCCCCACCCACACAGCAACAGCAAGGGCAAGGACAAGATTTGTCCGCGAGCACGACGACCACGACAACGACGAACAAAAGAGATAGAGAACAGAGGGATAGAGAGAATAGCGAACATTCTCAATCACAACAGCAATCCAAAGATGACACTGCACACCCATCGATTACAAAGAAGCATGATCACACTCCTACAACACCGACATCAGCATCGACCGCGGCTGCCTCATCCTCCACATCATTCCCTGGCAAACCAACTCCCCTCTCACTTTCCTCGCAATCACTGCCGGCCAACCCGCCAGCTCCATCCCCCAGCCAGCATCAACCGATGGAGATTGTGCAGGACCATCAACCGCCTGCCAAGTCTGCCACGACCAATACCACTCCTCAATCACAGGTACCAACACACCCACACCCACAGCCACAGACCCAGACACAGACACAGACATCAATGACCAATGAATCGACGACCACAACAGATGATGACAAGATGGTGATATCAAGCGAACAAACTGAGAACATTACAATTGACGAGGAGTGTCGCGTAGACGTTCCCGACATCTTGCTGACCACTGGCAACTCAAAGGCTGACTACCAGCCGATCAACCTCAGCTCCACACTCAAGTCAATCCTCACCAACTTTGCCCAGCAGATGGCCAAGCTCAAAGACAACTCAGCCGCACAGAACGAGCTGACCACGGCACTCTCTAGCTATCTAAACACAGCGTTCAAGCCACAGTTCTCAGACACACTCTCTCCCCTATCCCTATTCACCAGCTTCCAGCCCATCCATCATCTGTTCAAGGCATGCTCAGCGAGTCCGCAACAGCATCATCAACCACCACACACTAGCGAAGCCATGATGAGCTTGCTCAAGGAGATGTACAAGTTGGAGCCAGCAATCAGTTACAATCTGCTGATATGGCAGATAGTGACATCCTATGGTGGACTGACACTGAGCACCAACTCAAACAGCTACCTCTATCCAGACATTGACAACACTTCACTCTTGTTTGAACACACGACTACATCAACGCCGCCAGCGAGCAATGGAATCATTGTGGACACGATGTCCATGGGTGCGGGCGCAGCAGCGGCCGCCGACAATGAGGAGGAGTTGTACAAAGTGGAGAAGTTGGTCGAGTCCGTCACCGATCTCAATCCTGCCACCAAGAACATCCTATCCGTCTACCAAAAGTTTATCAACTATCTTCACACTGGCAACAGCAGCATCAGCAGTAGCAGTGGCAACCTCAACAACAGCAACAACAACAGCTACATGATCGAACATATTATTACCGATTGCAAACGACTGCAAGACGAGCAAAGCCTCATGTTCTACGTGCTGCCAACACTGTACAGATACATGCCATCGTTCACGATTGGCAACAGCGAGCTGATGATGCTGGTTCTCGACTACATCGACCCCAAACAGCTGTATCGATTGTGCAACAAGTTGGCGATGGGCGAGTTCAGGATGTTTGGCAACGCCTCGCTGGCGCTGGTCGACCACGCCTTCCACCTGGAGTCCTTTGAGCAAACGTACGTGTGGCAGCTGCTGCTGGCCGAAGACCGCGCGCAGCACACCCTGCTACTCAAGGTGTTCCCGGTCATTGCGCATCGACTGGACCCGCTGGCACACAGCGAGATACTGCTACAGCTGTCGGTCGGTCTCAAAGAGACCAATGCCAACAGCAAGATGCTGTCCGAGTTGATCTCACTGTCGCCACACTTCCACCCATTCTCACTGGGCGTCTTTGCCACGTGGCAACAGCGACAAACGGCCAACTTTACATCTACCGTCTACGATCTGATTTCAGCCAACACCAATGATAAGCGACTACTCGAGAGGATACTCTACTTCTACAACCTGTACTTTAAGAAATATACACATCACGCTGGAGATCACTCTGGCAACAAGAATACAACTGGATCTGGAACTGGAACTACTGGATCAGGATCAGGGTCAGGTGGAAGTGGAGCAGGCACCAACAACAAAGATCATCAACATATTAACGAAGGACTGAACAACATTGATTTGAACGATCGTATCGTCCGTATATTCAAGTCCAACAATACTTTCCAACAAAAGTACTCGACACTCTTCCAACACCTAGTTCTCACGCCAACTCCACTGTCCTCTCCACTCCTGGACGGTGACAATCCAAAGAAGAAGCTAAAGAAATAAATAAGGTGTCAACCATTAGTATTACTTTATCCATGCCTCAATCACGTCCCACACTCGATCACATCACCACCCCAATCAATCACTTTCGTTGGTCTAATTTGATCAAATAAAGACGAAGATGAGATGTTAAATCATTCTAAGATCTTTAATTAATATTTATGTTATAGTTATACACACAGGTAGACGACACAGATGGCAATGCGACTGCGGATGCGTACACAGATACCTTTGTTGGTTGTATCACTTCTGTTGCTACTGCCTCATGAGGTCATTGATGCAAGACAGTATATCGAGACACTCTCTCTTGAATCAAACAAGCCACCAACATATCCCATTACTGTATGTCATGTACATTCAACTTGTTGTTGTGCTGATAAATGAACAGTGATCAGTTGAGCAATCATACTAACCTTACCCTACCCTTCAACATGACAACCTCAATAGCACTTTGCCTTCTTGGAAGGAGGAACATTATCTGTATCAGTTATATCTTCGGTATGTCTACCAATCATTGACTCAATCAATCAGTCATTCGTCACAACTCACTCACTCAATCACTTACTCAATCAATCAATCACACAATCAAACATACTCAGCCTCAAGAACAACCAGTATACTTCACAGCATGTTCAGAGTATGATTGGTTATACTTGTATGGCCACAAGGTTGTTGAACCTGCATGTGATCTGTTGAACAACTCGACAAAGGAACAGAATGAGATGCGATGTTTGATAGTGGCCAAGTTCACAGATCAGCTCAGTATATATAGAACGATCGATAGGTACGGCGAGTTCTACATCAACCTACTCACGTGCCAGAACATCAGCATGGTCAACGTCACAATGAACGCGACAATGCTCAACCCAGACGGCAACAAGCTGTCGGCCGAGCTGGTGCCCACGCCCACTCTCTATCTGGTGATGGCGGTGGTGTGGACCTTCATACTGATCAACTGGCTGGCGCTGTTCATTGCGCGCCACCGCCGCTATCTGTCCCTGCTGCACCTGCTCATCACGGTGTACCCTCTGTCCAAGGCGCTCATCTGTGCCTACGACTACTACATCTTTCACATGGCTGCGTTCGACATGCTACACACGTCCAACAACTTTGTCTTCCATCTCTTGCGCATTTACTTTGAGCTCTTCTTCCAGCTCTTCCTACTCTTGCTGGCGATCGGTTGGAGACTCATCAAGAATGGTCTGCGCAATGAACGAGTCAGCATATTCGCTCTTCTCACAGGTCTTGGCGTAGCCCTAGTACTCAATGAGTTATATTCAAGGCAGAACATATCATATGTATGTTTATCATGTGTATCATGTGACCATTGACATGGTCCTGGGCATGGATATGGACATGGATGGAATCATTCCAATGTTTGACTAACACTCACACACGATCAATCCAATCAATCACAACTAGTTATTTGTCGTGATGTTTGTACAGCTGTTTAGAACAATACTCATCTTTTATATCTTTGCATCGATCGACACCAACATCAAAGAGTTACACTACAATATATTACAGACACCTCCATCATTGCAAGCAGAACTAATGTCACTCATCAAGAAGTACAAGATATTCAGGTATGTACCGGACACATCCACATCATTCCATCAATCCACTCATTCAATCAATCAATCAATCAATCGCACTACAGAACACTAAAGTCCATTGTAATGTTATGGATTGGATTGGTTGTGCTCAAGTTCTTCTCAACATTACTGTTCTATGGAGGTGGAATGAATAACTGGGCAGAGATGATGACTGGTGAGCTATTGGATTTAATAATATTCATTTGTATAGGGTATGTATACATCACTCCATAATCATGGAACTATTCCATCCTTACTCACTCACTAATGATCAATCAATCAAACATAGATATGTTTACCGACCAAGGAATGACGATGTATTTATATTTAGATCAGAAGAGGGTAATGATGCAGAATCTGGCAATATTGAAATGGATACTATTCAAATTAGTAGGAACAGTAATTCAACTGGAAACAACAACAATAGTAGTAGCCATGATGATGACGATGACGACGATGATGATGATGATGATGGTGATTCAGTACATTATAGACCAACCACAACTATACCAACTACATCAATATAATCTATTGATACTTGTATCAATCAACCATGTCATTAATTAAAGTCATTGTCCAAGCCGAAGGAAGGTCAACGCATGACCACTCTTGGGGTCAAGTCAACCATCAAGGGAAGTTCCAACAAGTTGCTTTGTTTCAAAATTGAAACTGGGGTGAGTCGTGAACATGCAAGGTGGAATGATGGGGCTGATGCTGGCAGCACATCAATCACACAACAACAAGCAAGGGTATTCAGGTGACTAGTCACTGACAGACCAATCTCACATCTGACTTGACTCGTCATACACTCATCTCTTTGTGTTTATTAAACTCATTATTCATACCTATTAAGTTAGTTAGTTAGTTAGACAGATAAGATATACATTTATCATTGTTATAATATTATATTATTTATAACATCTGTCATTCCATTCATTCATTCAATCATTCAATCATTCATTCATTCATTCAACCAAAACATAATACTTATATACTTATATATAAATAATAATAATAATATAATATAATGATGTCTAATCAGTCAACAACACAAACAGGAGGTGGTGGTGGAGCACATACAGGAGGCCCAACTCAACCAAAGCCAGCACATACTCTACGTGGTATTGTTCGTGCTGTGAACTCTGGCGATAGTTTGGTCATTCAGGAGATTGACAGCGCACGTGGCGAGTTCAAGGACAAGCAGGAGTTCCTGCTGTCGGGCATCTGCGCCCCACGTCTGGCTCGCCCAGGCAACAACGACAAGGCAGCCACACAGGACGATCCCTTTGCCTGGGACTCGCGTGACTTTTTGCGTAAGCTGTGCATCGGCAAGCGCGTCAACTTTGTGATCGACTACACCAACCCGGCCTCGAGAAAGTCCAACATCACAGCCTACGTCTCGGACGACTCGGAAAACTCGATCAACAAGCAGATGGTCGAGAATGGTTGGGCCACCGTCTACAAGTCAAAGAAGCCCGATGCCGCCCTCATGCAGCTCGAGCTCGAGTCCACCAACAGACAGCTTGGTCTCCACAACAAGAGTGCCATCGCCGTCAACAACGCCGTCAGACCAACACACAACATCACCTCTTTTGACCTCTTCAACAAGCTCAAGGGCAAGCAGTTGCAAGGTATGTTGTTGTCACATGATTGATTGATTGATTGAGCGAGCGACTAACCCTCCCTTTGGACCAAAGCCTTTGTTGAGAACATTAGATCAACTAAATATAAATTGGTGATCCTGCCATCATTCCATGTGGTCACTGTCCAGCTGTCTGGTGTGCAATGCCCAGGCTACAAGAAGGACGCCTCTACTGGTGAGATGGTGCCAGAGCCATTCGCTGTGGACGCCGAGACGTTGGTCAACAACAATGTGCTCCACCGTGACATCACACTCACCCTTGACACTCTCGATAAGCAGGGCAACTTGTTTGGTTCAGTGATGTGCGCCGGCAAGGACGTCGCCGAGGAGCTGCTCAGACAGGGTCTGGGCTCGTTCGTCGCATGGAGCGCCACCAACCGCACGATCGCCGAGCAGGCCGCCCTCAAGACCGCCGAGCAGAACGCCAGAAACTCTCGCCAGAGGATCTGGAGTCTGCCAGGCGCTGTGCCCGCCGCTGGTGCAGAGACCTCAACCACATCCACATCCAGCACCGGCGTGTCTGCGCCCACCCAGGCCGAGGGCCACCCACAGGAGATCAGCGGAAAGGTCACAGAGATTGGCAACAGTGGACAGCTCACCATCGTGGACGAGCACAGAGGCGAGCACAAGATTGCCTTGGCTTCGATTCGTGTTCCAGGCTACTCCAAGGTCACTTCAGAGTCTGAGAGCGATGAGCGCCGCTTCGAGAGATACTGGGCCGTCGAGGCCAAGGAGTGGCTCAGAAAGCGTCTGATTGGTCAGAAGGTCAACGCCAAGCTCGACTTTATCCGTCCAGCCCTCCCCGCCAACAACTTGCCTGAGAAGGCATTCTACAGTGTGTACTTTGGCAAGGGCAACGTGTCACTTGGTCTGCTTGAGGCCGGTCTGGCCCAGGTCCAGGAGCACAAGTCCTCAGACAACAGATCAGTTGAGTACGACGCACTGGTGATGGCCGAGAACAAGGCCAAGAAGAAGGCCGTCGGTCTGTTTGCCAGCCACAAGTCCACGCCAAACTTCACAGTGAACGACGTCAGCGCAGCCGACGACAAGAACCTCAAGGCCAAGGCCACCAAGCTGCTACCACACATCAGAGGCACACTCAACCCAGCAATCGTTGAGTACGTATTTAGCGCACAGAGATTCAAGTTGTACGTGCCCAAGGAGTCCTGTCTGATCAACTTCTCGCTGTCGAGCATCCGCTCTCCCAAGCGTGGTGAGAACGCCGAGCTCGACCTGCTGTCCAACCAGGCTCTTCTCTTCTCGCGTGAGCACCTCCACCAGCACGACGTGTTCATCAGGATCGACGACGTTGACAAGGGAGGAAACTTCATTGGCACACTGATGTTCAACAACAAGAACTACGCCCTCACCCTCGTCGAGCAGGGATACGCCTCAATCTACGACCCAATGAGCCGTCTGGACAAGACATTCGTCGACGCTGAGACCAAGGCCAAGAACGCCCGTCTCAACATCTGGAAGTCGTACGACCCAGAGGCCGAGCAGAGAGAGTTGGCTGCCGCCGAGGCCGCTGAGGCTGAGAAGCGTGCCGTCCGCACCGACGCCCAGGAGATCACCATCAGCAGCGTTGCTAGCGCCACCGAGCTCTACGTGCGCCGCAACAACAACGACATTGAGGAGTCACTCAGAGCTCTGGACCTGGACGACGCCAGCACCGCCAACTGGTCGCCCAAGGTTGGAGAGATGGTTCGCGCCAAGTACAGCCAGGACCAGAAGTGGTACAGAGCCAAGGTGTTGGCCATCACTGGCAAGGAGGTGGACATTCTGTTCCACGACTATGGCAACAAGGACATTGTGTCGCTCGGCGACGTCAAGCCCCTGTCTGGCAAGTTCCAGGTCCTGCCCGCCCTGTCCAACATCGTGTCACTTGCATACCTGAAAGCCTCGTCCAACGAGTACCGTAACGACGACGCCATCGACTACCTGGAGGGCGTCGTAGGCAACATCATGACACTGACCGTGCAGTCCAGAGACGATTCGGGCAAGACCTCAGTCGTACTCAAGGACGAGCAAGGTGTGCTCAACTGTGAGCTGCTCCGAAAGGGTCTGCTCAAGCTGGACCACCAGACCGCCAAGAGAAACCCAGCCGTCTACGACAAGTATTCCAACGAAGAGAAGTTGGCCAAGAAGGAGAGACTCTGCATTTGGGAGCATGGTGATGTCAGCAGCGATGATGAGGACGAGGCTGCCAAGAAGTTCGCTGGCAAGCCACAGAGAGGTGGAAGAAGATAAACACATACGCAAACACATTGTATCAAACTCATCATAAACAAGTACATTATAAATAATAACCTTGACATTTAAAGCAAGGTGCCATATACATCATACAGTGTTGGCGCCTTCGACAACATGGCGATGACCATCCAATCAATTATTCAATCCAATTGGAAGAAGGTCGAATGGTGGTACACATGGACCCGGGCGGGCATCAATACACAATGACTTTAGCTAAAGTAAGGTTATTCAATTGGTCATCAACACTTGATTAAAAGTAATAATAATGATTGATTGGGAAGTGTATGTGTTAGTGTGTATATGTTTGATTGACAATCATAAGGTTTCCAACACACCACCGCCATCATGGTGATTAAGGGTGAATTGCCACCTTTTCCCCCATGATCAATCAAAAGAAGAGTTAAGGGGGGTTTGATCGAAGTGACATTGTCTTGTGTGAGATTGAATTGAATTCGAAATTGGGGTATTGACACTTGTGCCATCACAATCTGAACCATTCGTATTACTTACTTACTTATTTAAATTCTATCTGTCTATCTATCTCTCACTTATATATATATATACTAACTACACAGTAATAATAATAATAATGGCAACAACAACATCGACCAATCATAATATTAAGGTTAGCAAAGTGGACATGTCCACTAATGACATTGAGTATAACTATGACTTTGATCCAAATGTCAAGTTTAAGGATTACATCAACAAAGGTATGTCTGTCAGTCAGCTCATACATGCTCAAGTCCAATCACGTGACCTCTAACTCAATCATCATCATCCAAAAGGTGCTGAGAACTACAAGTCAATCAATAATAGATGGAAGACTACACAATCTTCATCATCAACATCATCGACTACATCATCAAACATGAATACAACATCAACTTCAACATCAACAACAACATCAAGTGTCAACAACAACAACCGTAGTAATGTCAACATCAACAATAACAGTAGTAGTAGCAGCAATAATAGCAATAGAAATAACAATAGAATGGATTATATTAATAGTGATAGTGTAGATGCTATACAAGTGATTGATGAACTACTACACAAGAATGGACTGTTCTCAAAGAGAGTGCCACTGCCTGACCTGGTATCAATACTGGTCGAGGAATGGGAGACTGAGGAGGCTGCACTCTAAGTCATGTCTCATTACATTATTTATTCATTCAATCATTCAATCAATCATTCAATCAATCGACCAAGGCCGATGTACATTCAATCATACATTACACCTGGATGGAGCACAATCTCCTTCTTCCTTCCATCTATAGTCATTCATTCAGCCGCGCCGCACGAACAGCTTATCGACATTAAATAATACTTTGCATCCTTGTCACTGAGACAGGGGACAGACAGACAAACAGACAGACAGGCTTCGTTAATCACACCTCTAACAATACAGTACAATTGTTTGTTTATTGAGTGCCAGCGCTGACACCAAGCAGGAACAATAATGATGGCGTTCTGCTTCCCTCTGTGACCCACTCGTCGCGACTGATTGTGCTGCTCTTGTCAGCGTCGATCTTTTGGAATAGAGCACGGACAAAGTGGTCCAGGTCCTTCTCGGGCTTGCCCAACGACTTTCCAATCTGGATGATTAGACGGATGAGCTGGTCGATCTCGACCTTCTCCAGAGTGCCACTCTTGTCACGATCAAACACGTCGAATAACAAGTTGAGCTTCTCCTCCTTTGATCCATGTCCAATGACACCAATGGCCACGGACAACTCCTTAAAGTCGATAGTTCCACTCCTGTCCGTGTCAAACGCGTTGAACAGGTCTGACATACGTTGCTCTGGGAAGTTTGGCAATCTAACCTTTAACAAACTGATGAACTCTGAGTTGAGTTGAATGATTGAGTGAGTGAGTGAATGATCAAGGTTGATTGATTGATGGACCACCAATCACATACCAGTGCGCTCCAATGCTCCACTGCCATCCTTGTCAAACTTCTTGAACTCTTCAAAGAGCTTAGCAACCTCTCCCTTTGACAAGTTGGTCTGTTGTGACATGTATGCCAAATCGGCATCAGTCAACTTTGATGATCCACTTCCCATTTAAATAATAATTTTGGTAATAGTAATAGTAACTGTATTAAGAATTAATGATTGTGAACACTTTGATTGTATCATCGCGATAATAGTGAGGTGCCTCCTGGCCTGATTGATTGTCTGGTTGATTGACACCAAAAATTAATATCTACTTATCTTTGATCGATCAAAAACAATCCAAAAATAAGTTCAATGTTTCAAAGAATGGGCATGCCATCGGAGAAGAGTCTCTCTTGACATTAATCACTCAAAGTGGGAATTGTGTTGGTATGTATTGATACAGGTACTGTATCATTACCCATATTAAATCTTTTTGATTCATTAGTACCTATCTGTTATCAATAATAATCTTCTCTTTTTTGAAAGTTACGTCAGGACCATCATTGATGTCAATTGATCAAGTTTCACTAGTCGATCGTTTTCAGAGCATGTTCAGCTTATTTTGTTTTGTTTTTTTTTTTGTCATTCACACACATCATGAGGTGAAGAGCAAAGCGCGTTTATTCATCTGATATCAACAAACAACACCAAACCAATCATTCAAACATTCAATCAACATAATTGTTGAGAGTAGTTATATTTATATATCTCTCTCTCTTATCTCTATCCATATATCTCTGTTTTTGGAACACAGTGGTATTGGTAGTCGACTGTATCAAACAATCAAACAAACAATCATCGCGATCAAATTGGATCACTCAAGGACAGTCCAATCGACAGATTATCAGAACACAACAGACAATCAAACACACATATACATCAGATACATACATCTAAGCCATGTCTGAATCTATGCAGCTTGACGATGTCGCCAAGCAGCAAGAGAAGGGTATGTCTCACTCACTCACTCACTCACTCATACAATCAAACAAAGTAATGAAGATCCAATACTAATCAATCAATCACATATTCAAATACCGACATAAACAGCAAAGAAATGGTTACAGCTAAACAATAAAAGATATAGCGAGAAGCGAAAGTTTGGCTATGTCGAACCACAGAAGGAGGACATGCCCCCATCACATCTGCGCAAGATCGTCAAGGATCATGGCGACATGTCAAACAAGAAGTTCAGACACGACAAGCGTGTCTACTTGGGCGCGCTCAAGTACATCCCGCACGCCATCTTCAAGCTGCTGGAGAACATGCCCATGCCCTGGGAGCAGGTCAGGAACGTCAAGGTGCTCTACCACATCACGGGCGCCATCACATTTGTCAACGAGATACCGCTGGTGATCGAGCCAGTCTACCTGGCGCAGTGGGGCAGCATGTGGGTGACGATGAAGCGCGAGAAGCGTGATCGTAAGCATTTCAAGCGTATCAAGTTCCCGCTGTTTGATGACGAGGAGCCTCCCCTCGACTACGCCGAGAACATCCTCGACGAGGAGGTTGAGTACTCCATCCAAATGGACCTGGAAGAAGACGACGATGCCGCTGTCATCGACTGGTTCTATGACAACAAACCATTACTCAATACCAAGCATATCAATGGACCTTCATACAAGTAAGTGATTGGATGGACCATGATGATTGATTGATTGATTGATTGACTAACATTCCTCAACTACATGTTATAGGAAGTGGAAATTGGACTTGCCAATCATGTCGACATTGTTCCGTTTGGCCTCACCATTGTTGAGCGATCTGACGGATCCAAACTACTTCTATCTGTTTGATGACAAGTCATTCTTCACGGCCAAGGCATTGAATATGGCCATCCCAGGTGGACCCAAGTTCGAACCACTGTTCCGCGATATGGACGACGGCGACGAGGACTGGAACGAGTTCAACGACATCAACAAGATCATCATCCGCCACAAGATCAGAACAGAGTACAAGGTGGCCTTCCCCTACCTCTACAACAGCAGACCGCGCAAGGTTGCCATCCCCTTCTACCACGCGCCCAACATATGTTACGCCAAGTCGGACAACCCCGACCTGCCAGGCTTCTACTTTGATCCGGTGCTGCTGCATCCAATCCCCTCGTACAAGACCGATCGCACGACGGCCTCTCCGTACGGTGACGACGACGATGACTTTGTGCTGCCCGACGACGTCGAGCCACTTCTGCCAGACACAGAGATGGACACAGTGGACACGCCTGCAGGCATTCGCCTGTACTGGGCACCCAAGCCATTCAATCAGCGATCGGGACTCACTCGCCGTGCACAGGACGTGCCAATCGTCCAGGCGTGGTACAAGGAGCACTGTCCCCAGGCACACCCAGTCAAGGTGCGTGTCTCCTACCAGAAGCTGCTCAAGTGCTACGTGCTCAACAAGCTGCACCATCGCCCACCCAAGTCGCTCAACAAGAAGTACTTGTTCCGCTCGCTCAAGTCCACCAAGTACTTCCAGTCGACCGAGATTGACTGGGTCGAGGCCGGTCTTCAGATCTGTCGCCAGGGCTACAACATGCTCAACCTGCTCATTCACAGAAAGAACTTGAACTACCTGCATCTGGACTACAACTTCTATCTCAAGCCCATCAAGACACTGACGACCAAGGAGCGCAAGAAGTCGCGTTTCGGTAACGCCTTCCATTTGTGTCTGGCTGCCGGCACTCCAGTGTCGCTGAGCTCAGGCATTTCTTGTCCAATCGAGAGCATCGTGGCAGGTGATCGCCTGCAATCATGGGCAACACTGCCTTTCGAGTCGACGACTGAAAAGAAAGTGTGCTACGAAGGTGTGGCGAGTGCCGCATTCCAAGTTCACGCTGAGCCACAGGCCGTCGTGCGCATCCACGGCTGGGACGGCTCCACTCTTACATGCACTCCAACACATCCAGTGCTGGCCATTAGCAAGGAGGATAAGGAGCCACAGTGGATCCCAGCTGGAGATGTCACCTCTGAACACTCCATCATATGTTCTGCCATTGGCACAGTGCTTGACGATCCCATTGCCGATTCAGCGTCAACCTACACGCTCGCTGGCTGGGGCCTTGCTACTCACAGATCGCACGTTCTGGCCTTTGCCCGCATACTTGGCGCTGCTCTCTCAGAAGGCAGCTCTCTCGCACACCACATGGATGTTCAGCAAGCGCAGGCTGATGTTCAGCTTCTTACAGGTCAAACAGGATCAGCGCGATACAGTGAGAATACATCGATCTGGAATCTAGATCTGCCAGCCACCCTCAAGAATGCCCTTGCTGGAGCATGCAAGACAGCATCTGCTCAAGTTGTGCCCGATGTCATTCGCGCTGCACCATCGTCTGTACAACGTGAATTCCTTGCCGCCTGGTGGGGCAGTGTTGGAGCGTCACCACGTTTGGTTGGCGATGGCTACCCAGTTGTTCCACTGTCGCTCCATTCACTTCGTGTTGCAAGCATTGACAATGACAAAATGGAGAAGGCGCAACACTTGGAGTCTTTCAAGTGGATGGCTGGATGTCTGCGAGATCATTTCGGAGTTCAATCTACCGTCGTTGAGTCGTATGCCGCCTCTGTCGAGAACAGGCCAGGCGTATTCCCCGTTGATCCATTGACCGCAACAGTCTTGACGACTCTGGAGCAGTGGATGCATCTCGCGCTGCGTCACTTTAGCGACAGATCCTTTACCAAAGAGACCCTGTACGAGCACATGCAGGACCAATGTGGAGACCTCATCACACAATCACAAGTCCAGCGCCAATTGAACCAGCTAGTGGATGCTGGTGTTGTGAAGAAGGATGCGACCTTGTACAGTGTTGTGGAGTCCTTGCCAGCAGTTCATATAACAGAGACGACAGTAGTCAAGCAATACTACCATCGCGTAGGATTGCGTCTACACAATCAATCCATCGAAACATTTGCCTCCTCAATTGGAGTCCGATATTGCTTGGAGAAGGCTAGTCGATGGGAGCTTGCTCGCCGATGGTACTCATACCGCCGCCTACTGCAACATCAACGATGGTCATTCATCAACACAGCACTGCAACAGTACATCGATACCCACCCAGACTTCCCCGACATGCGCGGACAAACTCTACACGATAGCATCGAGTTCCCCAAGCCTCTCAACCGTCAAAGAGATTCCATCGAGTCATGTGTGCAATTCGCCACCGAGAGACTGAAGCAACAGTTCGCCTTCGTGCTTCCAGAGGCACCAGTAGACCGTGTGGTCATCAATCAGTATCTCCATGGACGAGTACAATTCGTTGCACTCGACAAGGTCAACGATGCAACATTCCAATTCCCCAAGGCCCTCAACCTGCGCGAGTTTGCCGAATTGGTTGACCTTCCATTTGGCCAATGCACCACCCAGCTCTATCTGCCCGTGCTCTGTGTCGAGGAGCTCGCCGAGAAGGTCATGGTGTACGACATCACGGTCCCCGAGCACGAGAACTTTGTCGCTGCCGGCTTCGTTGTCCACAACTGCCGAGAGATCCTTCGCATGACCAAGCTGGTGGTGGATACACACGTCAAGTACCGCCTGGGTGCGGCTGAGGCCTTCCAGTTGGCCGATGGTCTGCAGTACCTATTCAGTCACATCGGTCTCCTGACCGGTATGTTCCGTTACAAGTACCGTCTGATGCGCCAGATCCGTATGTGCAAGGATCTCAAGCATCTGATCTACTACCGCTTCAACACAGGTCCCGTTGGCAAGGGTCCAGGATGTGGATTCTGGGCGCCAATGTGGCGTGTGTGGCTGTTCTTCCTTAGAGGCATTGTGCCACTACTCGAGCGCTGGCTCGGCAATCTGCTGGCGCGTCAGTTCGAGGGTCGCCAGACCAAGGGCAACGCCAAGACCGTGACCAAGCAGCGTGTCGAGTCTCACTACGACTACGAGCTGCGTGCCGCCGTCATGCACGACATCCTGGACATGATGCCAGAGGGTGTCAAGGCAAGCAAGGCCCGCACGATCCTGCAGCATCTCAGTGAGGCATGGCGCTGCTGGAAGGCCAACATCCCATGGAAGGTGCCCGGCATGCCCATCCCCATCGAGAACATGATTCTTCGTTACGTGAAGAACAAGGCAGACTGGTGGACCAACGTGGCTCACTACAACCGAGAGCGTATTAGACGTGGCGCCACTGTCGACAAGACAGTCTGCAAGAAGAACCTTGGACGTCTCACGCGTCTATGGCTCAAGGCGGAGCAGGAGCGTCAACACAACTACCTCAAGGACGGCCCATACGTGTCGGCCGAGGAAGGTGTGGCCATCTACACAACCACTGTTCACTGGCTCGAGAAGCGCAGATTCTCTTCCATTCCCTTCCCCCAAACAAGCTACAAGCACGACATCAAGATCCTCACACTGGCGCTCGAGCGTCTGAAGGAGGCCTACAGTGTGGCCTCGCGACTCAATCAATCACAGCGCGAGGAGCTCGTGCTCGTCGAACAGGCCTACGAGAACCCTCACGAGGCACTGGTGCGCATCAAGCGCCATCTCTTGTCGCAGCGTACGTTCAAGGAGGTGGGCATCGAGTTCATGGACATGTACACACATCTGATCCCCGTCTACGACGTGGAGCCCTTTGAGAAGATCACCGACTCCTACCTGGACCAGTACCTCTGGTACGAGGCCGACAAGCGACAGCTGTTCCCCAACTGGGTCAAGCCATCTGACAACGAGCCACCCCCCGTCCTGCTGCACAAGTGGTGCCAGGGCATCAACAACCTGGACGGCATCTGGGAGACGGCCGACGGACAGTGCGTCGTGATGATGGAGACCCAGCTCAGCAAGGTCTACGAGAAGATCGATCTCACGCTGCTCAACAGACTGCTGCGTCTCATTGTCGATCAGAACCTTGCAGACTACATGTCTGGCAAGAACAACATTGTGATCAACTACAAGGACATGAACCACACCAACTCGTACGGTCTGATACGTGGCCTCCAGTTTGCTTCGTTCATCTTCCAGTTCTACGGCCTGGTGCTCGACCTGCTCATCCTCGGCCTGAACCGCGCGTTCGAGATGGCCGGTCCACCCAACCTACCCAACGCCTTCCTCACATACAAGGACGTCGAGACGGAGACCAGCCACCCCATCCGTCTGTACTCTCGCTACGTGGACCGCATCCACATCCTGCTCAAGTTCTCGCACGACGAGGCGCGTGAGCTGATCCAGAAGTACATGTCCGAGCATCCCGACCCCAACAACGAGAACGTCGTGGGCTACAACAACAAGAAGTGCTGGCCACGCGACTGCCGCATGCGACTGATGAAGCACGACGTCAACTTGGGACGCGCCGTCTTTTGGAACATCAAGAACCGTCTGCCACGCTCGCTCACCACCATCGAGTGGGAGGAGTCGTTCGTCTCGGTGTACAGCCGCGACAACCCCAACCTCCTCTTCAGTATGGTCGGCTTTGAGGTGCGTATCCTGCCCAAGATCCGCACTCAGAACGAACAGCTCATCCCCAAGGACAGCGTGTGGAGCCTCCAGAACATGAACACTCGTGAGCGCACGGCTCAGGCATTCCTTCGCGTGGACAAGGACTCGATGGACCGCTTCGAGAACCGCATCAGGATGATCTTGATGGCGTCTGGCTCGACCACCTTCACCAAGATTGTCAACAAGTGGAACACGGCACTCATTGGTCTGATGACATACTACCGTGAGGCAGTTGTAGTGACGCGCGAGATGCTCGACATCCTCGTGCGCTGCGAGAACAAGATCCAGACCAGAGTCAAGATTGGATTGAACTCCAAGATGCCCAACAGGTTCCCGCCTGTAGTCTTCTATTGTCCAAAAGAGCTCGGGGGCCTCGGCATGCTCAGCATGGGCCATGTGCTCATCCCTCAGTCCGACCTGCGTTACTCGCGCCAGACCGACTCTGGCATCACTCACTTCACCTCAGGTATGAGCCACGACGAGGACCAGCTCATTCCCAACCTGTACAGATACCTCCAGCCTTGGGAGCAGGAGATCAAGGACTCGCAGCGTGTGTGGGCAGAGTACGCGCTCAAGTACGAAGAGGCCAAGTCGCAGAACAAGAACCTCTCGATCGAGGATCTCGAGGACAGCTGGGACCGTGGTATCCCCCGTATCAACACACTGTTCAGCAAGTCCAGACACACACTCGCCTACGACAAGGGATGGCGTGTGAGGACCGATTGGAAGCAGTACAATCTGATGAAGTCAAACACATTCGCATGGACCAATCAGAGACACGATGGAAAATTGTGGAACCTGAACAACTACCGCACTGATATGATCCAATCGCTGGGTGGAGTCGAAGGCATTCTCGAGCACACACTGTTCAAGGGCACGTACTTCCCCACATGGGAGGGTCTCTTCTGGGAGAAGGCATGCTTCTCCGCATCTACAAGTCTCATGGCTTTTGATGGACAACAGATAATGGCATCCAACGTCAATGTTGGCACTAGGTTTATGGGCGACGATGGAACACCTCGCACAGTCCAGCACATTGTCACTGGCACCGACCGCCTGTACGAGGTCCACATCAGTGGTGTTTCAGACTTGGTTGTGACCAACAACCATATTCTTTGTTTGAAGCCATCGTCACGATTGAGTATCACGTGGGAGGAAGATCAACAAGCCTACCGTGTCTACACCTTTGACGCGGACCACAAGCTCAGCACCAAGCAGTTCACTGTGCGTGTGAATGCTGACATCCACTGCGCAAAGGAATCAACCGAGGATCAATACTTCAAGACTAGGGAGGAGGCAAAGGTCGCAGCAGAGAAGTATGCCGATGAAGTCGACAACATTGCCAAGGATACTCTGATCGAGATGACAGTGGATGAGTATGTCGCATTGCCAGAAGGAAGCAAGAAGTTGCTCATGATGTACAAACAACAAGCACATACTGGCAGCCTCAAGAGTGCCGACTGGTGTTTGTCCAGTATCGAGTCCATAACAGTCCGCGACACCCCCGAGCAGTATTATGGATTCATGGTCGATGGCAATCAGCGGTTCCTACGCGATGACTTCCTCGTCGTCCATAACTCTGGCTTTGAGGAGTCGATGAAGTACAAGAAACTGACACATGCACAGAGATCCGGTCTCAATCAGATTCCCAATCGTCGTTTCACATTGTGGTGGTCACCAACTATCAACAGGAAGAACGTCTACGTTGGATTCCAAGTTCAGCTCGATCTTACAGGCATCTTCATGCACGGCAAGATTCCAACGCTAAAGATCTCGCTCATCCAGATCTTCAGAGCGCATCTCTGGCAGAAGATCCACGAATCGATTGTCATGGATATATGGTAAGAAGGATGACGACCTCTAGATCGATCTTCCAGTCACTAACACTCTCCTCCCCGCACTCGCCACTTTACAGCCAGGTATTCGATCAAGAATTGGACAATTTGCAGATTTCCGGCGTCAACAAGGAGGCCATCCATCCAAGAAAGTCCTACAAGATGAACTCATCCTGCGCAGACGTCCTGCTGCGTGCCGCTCACAAGTGGCAGGTGTCACGTCCATCAGTGTTGCAAGACACTCGCGACACCTACGACGGCTCCACCACACAATACTGGCTGGACATCCAGCTCAAGTGGGGCGACTTTGACTCTCACGACATTGAGCGTTACAGTCGTGCCAAGTTCCTCGACTACACAATGGACCAGATGTCATTCTACCCCTCGCCCACTGGCTGTCTCATTGGCATTGACCTGTCGTACAACATCTACTCAGCGTTTGGCAACTGGTTCCCTGGTGTCAAGCCACTGGTACAGCGCGCGATGGACAAGATCATGAAGTCCAACCCTGCGATGTACGTCCTGCGTGAGCGTATTCGTAAGGGTCTGCAGCTGTACTCGTCCGAGCCCACAGAGCCCTACCTCTCCTCGCAGAACTATGGTGAGCTGTTCTCCAACAAGATCATTTGGTTCATTGATGATTCCAACGTGTACCGTGTAACGATGCATCAGACCTTTGAGGGTAACATGACTACCAAGCCCATCAACGGTGCCATCTTCATCTTCAACCCGCGCACTGGTCAACTCTTCCTCAAGATCATTCACACCGATGTGTGGCTGGGCCAGAAGCGTCTGGGTCAGCTGGCCAAGTGGAAGACAGCCGAAGAGGTGGCGGCGCTCATCCGTTCGCTGCCCGTCGAAGAGCAGCCCAAGCAGGTGGTCGTTACGCGTAAGGGTATGCTCGACCCACTGGGCGTCCATTTGCTCGACTTCCCCAACATTGTCATCCAAGGCAGTGAGCTGCAGTTGCCCTTCCAGGCATGTCTCAAGATCGAGAAGTTTGGAGACCTCATCCTCAAGGCCACCGAGCCCAAGATGGTGCTGTTCAACATATTTGACGATTGGCTCAACACAATCCCCTCGTTCACAGCCTTCCAGCGTCTCATCCTTATCCTGCGTGCGCTGCACGTCAACATTGAGCGTACCAAGATCATTCTCAAGCCCGACAAGAACACGATCACACAGCCACATCACATCTGGCCCACTCTCACCGATCAGGAGTGGATCAAGGTGGAGGTCGACCTGAAGGACCTGATCCTTGCCGACTTTGGAAAGAAGAGCAACGTCAACGTCGCCTCGCTCACTCAATCCGAGATCAGAGACATCATCCTCGGTATGGAGATCTCAGCGCCAAGCCAACAGCGCGAGGACCAGATCGCAGAGATCGATCGACAGAAGAAGGAGGCCAGTCAGCTGACCGCCGTCACTGTCAAGACGACCAACGTGCACGGCGAGGAGATCATCTCGACCGCCACCAGTCCACACGAACAAAAGGTCTTCTCCAGCAAGACCGACTGGCGTGTGCGTGCCATCTCTGCCACAAACCTACATCTGCGTACCAATCAGATCTACGTCAACTCGGACTTTGTCAAGGAGACAGGACTCACCTACGTCATCCCCAAGAACATCCTCAAGAAGTTCATCACGCTGTCCGACCTCCGTATCCAAGTCATGGGCTACATCTACGGAGTCAGTCCACCCGACAACCCCCAGGTCAAGGAGATTCGCTGTATTGTCATCGTGCCACAGTGGGGCACGCCAGTGTTTGTCAACGTGCCCAATCAGATGCCCGAGCACGAGTACCTCAAGGAGTTGGAGCCACTGGGTTGGATCCACACACAGCCCACCGAGATGACACAGATGTCACCACAGGACTGTATCACTCAGGCCAAGTTCATGTCGGACAACAAGTCATGGGACGGCGAGAAGTCAATCGTCATCTCTGTGTCTGTGTCATGGCCATGCACACTGACTGGCTACAAGATCACGCCAGCCGGCTACGAATGGGGCAAGGCCAACAAGGACTCACAGACCTACCAGGGCTACCAACCAACTCACTACGAGAAGGTCCAGATGCTGCTATCCGACAAGTTCCTTGGCTTCTACATGGTGCCAGATCGCGGCAGCTGGAACTACAACTTCATGGGAGTCAAGCACTCTGCCAGCATGACCTACGGACTCAAGCTCGACTATCCCAAGAACTTCTACGATGAAGTTCATCGACCATCACATTTCCACAATTGGACTCAGATTGCAGGAGAGTCCACAGACGACAATGAGACAGCTGATCAAGAGAACCTCTTTGAATAAACTTGTACAATGGAATGAATCCACAACCAACCTACCTTTCAATCAATAACATGGAAGTACGCCTTCCTGATTTTTTCCATTTGCATCAACATTTTATTTGTTTGATCAAACGGTCAACCCATAAACATTTTGGTCCATATGATGATAGATTACATTGAAGATTAATGACATTGAAAGGTAGTTACCTAAACATACTCTAAAGAGATTTCGCTATCATACGCAATGTATGCCCAGAGATTCTCTTACTTCGTACAAATAGCCAAATTCGCCATCAAATTACCCGTTGTTTGATTGGTAATGGACCTTGGTCTTCTTAATCATATTGGTTTGATTTATTAGAAACCTTCGGAACCCAACTCCATTCAACAACACCCCCAATCCAATCAAAGATAAACAAGTTCCCAAGTACATTACTCCTCTTTATTGATTACCTCAACACTGTTGGAATAGTTCCATACTCTGATACTACCATCCTCTGAACTACTAACTAAACGATCTTTGCTCAGGTCTATATGATTGATAGCACCTTGATGTCCAGAGAGTGTGTAGAGTGGTGGATCATCCATCTGATTCGGATCCCACACCTTAATGGTCGAGTCATTTGAAGCACTGAACATACATGATGCCTTGATTTGAAGATTATTGATTGCCTTTTGGTGACCTCTAAATACTCGATTTGGTGTCATCATGTGGAATGGTCTGGTGCCCCTCGACGGACTCGTGTCATTCAAGTCCCACGACAGTACATCATTATAGTCCGATGTGTATATTGAGTTGTTCATATACTCAATGTGATGTACAGGACATAGCAATGGCTCCTTGGTTGATGCAATCATTGATCCAGTCTTCATACACCATAGATCAATATATCCATTGTTTAGACCACTGGCAATGTTTCCATCATCCCATGTTGGCACTCTTCTTCGATCCAATGCCAAACAAGTCACTGATGAATCTGATTCAAATGTGTGAACTGGACGTGGAGTCCGCAGATCCCAAACCCTGGTAGTTTGATCCAATGATGAACTGATGATCACTCCATGACCAACCAATATTGAGTTGATTGATTGCTGATGTGATCTTAGTGAGGTGATCACTTGTGCCCTGTGAACATCCCATACTCTAACGACCTTGTCATCACCAGCACTGATCAGATGATGACCTTTGACCTCCAGAGCACGGACTGATCCACTATGTGATGACAATGTATCCATCTTTTGTCCATTGTTTACATTCCATACTCTGATGGCCGAGTCCTTGCAAGCAGCATAGACCATTTGATTCTTGAATGAGAATGTACTTGTTGCCTGCTCACTCAATATATGAGTACAACTACGATCCTTTAAGTCCCATACACGAAGTGTTCCATCTTGGCTGGTGCTAACCAAATTATCATTCCTGGACTTGGCTCTCATAATATTATTATTGCTACTGTCATCACTACCACTTGTTGTCAATTGATATTGCCAATAATTTCCTCGTCTCCATTGTTGTTTGATAATATGTCTATTGATGAATTGCTTCTTGTAGTTGGATGGAAGTGATGGGTTGTCCAATGGTGTCAACAAACATATCTTTAAGTTTGTATCCCATTGATCAAAGTTGTCCAGATATAATTGTTTCCACACTTGGTTGACCTGGCAAAGTAGATTGAATCTCCTATTCACTCTTGATAATATTTTGGCAATATCATTATAATTATTTATAAAGTTGAATATATATATTGTCAGCTCCAATGGTAACTTGGAAAACATATCTGGATAATATGACGTTGTGGATGTAGTAATAGTTGTAATAGTTGATTGAATGATTGGACTAATTTGGGAATTTTCCAACATTGGTATTATTGTGAATATCTTTGGTTGATTGGACTTGTGATCCACTCTTCTATGTTTCTTTAATATCTTATTAATTAATGATAATTGATTATTTATAAACATGATTGTTGTTGTGATTCTTCTTTGTAAATAAATAAATAAATAAATTAATATGATTGATTGAATGCCTGACAGGATATAAGGATGACACTGCCTATTCTTAAAGTATTATTATGTTATAAAGTGTGTAGTTATGTTATAAGAGTTGGAGTGTAGTGATTGAGTGAGTGAGTGGAGGTGAATAGTGGTCATTGTCAATTTATGAATGAATAGTTAGAGATAAATATCAGCAATGGTCATGTGATGGCACTGCAATGGTATTAGATAGGGGTGTGAATCACAGTGTCAGTGTTGCTGAGATATCTGTCGGGTTCGGGTTGGAGTGGTATGAGTGAGTGAACAAGAATAGACACAGACCACACACTCAGACACGGACAACACACACTTAGTGTACACCAGTGATCGATGATCTAGAACTGAAACATAAGTGATTCGTCTTCCAATGTACGTACATTGACTGATTCCCATTCATTCATATGTTGTTGTTATTATTCATTTGACTGATTGATTGGTCAAAGCAATCTTATCCATCTTACTTACATTCTACTCATTCATGTTAACATGAGTGATTGTGAGATGTGATATTGAGAGTTGACTATATGATCACTACGCACTATGAGATGAGAATGATCAATGTCAATGAGTGACCTAGTACTATCTCTGAAAGTCTAGACAGAGATCCTGCCCATTTCAATTGAATGAGTTATGGGACAAACTACTAAGTTCAATCACCCACTCTTCACATCACATCCAAGTTGTTATTGTTCCCCACTTTCACAATCCATGTAGTTGTGTTTATTAATATTAACATCATAGAGAGGTAGAGAATGGCTACAGTCGCTATACCAAAGAATGAGAAATGGGCAGAAGTACCAGAGGAGAAGGTCATTGAATATATTGTAAAGGATGATAAGGGTGCTGATGTTAGAGTAGGTGTCAAGCTGGTATTATAATTACATTCACTCAAACTGGACTAAATACTAACACTTACAAACAATAATATAGGTTATAAAGACATTCAGAGAGTATCAAGTACCTGTCAAGAGAAACAAGAGAGTGGATGAACGTAGGAAATGGGAGAAGTTTGGTGACTGTGTAGGACAGTCTGGTCTTTCCAACACATCTTCAGGTGAAGAGGTCTTCCTTACATTGTCAAGGAACATGGTTTCTGTATGTTGTCAACAATAGGGTCATTGATTGATTGATTGATTGATTGATTATGTCTCAACTAACACCCAACTACCAATCAACGCAGGATGAGGAGAAGAAGGAGACAATTGTATGCAGGAACTGCAAGAAGAATCATTTCACCTCAAAGTGTCCATACAAGGATGCTCTGGAGTTAAGTATGTCTATCATGTTAGTGAGACAAGTTGGCGTAACCAATACTAACTCACACAACAACAGCTCAACGACAGATCAAGACAGACAAGGACGAGAAGGAGGGCGGAGGTGGCGGCAAGACAGGCGATGCCAAGTACGTCCCACCATCACAGAGAGCAGGCTACAGTCCGATGGCGATGACAGAGGTACCTTCACTTATCGTTTCAAACGTTTCAGAGAATGCTACCGACAGAGATCTACGTGATTTGTTCAGTCAGTTTGGATACGTTGCCAAGGTCAACGTACCAAAGGACAACGATGGCCGTCCAAGAGGATTCGCCTACGTCACCTACAATGATATACGCGCGGCAGAAGAAGCCATCAAGAACTTAGATGGACACAGATACGACTACCTCGTACTTCAAGTTGATTTCGCCAAGAGGAGGACAAACAACTGAGCTCATTAGTCGCAGTAGGCATCAATCCAATCATTCATACAATCAATCACTCAATCATATCCTGTAATTAAATAACTAAATAACTAAACTGACAACCCTCTCTCTGTTCTCTCGTTCATTGATCAACTGCTTGATGTTGTCGTTGTTGTATTGGATTGACTGTCCACGTTCGTGTTCGCTTTCAATTGATTGTTGATGACTGCAGCCTCATTTAGTTTGGCATCGACGCCAATGTAGTGCAATGGAGGGATGACTGTTTCCACAGCGTATAAAGCAGATGCTGATGGACACATAAATGCCAACTGCCATTGAACCATTGGTTGTTCCTTTGTTGGTACTGGTGCAGACCATATTGCACCAGTGATCTGTCTCTTTGATTGTTCAAACACATAGTCATTCACTCCATACTTGCCTGAAGGATTGATTGATTGATGTATTAGTATAGCTGATCATGGACGATACTAGTGCCGCGACATATACCTTTGATGTGATAATGTACTGAGACAAACATCCTGCCTCTCAACACTTGTAACTTTGTCTTGGTAGCTTGTGTGATCTCCTCCACCTTGAACTTGAAGTGAGGTGGATGCTCCAGCCGCAGGAACTCGTCCATGTGTCCAAGTAGCGGTCCAACAGTCTTCTCGTAGTAATAATCAGTGACCATTGACTTGATTGCCTCGTTGTCCTTAGCTCCTTGATAGTTGGACAGTAGCTCGATGAATGTCAGCAGCTGTTTGCTGGTGGCGGCGACGATGTCGCCTTGCTGGCTGTCCTCAAACAGCTCCTTCCAGGGCGATCGCTTGGCGCGCAAGTAGTTGTACCAATTCTGCATTGTGACCAGGGGTCGCGAGAGCTGTGTGATCAATGTCTCTGGGTAGATGAATGAGAGGAATGGTGATGATGATATGAAGCCCAAGTATACACGATCGTCCCATGGTTGTGGCTTTGCTGCAATCATTGGTATCTCATCAAGATGTTGTTGATTGAGTGTTGTCAACACTGTCTCTTCAAATTGATTAAACAGTTCCGTTCTAAGTTGTTGTTGATCCATATCTCTAGTTGGTATTGGCTTCTTGTCATTACTTGATGTTGATTCTGATGTTGATGATGATGATGATGGTGATGGTGTTGGGTTTGTTGATGTACTATAATATCGATTGTTTGATGATGATTGAGTTGTGATCATCATTGATGATGAAGGTGATGTTGTTGTTGTACCAACAACATGTTGAACTCGCTGACATTGAAGTTGATTGAGTATTGAATATCGTGTGGCGGATGTTTGATATAGTGACAGCTTTGAACAACTGTTCAGCAGTCTAGTATTGTATAATGACTTTATCATTGTTGTTGTATCTTTCAAGTGAAGTGAATGAAGTGAGTGAATGAGTAGTGAAGGCAATCTTATCATCACTGTCTCGTCGACCTCGCGTGTCCGACAAACCCTCCCATAAATTTCCAACTTGGTGGCACGTAATGAACACGAACAAGTGGTACCACGACCACAGTTACAACAACAACAGATACAGTTACTGACATATTATTATTACTATTATTATAATAACAATCAATGAATGATTTATTAAAGAGCAAAAGATATTATGGTTGTGGGGCATTTGGTACAATTCGAGATCTTTGTTGATCCTCGACTATCATTGCGACAGGTGATGTTGGTGCTAATACAACCTCGGCATCAGCAGCAACAGGGGCATCAGCAACAGCAGCAGCAGCAGGAGCAGCAGGCTTGTGTGGCTCGTGCTCACCATTGTTTGATGTCTTGCCCTTGTTGTTTGGATTCTTCAAAGCCTCCTGTGCCTCTCGCTGACGATCGAGCATCTCCTGGGTGGTGTCTGTTGACGCACGTGATCCTGCACCCTTTGGCTGCTTCTTGAAGATGTTGTCCAGAACCCTCCTCAACTCCTCACTGTTCCTCTTGTCCTGCTCATCGTCCTGCTCGTCCTGCTCATCCTCGTCACGAGCCGCCTTGTCATCCTCCACCTGGTGCTCATTCCTTCTGGTCTTCCTCTCCTTGTCATCATAGTTGAATATGACCGAGAGTGCTTGGAGTGTCTGCTTCAAGTCAGCCAACTGTCTCAGTCTCTCTTGGTTGGTGGCAGTCGATGTTGGAAGGTCACCTGGAGTGGTTGGCGCCGGTGTCTTGGTGCTCGTGGGCGCTGCCGAGGTTTGCGGGATCACACCAATTGCACGATAGAACTTGGCATAGCAATCGACCAGGTCTTTGAAGCTGTTGATGACAGTGGTCACATTGGATGACTTTGGAAAGAATTTGTACAACATCACCAAGTCCTCACCAATCAATGTGTCCAACGTCTGTGATCTAGTCGACAACATCTTACCCAGATCAAACTTCTTATCAAAAGGACCATTATTCTTTGCACCGAATGATCTCTCACCAGTTACAAATGGAGTAACTCTAGCAATCAAATGTTCAATATCTGATACTGATGGGCATTTTGAATTCCATTCAACATCCTATTTCATTCATTGATTGATTGATCATGGATAATAATGTCAGTTGGTTGATTGTCCAACAACATGGAATCAATCCAATATGGTGTACACGAATCTTACATCAGTTTTGGCAAAGGAACCTCCAACAACAATCAAAAGAATCAGAAATATTGAACAACTTTTCCAATTCATTTATAAATATCTTTATATATATCTAAATCTAAATCTATATCTTTATAATTAATAATAATAATAATAGGTATATGTTATAATGGAAGCATCCTGTTGCCATGAGGCTAGGCTAAGGGTTGATGTGTTGCTGAATTAGAACATGGATGATGATCAATCACATGACCAAGAGTGCCTTAGATTGATTGCCATTGTAATATAGCACTGTGTGTATTACTACAACTGTTGTAGTACATGTATATTATACATGATAGCAGTGTTGATTGTCATTGATTGATTGTGATAATGGTGTGTGGGGGATGATAAATCAAAGCTGCAAACACATTGGGATGATCTGGGGTTGTTTGGGTCCCAACTAAAGTTTGGCCCGCTCACACCTCAACATCACCTTTAGGTGATCAATTAGGAAGAGGAAGCAGAACAGTCTGGACTCTACCACTGCCACTCACTCCTGATCACTTCATTAGTCAGTAACCAACACATATAATATACAATACACACACTTCACATACATTTATACAGTCGAACACAGCTCGTTCATACATACATACATGTTATTAAGAGCAATCAGATCGTTCACAAACACAGCCTCCACTACCACCAACTTGCTATTAAAGTCATCGTCAACTATAACAACAACAACAACAACACACTTGATCATTAAGAGAACAATGAGCTCATTGAATACTACTGCCAGCGCCAACCTATTCGTCCAACCTCAATGGTTGAACGAGCACCTGAACAATGTAAAGGTGATCGACGCCTCGTGGTACATGCCACACGAGAATCACAACATTCGCAAGGAGTTTGAGGAGGCCCACATCCAATCGGCCGTGCTCTTTGACATTGACGAGGTCTGCGACAAGACCGTCAACCTGCCACACAACTTGCCCTCGGTCGACTTCTTCCAGCAGGAGGTCGGCGCTCGTCTGGGCATCTCCAGCGACGACCACGTCGTCATCTACGACACTCGTGGCACCTACGTCGCGTCGGCCCGTGCCTGGTGGACCTTCCTCACCTTTGGTCACAACCCAGACAAGCTGTCCATCCTGTTTGGCGGTCTGCCCGCCTGGCAGCGTGCTGGCCTCCCAACCGTGCAGGGCAAGATCGCCCCTGCCGCACAGCCCGCCACCTACAAGGCCACATTCAACCCTTCCATGGTCAAGACTCGCGCAGACCTCGAGAACAACATGAACGACAAGAAGTACCAAGTGGTCGACGCTCGTGTCGCCGACCGCTTCTATGGCCGCGTCGACGAGCCTCGCGCTGGTCTGCGTCGTGGACACATTCCAGGCGCTCTCAACGTCCCATGGGTGGAGATTGTAAACAATGCACAGGGTGGCTACCAGGACAAGGACAAGGTGTTGGCCCTGTTCAAGACCAACGGTATTGATGTCAACAAGCCCGTGCTCACCACCTGTGGCTCTGGCACCACTGCCGCCGTCCTCACTCTTGGACTGTACTCATTCGGTTATCCACTGGCACCAATCTACGATGGATCATGGTCTGAGTGGGGCCAGGTTGGCCTGGACACTCCAGTCGAGACTGATGTTCCAAAGACCAACTAAACTTAATACACAACACCATCGATGGCATTGCTTCGATATTGGTCTTACCCAATCAATCAATCATCCCATTCAATCAATCAATCCAATCAATCAATGATATGTTGCTGCTAGCTGCTGGCTGCTGCTTGATAAATAGGTTTACTTTGATAGTGCGATCGCAAATGGCTAGAGCTGGTGGATGGTGGTCTGACCCTCCTCCTTCTTGGCTATGATTACAACGACGCCGTCTCGCTTGCCAACGGTGGACGAGGCGATGGGCGATGACAACTTGATCACCTTGTAAAAGTTTCCCTCCTGGATGTCCTGCTGCGTGCAGCCGTGCAGGCCGATGTTGGGCACCAGGATCTCGGTGCCGTTCGGAATCTGGATGGTGTCGGGCAGCGAGATGGTGCCCTCCAGCGTGATGTCCATCTGGTTGACGGTGATGCGCAGCGCGTTGGGCTTGTAGAAGGGTATGAAGGCGTAGATTATATAGCTGTCGTTGGTTTCCGTTACATTTACAGGGAGGTTGATTCGATTCATCAGATTGGTCATCATCAATGAGTTGTTGATGTTGTTGGAGTAGTTGATGTTGATACCCATAGAGTTGGTGGTATTATTAATGTTACTGTTATTGGTATTGTTGTTGTTGATACTGTTGTTTGTTGTAGATGTTAAGTTGTTGTTGTTGTTGTTGTTGGAGTTGGTGTTGTTGCTTGAACTTCCAATAGCATTGTTGCTGCTTATCTCTGTCAAGTTGATGACAGTCCTTGTCCTGGACTGATTGGACTTTTGGTCTTTCAGCTCAGTCTCCCATTTGTAGAGGTTATCCATTGTGTACATGTATTCAGGATGCTGAGTGATGTAGTTGCTGTCGCCACTGGGCAAATCATCCACATTGATAAACTCAAGGAATGGAAGCAATGTGGCATACTTGATACATGTGAGGAATGCTATAATGTCATGTCAGTTGATGTTAAACTATGTTGATCTACACTCTCAAGGTAAGGCAACAACAACATACCATCTTGTAGCCCAACGTCCTGTCCATTGGAGATGTCATGGTTCTTCTTCCTCTTCCTCTTCTTTGAGTCTACCTTGGAGGACAGTCGCTCATTCTCTGTCAGACTGATATATTCGCGAATGGCATCCTGTGTGATTGAGTGAGAGGAGAATGAGTGATTGAGTGATTGAGCGATTGAGTGATAGAGTGATAGAGTCAACTTACATCGTTAAGATGTTGGTAGATGAATGTGTATACAGCACCACAGAGGTTGGCCATGTCATTGGGTTGCTTGTATCGCTTGTCCAGGTCAACCCTGTTGGTGTAGAGCGCAAGGACGAGCGTGCGCCTGATCACGGGTGTCTTGAGCGTGGGCACGACACGGAAGTAGAAGCTGAGGAAGGCTAATGCCTCCTTTTTCTTGTCCTCCTGGCCACGCTCAGTGATCGGTCGCAGGTTCTGATGCTGCTGAATGATCTGCTGTGTTGATATCTGGCCGGGCAGGAAGTTGATCTTTGTGAGCAAGTGCGTGGGCAGGGGTGGCGGGGTCGGTGGCAGCGACTGCATGACGCCGTCGTCTCCATCGTTGGATGCGCCGCCATCGTCCACCTGTGGGTTGGTCCTAATAATCTCGCTCAGCTGATTGGACATGGTGCTGAGCAGTGTGCCCGTGCTCTCTTGCAGATCGTTGATGCCACTGTGCTGCACCTGCAGATGGAATGGCTGGTGATGCAATGCCGTGCCATTGGTCAGGTAGTCAGTCGACGAATGGACATCATCAGTCATATCCAATGTAATATGTTGATTATGATCAATTGCTACACCATAGTGTTGCTGTTGTTGCTGTTGCTGTTGTTGAAGGTCATTGTTGTAGACTTGAGTTGGTCTCATATGTTGTTGTTGTTGATGTTGTTGAAGATGTTGTTGTTGCTGTTGATGTTGAAGTTGTTGTTGATGTTGTTGATTGATTGCATATGATGTATATGATGAATGATCGGTGTGTGAGCCACTGGTTACATGTGATGGATCAATGTACATCAACAGCTGATCACCACCTGAGCCATCCACTTCATCATGTGCACTATCTAAATAGGACGTAGTATTGTCGTCCTCCAAAGAAGATGACATTTCCTTATGTTGTTGTTGTTGTTGTTGTTATTGTTTATATTTGTATAAATATTGATTGATTGAATGGTTGAATGAATGATTGATTAAAAGATAGGGATGGAACCATCAACTCAAAGGAACACACTCAATTCAAAAAAATCAAAAGGAAAACAAATTCAAATAAATACATCAGGTCCTTGTTGTTTTTGCTGCTGATTGGTCAACGTGGGTGGACTTTATTACTTGGTTGGTTGATTGATGGAATGATCTATTGTTGTAGGATGTATGAACATATATAGAAGATATAAATATTTTTGTTGATGATAATGTGATGAGGATAATGGCCACAATAATAGGCCTAATGTTGTTGAAGTTGGGCAATCGTGTTATTGTTGTTGGTGCCCAAATAGTTGATATAATCGGGTGTCATGATCGAGGAGGAAGGCGTCCAATTGTGCGAGTTCGTCCTGACTTATGATTCGATGTTGTTGTGGTTGTTGTATTATTAGTTGTTGTTGTTGTTGTTGTTGTTGTTGTTGTTGTTGTTGTAGTTGTGGAGGTGGAAGTGGATGTGGAAGTGGGAGTGGGATAACTAAAGGCTGATGGATACCACCAACAACATGGGCAGGTGGTAGATGTTGGTCGGCAAGTGATAGATGGTTTTGTTGTCTGTAGGCATTAGGATATGGAGGGAAAAATGGATTGCCCTGAGCATGAACTGGTTGTAGATGGTGGACATTCCAATTGTTGACTGGTTGTGGTAGTTGTTGGTTGTTGTCGACAAGTGATTGTTGGCGTTGTTGTTGTTGGACGTCAATCACATTTTTGACAATGTGTGATGGTTTGCTTGGACCTGGTTTACTTGGACTTGGTGTCTTGGTTTGATTCGACCTGGGAGGTTCCTCGCCTAAGTCTAGTTTGACTTGGACAGGATTTCCAAAGACCTACCAAGGTATAAAGATAAAGATGTCAACAGATAATTTGTTATTAGTAAGTATAATATTGTCGAGCATTGATGATACATACATCGAAACATTGGAGCTTGCGGGTCTCAGTAGATAGTTTCCTCCTGAAGAAAGGTGCTACTGATATGCCTTGTTGGAAGTGGAGCAAGCCAGGAAGGCGACCATCAGTCTCATACATCGCTACCAAGAACAGTTGTTTCTTGGTTAGCAGATCCAACTCATCCCTGTGCACCAAGGTGATTAGATGGCTGTCCAGATTGAGTCTCTTCATGTGTAGCCTCCTCAAGTCGTCATCGCATGTAGAATTGATATTGGCCAGGCCTGTCTTTGGAGAGGTTTCTTGAGTGATGTATCGCACCATGTTGCCCAAGTGATCGATGACCATAATTCCAAATCGTTTGGGAGTTTCACTCTTCTTCCTCTCCTTTAGCACGACCTCACTCGTATTCCCTCCACTCTTGTTCTTCTTGTTTGTATTGGTGGCTGTGGTGTTCATTGTCAAGCAGTTGACCCGTATGATCATTGGGCATCGGTGATTAGCATCAAAAAACTTGCCAATGTACACGTCCATGATGTCAGGGTCCTCCAAGTTCTTTGGATTGAGTGTCAGGAAGAGGTCGCCAGACTCGTAGACGGTGTCATATACGATAGAGGAATCCAATGGGTTGACAGCGGTAGGGTCGAAAGATATGAGCTCAACCTTGAGGCGCCATGGCTTTGCCACTTGTCCGTGTCTGAGTCCAACATTCACGTTAGTGAGCCTTCCCCCACAATCGATGGTGATGGTGCCAGCGGCTTTGATACGTAGTGGCGTGATATTCTGTTGTCCAATCATCATACTGGTCAAGGGCGTGACAATCTCGTTGCTCTTGGTTGTGTATGCGTTCTGTTTGAACCCATGTTCGATATCAGGTGGAATCTCCTGGGCCAGCCTTGGGTTGTAATACGTGGTCCAGTACAAACCACAGTCATTTATGATTGTGTACTTGAGTGCGTAGCCAAGATGATGGTCTCCTGTTTCAGACCAGGCCTGGGTGGGGTCTGCCATTGGAAGGTGCTCGTACGACACTCCGTGCACAGACTGCAAGGTGAACACAAACTGGAAGATGTTTGATTGTACAAATCGGTCGCTTAGATAGTCCGCACTGATGGTTATCGATGGGGCGTCCATAGGAGGTTGGTTGGCCGATGGTTCATCTTGAGGTGGCGTATGAGCAGGTGGAGGAGGAGATGGTGTTGTCTCTTGGGATAACGAATCCAGAGGCAAAGCAGAAGGTGAAGATGGAGCAACAGGAGACGATGATGACCATGATGGTGTAGATGGAGCAAAGGGAGAGGATGTTGGCGACGTCGATGGTGACAATGTTTGAGTGGGCGTTGTCGTTGAGGACGTCGAAGTAGTTGTTGTGGACGAGGAGGTTGTTGATGTGGACCATGAAGGTGACCTCGAGTTTGTCGATGGTAGTGTTGTTGTTACACGTTTGAACTCTGGACGATCATACATGTACTTGACTAACTCCAAGTTATTTTTAGTGTCCATTACACTTCGGAGTCGATGACAGATACCATACTTGAGCTGGGAAGGTTCCAATAATACGTATAGAAACTTGTCCGAGTTCACGATCAGTGATGGGTCAACTTCTTTTTCGTTAGTGTCGTTGTTGTTGTTGTTGTTGTTGTTGTTGTTGTTGGCGATGATTGGTGTTGTTGATACAGCAGGAATAGTGTTTAATTTTAAGCATGATGATATACGATGAAATGTCTCATGAATGGATCTATATTGTTGATCAACAGTTTTGCGTTTGTTGCTTTTATTGTTGTTGTTGGATGATTTATTGATGTTGTTGTTGTTGTTGTTATTATTGTTATTGTTATTATTGTTGCTTATCATTATTGTATAATACACAGACACTTAAATAACTTATGTTATTAAGTTATAACAACAACTACAGAGACAAATATAATGAATGAACAATGATCACGATGTTGGCACTAATGTAATGAATAATTGATAAGTTGAGTGACAAATGATCAGGTGGTTTGAATGAATGAATGAATGAATGAAACGTTTAAAGTGGATGTGTCTTTACCAGGATGGGATTAGTCAAATTTGACCCCGATGATGATCACAAAAGCACTCAAATTCGGGAATAGGCAGGATCAAATACCACACTAGATATTTATTTCTGAGTTTGTGATCTATCTAAGAATGAACCCCTCAAGCTGATGGTTGTTTGCATTGGCATAATTTGCCCAAAATGAAATGTTTTCAATTGATCCCGACTTACTAGCTGTGGACCTTTATCGACGACACAGTCCAGTTCTGGAAATAGTTGTAAGAGTGATTCAACTGTTACTACAGGCATATTACTGGTTGGTTGAAGGAGGTTCTCTTTGATGTACTTGATCTTATCGCTAGTGGCCTCGAGTATGTCTGTGTGATGCTGATTGAGATTTTTGACAGCTGTATCCCTCTCCTCAGTTGTAAGAGGTGGCGTCTGTGATGCAATCCATTTTCTCATTTGTCTGACACCGTCCTCCATCTCTTTGTGATCATATATACAACTAATAAATACTACTTATTATTATACAGAAATAATCATTACACAATTATTTCAAAATAAGAATGAACAAAGGGAATAGTCCCTTTGGATATTTTGTTGTCAAGTTGACCATCAATCAATTTATACTATCATGTATCTTTTGTTGCTACGTTGCTTCGCTGCTGACTTGTTACCAACACCACCAATGATACCATTGATACTGTGATGGTTGCCATTGGATGATCTCTTTGATCGTTTCCACATCAACATAACAATCATTACACCAACAACACCAAAGATATAAATGAATGTGTTGTTCTTGTTGTTCTCCTCTTGTTTCCTGAATGAATGGATAGGTCAGCTAACAAGTCCACTACATCATCAATCAATCACACTTACTTATCAATGATCTCATGTATGTATCTAAAGTGATTGGTCTGTCCAGGTGGCAACTCAAAGGAGGATGGGAAGGGGAATAGTGATTCGTAAAAGTCATGGATGACCTTGATCACAAGATGTGCTGTTGGCTTGTCATGGTTGATGTTGTCGTTGAGACAGATGAACTTGTGGCGTCGCTGTCTAACTCCATCCAACTTTGTCTGTGTCGAATTGTCATTGTCGTCCACCATGAGGAATGCCACCTCGTCCGTGCCCTCAATCGACGTTCTGTACATTGTGCGCTTGGCATAGGACTTGTGAATCTCCATCAGTGTCTTGTTCGAAGCCTTCAACACTTCCAAATCGATACGACATGCTTCCAACTCTTTCTGGCCAACTTCCAGTGTGTTGTTGTCGACTGCTGGGGTAGTGGCTTTTGGCGCGGTAGTAGCTGTGACTGTGGCTGTGGCTGTAGCTACGGCTGTGGCTGTGGCTGTCTGAGTTGCTGGGATCACTGGAACTGCCGCGGTTGATCCTGAGTCCTCAGACGACTCTGAAGAGGAAGATGATGAGTCGCTAGAGTCGGAGGAGGAGGATTCTTCCACAATCACAGGTGCCGGTGTGGGATGTCGCAACTCCATACATGTCTTGTAGAGGTCGGACTTGAACTCTTTGAATGTTGTAGGCTTCAATGGTGTGCTAAATACATTGATGGCAAGTGTTCGCAGTTCGTTCTCATTCAAATATCCATCGCGATTGATATCTATCTCCTTGGCCCATAACTTATCCAAGTCGAATGGTACCTTCTTGTGGATCAAGTAATAAAAGTATGAGAATGCGTACTGCATATCCTTTGGGTTCCTCAGACTGTGCTTGCTTGTCATCTCCCACTGTGCAGGCCATCTTTGTCGATAGCGTTAGTACATGTATAGCCCCTCTCCATCGTCCTGTGTCGCTACTCACTTTTGTTGTATCTCCTCCATTAGGTCTCGATCGATCATGTGAGGCATGTGTGCAGGTACCTTCCTTGGCGATGATCCAAACTCGACGGTATACAGTCTGTTGACATACTTGAGTGAATCGGCAAACATGTCCAACAGCTTACGTTGACCACCTTTGGCCAAACTGACCATCTCGGCACTGTTGTTGCTGTCTTCTTGGGCGACGATGTTCTCCCACGGGTATATCTCACCCTCATCTCGCAGGGTCTGCTCCATCTCTCTGTTCAATGTGTACTTCTTCATCGCCAGCTCGTGCGGATCGATGGCTTTGCTCTGTAGTAGCTCAGAAACATACTTGGAGTCGTCCTCCTTGGTCTGTACTGGCTCAACATATCGCATTGGCAGTAAGATATCGTCAACTTGTTGTTGTAATGGTTGTGGTTGTGGTTGTTGTTCGAACGACATCAGACCCCTGTGGGCTCCAGGACGTTGATGAGGAGGAATATCTTTGTTCTCCTTCTGTTGTTGCTCCTGCTCTAAGATGACTTTGCTCTCCTCATCATGGTTGTTGGTGAACAGTCTCTTCTCCTCTCCATTTGAGTCAAACACGTTGGCCACATCCTCAGACTCGCCCTGAGCCTGGTCAAGGTCCTGAATTTCAGTCACCACCTGTTCTCCCTCTATCAGTGCGCCCTCCCCAGGTTGTGGTGGATCAATGGCATTGGTGACATTGGTGCTCGCTGGAGATGTGGTCGCTCCTCCTGTTGCTCCTGCTGTTGCTGCAGTCGTGTTGTTGCTTGGTAATGTGACAGGAGGTTCAGTTGGGGTGACCAATGTAGACAGAGTGATGTTGAAGTCCTTGGTGATGGACACTTTCTCGGTGCCAGTGCCCTTTTCAAATGTGATGGATATGGAGACGTTCTGGAAGGTGATGTTATGATGGAATGTCAATGTCATCATCTTGTGCTTTTGTGAAATGGATGCCGTTCGCACCAGTAACACATTGTCATGTGTGCCATCAGTGATCGATGCATCTCCAACAAGCTTTGTAAGATTGAAGTAGACTGCCGATGTTCCATTGGCTATATTAATTAATGTCTTGATTGATTGATGGATGGATAGATGAGTTAGTTGATCGATCGATTGAATTATTGATGGAATGATTGATGAGAGGCCAACATACTTGATTCGTGATCTCATAACCGATCATACCGCTGGCCATCAATTCCGTGCCACAATCACCGGCATCGAATCCACAGTCGGCATTCTTGCACATACGATCGCAGTGAGTGTCTCCGATCCAAGAGTCAGGACAGCCACGAGAACAATAGTTCTTGGCCCTGTTGCCTGCGGTAGAGTCTGTGCGCGGCGTACCAGTTGATTGGCCTCGTGACCACCTCGTCTTGACCTTGCCCGTGCTATTGTCACAGTCGCCTGCATCGAAATCGCACAGCGTGACGTTACAGGCTGCATCGCAGAAGCCATCGCCTATCCAGTTGCTTGGACAGCCTTCATTGCAGTTGGGCACGGGCCAGCTGAGGAACACCTTCTGGCCACCGCCCTGCGTCAGAAAGTCGTCTGGATAGACGGGGCGGCCAAACATAACGTCGTCGTTCAGGTACAGGAACTTCTTGGACAGGCCAGGTATGCGGTGCAGATGCGTCTCGATTGACGGCGAGCTGAACGTTGGCAGGTCTGACTTGTTCTTGAAGATCTCCTCGTGCGTGACCACCGTCAGCTTTGGATTGCTCAGGTCGATCCAGTTGGGCACCTGGCCATTGGTCACCAAGAACACATGTCTTACCCATGGTGCAAACTGTTCCACCGATCGCAGTGAGTACTTCAACTCCTGATTGTCGATGTACCTGCTCGGAGGATTATCATCTCTATAACATTTATGTTTGTTTGGGTCTTGTTTCTCTTGACATTCTGGTACTGTTTGTTTGATTGTTTGTTGTCATCGTTGTTAGTTATGACTGATTGAATGATTGATTGATAGTCAGTAAACATAACATACTTGTTGGATCTCTCATCCTTCGTTTGAGATCAGTGACAGCCTTTATCAGTTGAGGGTCTGATCCATTGACCCATGTGTACACTATATCGATTGGCTCTGCACAGAGTATGCTCTGGTAGTTATGTCCGCCGACATTATCAGACATCTGATTGATCATGTGAGCTAGTTAAGATGTTAGCACCATGCATGTCATTGTATTCATTCAATCCAATTCAATCAAACAATGACATACAAGTCTTTGTAGATACACCATACATCGATACCAAATGGAAGACGGTGTTAAAGGAGATGAATGCGCCCAAGATACAAAGTGCCATTCCCCATCTACTCGAGAGGAATGAGTAGAACTTGAACTGAAACACCTTGGTTATATGATTACTATCATTCTTTGTCATTCTCTCTCTATCTCTATCTCTACTATATCTATATCATTAGCAACTGTTGTATTTGTTATAAGTATATGTTATAAGTATATGTTTGTTTGTGTGTGAATGTTGAAGTGATTGAGTCAGTGAGATAGTGACGTGTTGAATGAATGAATGAAGGTCGTTAGCATTGATTGGTTGGATGACCCGCAACACACCCCCCTCATCATGTACAAGTTGACCAATGGGCTTTGCAGAATGAATGGCAAAGTTCAATCGACGTTTCGTATCAGATATGTTTTGAAGATTTTATCAATAGATCACTCAATCACTCAATCAATCCATCAATCAGATTCAGATATAAATATATAGATATACTTTTACTTAAGGTATGGCCATTCTCGTGGCCATTGGCAACAGGCAAGCGCTGCCCATGTGTGTTGTGTGGCGTTGTCCAGTCCACATTTATTAACAAACTAACAAACAAACTGACTACTTGTTGGACTTGGCAGTGGCAGTTCCAATGTTGACAACTCCTCGTGGTTTGCCAAGTGACTTGTGAATGTTGTCCAGGAAGACACCTTTGGACTTGACCATCTTTACAAGGAAGCCTGGTATGATCATGCCGTTGGGCAGATGTGCCAGACCGTCGTTGCGACCAAGTGTCACAAACATCATGGTACCAGGTGTCTTGTACTTGGTCCACTTCTTGGCAGAGAATGTGGTGCTGGCCTTGAGGTTGCGTGCCAGCAGCTCAGCGTGATTCCTTGCGTTGTACAGTGTCTTGATCTCCTCGACGTTGGTGATGTCACCCACAGCAAAGATGTTCTGGTAGCCCTCGACCTGCATGTACTCGTTGACCTTTAGACGGCCCTCGCCATCGATCGCATCGCCAAAGTGCTCGGCCATCGGCTCATTGTTAATCTTGTTGCCGATGCACCAAAAGACGAGATCCGCTTCGATGTTGCCGTACTCTGAGTCGGTGGGGAATGTCTTCATCTCGAGCTCGTAGCCAAAGTATGACTGTTGCCTCAGGTGCTCCTGGACGTGGTCTGGCACGACGATCGATGTGTTGAACATCAACTTGACGCCCATATCCACCAGCTTCTTGTTCATCTTTTTGGTAAACTTGTCGTTGACCTGTGGCGCCACCAATCTGTCTGAGTTGTGCACGAGCTGTACACACTTGCCCTTGAAGTCCGTGGCGATCTCGCCAGCCAGCTCGACGCCGACCGCGCCACCACCGACAATCATCACCTTTTGCGCCTGGCGTATAGTCTCCTTGATGTCGGTGAAGTATTGATAGGCGTACGACACGTCCAGTGGCGACTTGAATGGCGACAGGTTGTTGGTACCCGTGGCAATGATCAAAAAGTCAAAGGGCAGTTCTTCGCCGCTGTCCATTAGCACGCGTGTGGGTGACACGTTAATTGCCAGGCCGTGTACAAAGCGACCGCGCTTCAACATGCCGGCGTATGGTATGAAGCATTTTCTAGAGACCTCTGGCTCGACTATACATCTGAGTGATCCGGTGTTGATAAAGAATACATGTTTCTTCTCGACCACGGTAACATCGAAATTATCTTTCTCCAACTTCCTGGCGGCGATAATTCCACCATATCCACCTCCAACAATCACAACTCTTCCTTTACTACTTTTCTTATCCTTCTTTGTTGTTGTTGGTTCTGTAGTTGGTGTTGTAGTCTCTGTTGGTGTTATTTCTGAAGTTGATGTTGTAGACATTATTGATTGAATATTTAATTAATTATTTGTATGTTTGATTGATTAATTGTTTGATTGATTGAGATAGAACCAAAGAATTAAAGAATAAGAATGAAGAAGAGAGAAGAGAGAGATTAGATGGATGTCTTGATTTATTTGGTAGGTCAAGCAAACAACAAACAAACATGTGTGACGAAGATTGATTGTGTAAGTGTGTGTGAGGAGACAGTCAACAACAACGACCCAGCCAACCAGACAGACAGCCAGGCCCAAAGGTAATAGATGACAGACTATGGACTGGGTCTATCATCACCGGTGGGCGTGATTCGATGGTTGATGCCATTATTGTTTGTTTTGCACAAGGCATTGGCATGCCCATTGTCTACAAAAACGAGTGGGTTCCACATGGACCTCACGAGATTAGCTCTCAAGGATGTTTTGCACAATCGATCACCGGGTGTCCTCGCCCTTATTATCAGGTCTGAAATTTAATGTGTTCCGCACAACGAACTAATCGTCTATTTTTGTCATTCCCGTCAGTGATCTATGAAGAAAAAGTAGTCCTACTAATAAATATACATTAATATAATGACACTAAAGATGGGTGTAGAGGGAGGGAGATGCCAGAGTTAGTCGATGTTATTTGATTAATGTTATAAGGAATGATTTGATGGGTTGATGCAAACATTGAATGGATAAATGGATTGATGATTGTAGTGGTCGAATGTCGGACTGTCTATCGTAGGGGTTTATATACCTTTGGACCGATCAATCGAGTCCAATTGTTCGGGGTTGATCAAACACACACACAATCACAATTCCATCACATCACATGAATGTATGATCACTTCAAACACAACAATAATAATAACAAATATATATATATTTTATTTACCTATGTTCATTGGCTTGGGATTGCCAAGACTGCTCTGGACCATTGAGATGAAGAGACCGCGAGACTTGACCATTTTGACGACAAAGCCAGGGATGACCGTGCCTCCAGCAGTCTGCGCCAGTCCGTCATTCTTGCCAACGGACACGAATATCAGTGGACCAGAGGGCTTGTAGACGGCCAACTTCTTCTTGGACTCGCAGGCCTTGAGGTTGGTGCAAATGATCGCGGCGTGATACTTGGCGTTGTAGTAGGTCTTTAGCTCCTTGGTGTTGGTGATGTCTCCGATGGCAAACACATTGTCGTGGCCCTCCACCTGCAAATGCTCGTTGACCTTGATGTGGCCGTGCTCGTCCAGCGCGCCACCAAAGTTCTCCTGCAGAAGCTCGTTGTTGATCTTGTTGCCGACGCACCAGAACACGAGGTCGGCTTCGACTTCGCCATTGCTCGTCTGATAGGTGCGCATCTCGACGTTGTAGCCCAGCTGGCTCTGCTCACTCAGACTCTGCTTGATGTTGTCGGGCACGTCGAGCGAGGTGTTGAGCATCACATTGATGCCCATGCCCTTGAGCTTGTCGTGCATCTTGTCGGCGAACTTCTTGCCCATCTGTGGGCCGACCAGCTTGTCGGAGCGCTGGATGAGCGTGACGTTCTTGCCCTTGAACTCGGTCTTGATCTCGCCGGCCAGCTCCACACCGACGGGGCCACCGCCGACGATCAACACCTTGGTGGCGGTCTTGACCTTTTCTCTGATGTCGACGTAGTATTGGTAGGCGTGCGACAAGTCAGCGGGCGCCTTGAACGGGGTCATGTTGTTGGAGCCGGTGGCAATCACCAGGTAGTCAAATGCGAGCTCGTCGCCATTGTCCATGACGACCTTTTGTGCCGAGATTGCCGTGGCGGCATGATGCACCACCTTGCCATTCTTTAACATCTTGTCATATGACAGGAAGCATTGTTTGGTCATGTCCGGCTCGACGATACATCTCAAAGCGGCAACATTATAAAAGAAGGCGGTCTTCTTTTCGACGACAGTGACATCAAAATCCTTATCAAGTTGACGAGCGAGGAATATACCTCCAAGTCCACCTCCAACAATAACAACCTTCTTTCTATCTGACATTCTTGCTGATGATGAATAAGTATAATTTATAAGTATTAATAATGGTATGACAAGTAGTATAAGTATAAGTATGAACATTTGGTTTGGTGTTTTTACACTAGTGATGGTTCAGTCACAAGAGGTCAAGACCTTGATGTTTATAAATAGTTTGTGAGTTAGTATAATATGTAGTGAGCGAGCACATATCTCTATTGTCATTCGGTCCGTGGAACATCTGCCAGGTGGGGTCGTGGGCCAGTGTCCTTTCAAGACTGTTTGCCCCTTCACGCTCGTTGAACTTTTATTCTGATGAAAGATTTTCCATCGAATGTCATAATGATTGGATTTGCAAAAAAGAAGGTGGGTTTTGGAAGACCTGCTTCTGTGTGTGCCTTTCACAAGTCATTTTCATCATCATGTTGATGTCCAATAGGAATGTTTTTATGACCCATTGCTAAAGATGTATGTTGGTTGATCATCTGGGTCCCAAGGACTGGACCATCTATCTCTCTTCTCCGCTTATGGGGGTGGTGATGCCCCCCCAATCAATCAATCCTAAAACCAACAGATATATTAAGATTAGTTAATGGATTGATTGACATGACAACTTAATTAATTGCTGGCAGCAACACAGACATAACAGCTAGAAGTATGTTCTTTTCATACCACCACATTTATTCCTGAATCATAGAAGTCCAGTCCATAAGGTCTTTATTCTTCATCATCATGATCATTAAGATATAGTTGGGGGAGTTAAAATACATTCAAATCAAACAATCCAGGAAGGATTGTGCTTGAAATCCAACTACTATTGAGTGGCAATTGCCTCCATCTTGGACTTGACTTGCTTGATCAATGTTTGGTTCTCAGTCTTGACGGTCTTGAGATCATTGAGTAGTCTGTCAGTGTTGAGTGTGCTGGTCTTTTGTGAAATGTGATCAATCTTGGAGGTGATCGTGAGGATGTTGTTCTGATGCGTGCCAGTCTCGTCGATGGCTGTCAAAAGTGTCTGGAACTTCTCGTCGATGACGGCAAACTTCTTGATGGCATTCTTGGCCGTCTCGTCCTTCTTGGCGTCGGCGTACAACATGTCCTTGACCTGGTCGAATGTGCGCACCGCCGTGTCCGTGATGCTGTTGATCTCCTTCTGCAGACCCCTAGTGTCCAGAAGAATCCTGTCAATGTCCACGCGCTGCTTGTCAATGTTCTTGACACTCTCGAGGATACGTCGGGTGTACATCGAGCGGTTCGTGTCCTTGGGCGACTGTTTGTATGTCTCTTGCAGCTGCGCGATCAGCTCCTCCTTAGTCTTGATCTCGCCAATCAGCTTCTTGATCAGTGCGCGGATCTCCTTGATGCGCTCCACCTTGCTCTTGGCCTCGTCCGACTGGTTGGACTTCTCGTCCTTGAGCTGGCGATACTTCTCGACGATGGGACGACGCACCTTCTCCCACTCGGTGCTCATCTCGATCAGGTTGGCCGACGACTGCTGGCACAGCTCCTGCAGCTTGGCCATGTTCTCGTCGGCATTCTCCAGCAGGCCGAAAGTCTTCTTCTTGACCTTGTACTCTTTCTCGAGTTCGGCACGTCTGCGATCCTCCTCGCTCATCTGTGACTCCAACTGGCGCAGCTGCTGAATCCAGCTCTCCATCTCGTTGTTGCTGGCCGACATGCGCTCGCTCAGCTCCTGGATGCTCTGCTGCAGTGCCTCAATCTCGGCCTGCTGCTTCTGCTGGCGCTCCTCCTCGGTCTCCTTGTCCTTGGGCTCGGTGATGGTCAAATCCTCCGCTGCGAATTCCTTCTTTCTTGCAAACTGACCATAATCATTATTTGCACTGCCCTGACCAAACTCACCAATCACTTGATCGAATGAGAACTTGTTCCTAAAGTTCTCTGTCGATGCCTCCACCATAGCCGAACGTACACTATCGCCCATCTTTGCCATGATGTTCTTTGACTTGTTCTTCTTGTACTCCTACATGTATGAGTGTCGCACGAGAGAGTTAGTCATCCATTGTTGTGCGTGTCTAGTCAAGGCAAGGACGCGCCACAACAACATACCAATGGATTCAAACCAGATGCAGAGCCCTTGGTGTTCCATTCATTCTCTCTCTCTTGAGCCTCGGCAAAGATGGCCAGGTTGTACTCAAACACTGATGGTGCGATATCCTCGCAACGGTTGGGCTGCAGGGTGACGGGCTCCAAGAACTTGATGTAGTAGTCCTCGAGACCGGGTGTGAGCTTGAGCTGACGACCACGTGCGGGGATCTTGACGGGCGCCGCCGTGAACAGTCTGGCGGTGGAGTAGTTGCCCGGGATGCGCTTGCTGAATGGACAGAAGTATGGCATCCAGGACTCCTTGATTGACGAGGCCAGGTATGTGCAGATCAGGTCCTTGAGACCATCGGCCGACACGCCCTCGGTCACCTCCTTCTTGGGCAGATGTTGGCCCAAGAAGACAAAGATACGTCTGGTGTCATTGACGTTGGGGTAGAGCAAGTTGTGATAGCTGAGCTCGGCACGGTAGCCCAACTCCTTAATAGTGTTTGCCAAGATTGAACATGAGTTTACACGAGCCGACATATTCTTTGGGATCGATGATGATAAGTTTGCCACCTTCTCAGCATTGATCAACTTCAAGTATGCCAACACTCCCTTGTATACAGTGTCGGCGTCAAACTCCTTGATTGTTATATCTTTTGCCAAGTCACTAGTTATGTGTATTGTATGTTAGATCATTGGCCTATCTATCGCGAGTCTCTGTGTATCCAAGTCCTGTTTGTTCATTCGATCTGTGAACTGTGTGATTGATTGAGTGAATGAGTGAGTGTAACATTACCATCCCAAGTCTCTCAATGTGAGCAACACAATCTGATCAGCTTCATCCATGTTGTTGTTGCTGTTGTTGTCTTATATATATATGTTATAATACTAATAAAAACTACTACAAACAAGTAATCATCAATACTCCTGTCATGATCATTCAAAAAGGTCACAACTCCTGAAAAAGCTGCAACCCTTTCCATCTCACACATCTCATTCCAAAATATCAAAACTATGATTGTAACGAACTTCAATGAGAATTCATTTGCGGGACATGACCAAAACAGTTGTATGTCAATTGTTGTTGACAACCTGGTGCGACATGATGACAAGTAAGTGAGTGTGTGTAGATAGTGTTTGAATTCAGACAGCTCGAAGACAAGAGGGTGTTCTATTCGAATAATGAAACACACAACAACAACCAGACGACTGCACACAACCAGTGTGGTACCACTAGTACTAGTATCACTTTGGGTGAAGGTATGATGATGTACAAGAGTGTAGTGTGTGTGAGTGACAATAGCAATGGTGTAGTTTGTAATTCATTCACTCATTATAATTATAATATCTTTTATTATATGTATACTTATAATTAATACTACCTCTAAGAGATAACTATTATTATTACATTCAATTGTAAAGATACCTAAAATAATACTAGATTGAATAGACACAAAGATAGAGTGTGATTGATTGATCAACTTGAAATGTATGAAATTGATATTGATGATGTTGTTTGAGTATTATTATTAATATATGATACTTAACTTTATTAATCTAGTCTAGTCTAAAAGAGTGGAAAATACAATAATATAATGATATTGGCACCAGAATATGACCTGGATGATGGTGTAGAATACCCAACCAAATCGAAATATAGTTGGGCATATAATAAGATACCATTGTCAAGATCTCAATGGATGTATCTATTGATTGGACAATGTTTGGTATCAGGTGTAGTTAACTTCTTTGTCAATCTCTTCTTGACATGGTTAATGTATCCAAGGGATTTAGGTGCAACCATTTCATTCTCTGGACAAATAACATGTATATTCTCGGACATTATAGTTACATCCTTTGTTCTACCAACAATAACAGCAATCATTGCTTCATTCTTGGTGACATTCGATCTTCGTAGAGGACAATTCATTCAACCAATTGACGAGAGATGGTTAAAGCATCCATTCCTTTCTTGGGTACCAACTGGTATGTGTGGAAAGTTAAGATAGTTCATGGACTTCTCCAAAATATACTAACATTCATATATGTAGGTATCAATATTAAGATCATTTTGAAGAGAGCAGTTATATTCGGAGTGTTTGGAGTATGTATATTTGCACCTCCAACACTTATATGTCTGTTCATTGCAACAAAGGGTAATGGATACATGCTTCTCAAATGGCCATTCTATATCTTCAAGGCTACATGGTGTTCTCTACTTGCAATGGTTGTTGCACCATTGATTGCCTTTATCCTTGTTGCCTCCTACGATCCAAATGACAAATTCTTCTAGAACTTTGATTCATCAATCACCTTCAACAAGTTCCATTCACATCAAACAATATAAAATTATATTGGTATTTTATTACTTATTATAAGTTAAACAGATAGAGACATAGATAGAGATAGAGATATTAATTGAAAGAATCATTCATTTGGGATTCAATCAATGATGATTCACTCGTCTATCCAATTTGCGCAATGCAGTTCCATTTCGGGTAGTAAAGTTCGGCTTTACGGACATCACCATCAACTTTGAAAAAGTGTGCGAAGTATGCTAAGAGTGTATCTCTCACTCGTGTGTGGGATGTTGAGTGCACTGTTTGAGCAAGAACAAGCTACACCCCACCCTAGCGTTCAGCACTGCTACTCTCTCATTCGAGGGATGCAAAGGGATTGATGTTGTGATGTTGTTAATGCTATTGTAGTCACTGAGTTGTTGTTGTTATTGATGTAGTTATAGTGTAGATATATAGATAGATATTGTTAGTTAGTGTACATTAAAGGAGATAGTTAGTTATCAATCAAACAAACAAGCATGTCAGCATTATCCAAACCAGAACATTTCGGATGCGATCTCATTCATCCTTGGACACCATCTTGCACCAAGTCTGCGTCACTCATTTGGTGGCGAGTCTTCCTTGCAGGTCTAAAGTTATACGGTCCACTATTCCTAGTGCCCGCCATTATATTCAAGCGTAAAGGGTACGACTTAGACGACAAAGAACAGGATGATACATGCATCTTCATTGATGTATCAAGTGTTGTACTAACAATGACGATGATGTGATTCATATACAACTACAGACCTAGGTTCATCATAACAAAGTCAATACCAGAGATTATTAGATCTTCAACCTTCTTGGGAACATACGCAGGTACATTCAATGCATCGATTTGTATCTTTAGAGCATTGCTTGGCGACTCAAAGTCAGTGGCTGCCATCTCTGGTTTCTTTGCAGGTCTTTTCTCCATATTGATAGAGTATGTTTGTTGTTTAGACACTGGAGACTGACTGACTGACGTGACTGACGACTGACGAATGACTCACTTACATCATCATGAATAGGAGAAAGAGCAGGCGTTCAGAACTGGCATTGTATTGTTTCAACCAGACGATTGAGGTTATGTGGAAGATGGCAGCGTCAAGAGGACTGGCGTTTTATATTAAGAATGGCGAGGTACTGGTGTTCATGATCGCTTCTTCAATCCTGTTTTATTTCTTCCAACAAGAACCAGACAGTCTGCGTAGCAACATGAATGGTCTTTTGAAATTCATGATTGGTACCAACTAATCAATCAATCAAAGTTCAATCAATCAAGTCAATCAATCATTAATGAACATTATTCACCAACATTGTTATTCAATTACCAATACTGCAAAGCAACTTGTAACACATTTGATTGTGTCGGTCCATTCTCGAGACGATGGATATTTTCATCATCCGTGTGAAGTGATTGGTCGTGTTCATTCATTCATTCTTGCAAGGTGTTGAATGGTGCGAATGAATGAATGATATCAACCACAACCTTGATGATTAGTGTTCATTATTAGTGTAACTATTCCATACATATACAAATAATATATATTTGTTATATATTCTATTTACTTGATTGAGAAGAATGAAGAACAAACCAATATCATCATACCTCAATGTTGACGAGTTCAAACAGACTGCAGAGAAGAGCCTACCTCGCATGGTCTATGATTACTATGCATCTGGTTCAGACAGTCAAGTATGATTATAATAATGCTATACTTCATTGATCCATCACTCACTCATTCAACGACCATGATCACAATCAACCTAGGTTACACTCTCAGAGAATGAGAACTATTATAAGAATATCAAGTTGATGCCAAGAGGCATGATTGATGTATCAAGAATCGATTTAAAGACATCAGTTCTTGGAGTGGATCTAAGCTCACCTATAATGGTATGAATGAATGAACGAATGATTACATTGATGTGACTTGAATGCTCACATAATCATCATGATCATCATGTTTCATCTAGATTGCTCCAACTGCAATGCAATGCATGGCACATCCTCGAGGTGAGTTGGAGACGTACACAGCTGCAAAGAACTTGGGATCACATATGACACTCAGTTCAATTGCCACTACAAGTGTTGAGGAACTCTCTGAGCATGCAAATGGTAATCCAGGATGGTTCCAACTCTACGTATTCAAGGAGCGTTCTGTCACAATCAACCTTGTGAAGCGTGCCGAGAAAAGTGGATTCAAGGCACTCGTCGTCACAGTCGACACTCCATTCCTTGGAAGGAGAGAGGCTGACTTCCGTAATGAGTATGACCATCAGTCAAGTCGAATCGAGTGAGTGATTGTGTCGACCAAGCTCTAACATTATCATCTTCACCATCACCACAGCTTCTCACTTCCTCATGGCCTATTACTCAAGAACTTTGCTGACCTGCCTTTGAACAAGGTTCAGGGAGGATTGAACAAATATATTGGATCGATGGTGGACAGTAGCTTGACATGGACGGACATCACTTGGTTGCGTACAATCACAAAGTTGCCAATCTTGGTCAAGGGCATCATGTCCCCAGAGGACGCACATATCGCCGTCCAGAATGGAGTCGACGGAATCATCGTCAGCAACCATGGCGCACGTCAGCTGGACACTTGCCCATCGACAATCGAGGTGCTGCCACATATCGTGCGCGCAGTGAATGGACGCGTTCCAGTTCTGGTGGATGGCGGTGTTCGTCGTGGCACAGACGTACTAAAGGCTCTGGCACTGGGTGCCAAGGCCGTAATGATTGGAAGGCCAGTACTCTGGGGTCTGGCCACAGCTGGACACGAAGGAATCGAACGTGTAATGACTCTCTTGAGCGAGGAACTCAGACTGGCAATGGCATTCACTGGTGTAACAACAGTCAGTGCCATCAACAGTTCCATCATTTGGAACCCATCCTCAGCTTCCAAACTCTAATCAATCAATCCCGTACTACAAACTAAATCCTGGATCGAGGTCAACATCTGACACTTGTTCCATGTATGATTGCTTTGTTAAGTAACTTACTCCTTGGACTGAGCAGCGGTAGCTGTAGTCTTGCCTTTATTTGATGGTTCAACACCAGGGTTTGTGTCAGCCGCCTGTTGTTGGGCGAGGGGCTTCATTGTTGGGAAGAGGATGACGTCCTTGATTGATACATTGTTGGAGAGCAACATGCACAATCTGTCGATACCAAGTCCCCAACCACCAGTTGGAGGCAGTCCATACTCCATGGCCTTGCAGTAGCCCTCATCCATGATCTGTGCTTCGTCATCACCCTTTGACCTATCCTGGCTCTGAGCCATAAACCTACTCCTCTGGTCCACTGGATCATTCAGCTCTGTATACGCATTGACCAACTCCTTTCCACCGACAAACAATTCGAATCTCTCTGTATATTGTGGCTATTATATGATTGGATTGATTGATTGAATGTGTTAGGTCTGGAATGATTCCTGTTGATCACATCATAATCAAACTTACATTTGATCTATGTAGCTTGGCAAGTGGACTCATTGCACGTGGATGATCAATGAGGAATGTTGGTTGAGTACACAGTGGCTCCAGGAAGTGTGAAGCCAATGCATCCAACAGTCTAGTAGGTGTGTATGGTGCACCAATGTCAACTCCATGCTCTCTACATATGCTCAATAGTTCTGGAATGGAATCTATTTTGATTGGTTGGTAAGTGAGGGTGTTAGTGCCGTCATGATGATCGCCACTCATTCACACTTACCATGTGATACCAAGTCAGCTGGTAGACTCCTTCCAACAAACTCCTCGATCTTTGGAATGAAGTGTATCCTCTTAAAGGGTGGAGTGAAGTCGATTATGATCTCATTGTTTGATGGCAATGGTACTTTGTATGATCCAACTGCATCATAAACCATCTCTGTGATTGATTGAGTGATTGGATGAGTGAGTCAGTGAGATCCACAGACTGATTGAATGAATGGATAGTTACTTGATAGCAAGTCCTCGGTCAGTGACATCATTGTGTTGTAGTCTGCATAGGCTTGGTAGAGCTCGCATGTTGTAAACTCTGGATTGTGTGTGAGATCAATGCCTTCGTTACGGAACTGCTTGCCAACTTCAAACACACGATCAAAGCCTGAGATCACCAGTTGCTTGAGGTAGAGCTCAGGTGAGATACGTAGAAAGAGGTCCAGGTTCAAAGAGTTGGAGTGTGTCTTGAAGGGCTTGGCGTTGGCGCCGCCGACGTTGGTCGCAAGGATGGGTGTGTCAACCTCGAGGAAGTTGCGCTCCACCAGGTAGTTGCGCAGGAATGCAATCATTCGCGAGCGGATGAGGAATGCGTTTCTGATCTTTGGTCCATTGACCAAGAAGTCAAGGTGACGGTTCCTGTAGCGCACCTCCTTGTTGATCAGTCGAGTGGGGATGGGTCGCAGCGCGGGTGTGAGCAAGATGATCTCCTTGGGGATGATGCTGAGCTCGCCGACCTTGGTCTTGGCCGGTGTGCCTCGCACCTCGATAAAATCGCCTCGTCTGATTGTGTTGATGATTGTAGCGTAGTGAGTGGGCTCGGCGTACTGCTTGAGGTCGGCCATGACTTGAATCGAGTGGCCATCAGCGACGATATCGATGAATGATAGTTTGGAGCTGGATATGCGCACCGACTTGATACGACCTGCCAGCGAGACCAGAGTGTCGACTACCCTTTCGCCAGGCTCGAGGGCATGGTCGTACTGAGTCCTAATAGTCGACACTTGATGTGTGTGTTCACGTGCCTCTGGGGAATATAACTTCTTGCCAGTGACCCTTTCATAAGTCTTCAACATCTCATCACGTGACTCTGCGAACTGATCCTCGTGTGACTCGTCCTCTTCCAAGTCCACCTGATCATCACTTGGTGACGGTGTCTTTGTTGTTGTTGTTTTGGTGTTGGTAGTGGTGGTGAAGTGTCTGCTTGACGATGTTGATGTTTGATTGAATAAGGCCAGACTTTGAGACCTAGGTGACATCATCATTGGCAGACTTGTTGTACATGATTGATATAGACTATTGCATAGTCTTGTTGCTGTGTGAGATAACCTGATCATTGATGGTTAACTATATCTGTAAATCTATCTCTTTATGTGCAGTAATGAGAATACCTTTGTCAGAATGACCTCATTTTTACTACTTGCTCACCCAGGGACGATCAAAAAACGACACACAAATCAAAAGTAATTTGTGTGAGCAAAAGCAATTGGAATCATTCCATTTACCCCGACACCACAATATTTATTGATCCTAATAAGGATATAGATCAACCTACAACGACAATATTTAGAATTCCGATTGTGATCTATTCTTTAGATACTCTGCAAGTTGTGGTATCTCCCCAATCTTCTTGTAGAACGATAATAGTGCTGGATAATGTTTGATCACCTCGGAGATGTTACCAACACGTTGTTGGTGGAACCAATCAATGAGGTTGAAGATACTGACATCAGCCCAACTAAACTTGCCTCCAACAAGATATGTTCCACCATTCTTCACCAAGATAGCCTCCAACTTGTTTAGGAATCTGGGTGCAATAACCTCCCTAAATGTCTTGAATCCATTCTCATCATTGGCCAGGAAATGAATGTAATAAGGACCGTAGAAATCATTGGGTAGGGTTGCAAACTGGAGAATCTGGGCACGTTCGGCTGAGGTCGATCCAGCAAGATTGAGTTGATCAGCAATGTAACATTCAATTGCTACTGACTCTGACAAAGTAATATTGTCATCCGCATAATATGGAAATTGACCAAAAGTTGCCAAATCCTTATGATGTTGTTCCATTGGATATGGACTACGAGTGTCAACATACTTGGTTCCTGCCAAAGCCAACAATAGTCTACATTCCTCACCACGACCACGGCCATCAAACTATATTATTATTATAATTATTAGTATGAATAAATAATATTGGATTATTGATAGAAGAGGAGAGTGATCACTTACATAATAGAAGGTTGGATTGGACATTCTAGAAATAGTTAATAATTATTGAATACGATTGATTGATTGATTGATTTAGTTAGTTTGTTTGTTTTAAGATGTTGAATCGATGATGGACCGGTATGTCATTTATACTTAAGTGGGATATGACCCTAATTCTAGAACCAAAATATCTTTACCAGAGGTGTCATTTTGATCGATTAACAATACGACCCACAAAGGGGGTCATCACATGTCAAAAAATGGGGATTCAGTGTGACTCAGCATCATTCATCATTTTATCCGTAGATGTCATGGATTTGAAATGGAAGGACATGGAATCCACGGAACAGGAATAATGTTATTTTATGTGGTCGGGGAATTACATGCTCCCCAGACTTTTGTTTATTACTAGTAAGGGAAGTAGGTTTAGGGTAAAAAAAATTGTTATTGGCTTGGCTTGGATTGGATTGGATTGGATTGGCTGGCTGCCCTGGTAGGCTTGAAACTACCAGGATATGGCTTAATAAATAATTGGGGATTGTGTGTGATGTGATTGTTATGTGATTGATTGATCGGTCGTTATGGTAGGGTTGTCGGATGTATATATGTATGTATGGATGTATGATTGGATTGGATTGATGATGGACAATGGATGGATGGATGACTGGAACTGTACCCTTAGAACTGTGGCTGGAAGGTCTCCTTACGAGCAATGATGACTACTATACCTTCACGCTTGCCAACCACTGATGAGCTGACTGGCGAGCTGAGGGCGATGTGCTTGGTGAATGATCCAACAAAGAACTCTTGAGTTTGGAATGAGGTCTCGGAGCCATTGCCAATGGTCAACTCTGCGCCATTTGGCAAAAATATAGAGTCGGGTATCGACACGGCACCCTCGATGATCACCTCGTGTTGGTTGACGGTGATGCGCAGTGTGTTGGGCTTGGAGTGCGGGATGGCCACGTAGATGATGAACGAATCATCACTCTCGAGCACGTTGACCAATATGCCATTCATTGGGTCCACCTTCCACATCGATGTCGATGTGATCATGTCCTGTGTGAGCAGTGGCAGCTGAGACAACGTCTGGATCTGAGTGTGCTGCTGAAGCTGCTGGTGGGTCAAGGTTGGCGAGAGGGTCGAGAGGAATCCCGGCTGCTGAATCTGTTGCTGGAAGGTCGTCTGCTGCTGTAGCTGCTGCTGCTGCTGTTGTTGTTGCTGCTGTTGCTGTGCCTGCTGCTGCTTGGCCTGTGACTGTTGCTGTGCCTGCTGCTGAGCCTGCTGTGAGCTCTTAAGTTGTTGAAGGTTCTGCTGCTTGACGCTTTGCTTCTGGTCCTTGAGCTCGTTCTCCCAACGAACGAGGTCGTCGTAGGTGTAGTAGAAGTCGGTGACGGGCAAGTCAGTGGGCGGGGTGAGACTGTGCGCCGGCTTGAACTCGAGGAAGGGCAAAAGTGTGCATGACTTGAGACAGTTGACAAAGGCGTCATGTAGGGACACGGGCAACTCATCATCGTTGGACTGGATCATGATGGTGTCCTTTGAGGTCGCGCCGTCTGAAGCCACGGCCTCGGTGTTGTCCAGCGCCATGAAGTTGCTTGGCGAGCCAGCTGCCTGGGTCMAAGAGGATAGGTGACAGCACGCCATTGGTGTTCTCTGGCGATGCCGACATGTCATACGAGAAGTACGACGGTGTGGTCTGGATGGGTGCGACATTAGTCCAATCGGACGTATTGTTGTTGTTGTCGCCCATCGACATTGGAACCATTGCGGCTGGGGTGGCGGCTGCTGCTGCACTCTGTTGTTGCTGTTGTTGTCCAACAAAGGATGAGGTAGATGAGGCGAGTGTACCTTGCACTGACTTTTGCAAAGGGGACCTGAGCTTCTTGTCCAACGACTGCTTAAGCTCATTCTCCTCCCTCTCTCTCTTTCTCTTCCTCTTCTTATCCAACTCCTTCTTGGACTTTTGTGATGAAGGTGTATGAGTGTTGATGAACTCCTTGATCGTGGCCTGTTTGTTGTGCGATGTTGTTAGTTTATGGGATTGGACACATGATCCAGGATCTCCTGCTACATACCTCGTCAAGCGATGAGAAGAGATGGCCGTAGAGAACGACACAAAGGTTGGCCATGTCGTTGGGTCGTCGGTAACGCAGCTCCTGTGAAATCTTATTTACATAGAGGGAGAGAATGAGCGAGCGGCGAAGAGTTGGCGTGTTCAGTGTTGGGTTGACGTTGAAGTAGTACTTGAGGAACGACATGCACGTGGTCTTCTTGTCCTCGTTGTTGGCCGAGGAGGTGGTGGTGGTGGCGGGGGCAGTCGTGTCGACGCCCGTCTTGGCAGAGACTCCAGACAGTGGCTGCTGCTGGCCAGCGTTATTTACAAAGGGCTGCAGACCAAGTTGGCTGATTATCGAGATGACTGAGGGGCCGGTGGGCGGCGCCGTGATCGTCTTCTTTGCCAGCTTCTTGGCCGGCACAGGGGGTGGGGGTGGGGTCAAAGGCTGCTGCAGGTTGAGCGAGGGTGGTGATGAGGGCGGTGACAGCTTGATTGGAGGTGGTGTGATTGTGGACAGAGTGCCGGTGGTGATGGCAGCGGCCGTGGTCGAGGCCAATGTTGGTGTGGTCGACATGGCCGATGTCGAGGCTGCTGCGGCTGCTGCGGCGGCCGTAGCCTGCTGGATGTTCTGTTGCACCTGCTGAGTCTTATGCTTCACCTTGCTGTTCCTTGTGTTCCTCCTTGGTGAGTTGGGTGGTGAGGCAATGGCCGAGGCCTTAATATTCTTCTTGGTTGGCATTGATATTGTTAGAGTTGCTTCAGTTGTGTTGCCATTCTGCTGCTGTTGCTGTTGCTGATCGTTGTTGGCGCCACTGACTGGTGCCAGCACGGGCGTAGTAGTAGCAGAGTTGCTCAACTTCTTGTTGTTGTTGTTGTTGTTGTTTGTGTTGTTTGTGCTGTATGTTTGGCTGGAGATAATGAAATCGCCAGGGTTTGGTAGGCTTGACACTTGGTCGATCACGGGGATGGGTGATACGGCCTGGGTTGGGGAGGATGAGGAGGACGACGATTGTGACGTCTGTGATTGATTGCAACCTCCTGTGCCGGCGCCTGCGGTGGCGGTGGTGGTGGGTGCGCTGCTGCTGAAACTGGATGCGGCGACGGCGGCAGCAGTCTGGGCATTGATGTAGTCGTGGTTGTTTTGGTAGGTGGAGAGTGTTTGCTGGGTCTGTTGAATCTGCGAGAGAAGCTTAAGGAAGTGTTCGTGTGTTTGTTGGTTATCTTGACTGTACATGGAGCTGAAGCTGCCGCCGCCACCATTGCTCGCGGACAGCTTACTTGACGATGGTGCGGCGGCTGTTGCCGCTGCGGCCGATGTCGATGACGAGTTCATCAATGGTGTTGACGTTGAGCTGGACATCAGTGTTTGATTATTATTGATATCCTTTGGTGATCCATCAGTCATCATTGTACTGTTGTTACTGTTGTTACTGTTACTGTTACTGTTACTGTTGCTGTTGCTGTTGCTGTGATGATGATGATGATGTGGCTGTGGAGGTGTTGAGCTAGACATTGATTGAGTGTCGATTGGCGAGCTGACATTCAAAAAGTTTGGTGTGGCGCCTGCACCGGCATCACTGGATTTCAGTTCCATCGATGAGTTTCCAGGCTCATATAGTGAGAAGTACATGTTGGAATCATGCAACAAATAATCAGATGTTGTCAACTCTTCCATGTTGTTGTTGCTGTTGGGTGATTGATTGCTGTTTTGTTGATTGATTGTTTGTTGGTTATTTGTTAATTGTATGTATGAATAAGTTAAGTTATTATTATAGTTGGACAAATTGTTTGAATGAAGGGGAATTCAAAGATTGTTGGAGAATTAATGATTGAAGGGCAGGGTCCTTTGAGTGTTTGTGATCGTCGATCTCAAGTGTGTGTGGTGCAAAGAGGGCTTAGCTCTTTTGAATGAAGAAGGAAGAATGATGCTAGGGTTGTGTGTGGGGTGAGAATATCTTCCTTGCTTGTTGGGTCTTTGTTGTTTGTTTGAGGAGGAAGTGGATGAGGAGGAGGAAGGGGAAGGTAAGAGGAGGGATGTTGTTGGATAAATCTATTGACAGGATGAATGGATGGTCAGAGTTGTTGATATTGATTGATTGGTTGGATCAAAGTGAAGAGGTGCTCTTTGCTTTGGTATACGGGCTGCCCAGTGAGATATGTGATTGTGTATGTGTGTGTGGGTGTATAAATATATTATTATTGGACAGGGCAATAAATCAACAAACAAACAATCAAAGAGACACAGTGATAATGGGTGATTGATTGCTTGATTGATTAAAGTTCAGTGTTGTGTGTGTGTTTGTGATCGGGGTAGTGTGTGGTTTGTGATTAAAAAGGGGAGTCGGTATTGGGTGTGTGTACCTCTCGATGTATTTGTGAATGAGTGAGTAGGAAAGAGAGACAGTATGTGTTACTGCTACCAACTACTACTACTGATTACTACTCTAACTCTACTACTGGTGATTGTATGGCCAGATTGTCCTTGTGTTGATTTTGGCACACGGACGCGCATTGGTCAAACTAGAGACAATGATGGGCGCGCAGATGTACATCAGTTTGAAAAGGAACACAAACACAAACAGACAGGAGGAGAGATGACTGTTATATCTATTTTTGACAACGACATTGTTGATTTAGAGTAGGCCTCACTGAGGAGTTGAGTGATGGCATCACGCAAATATCAAAAATACACAAACACAATCAATCAAAAAAAAAAAAAACTACCAAACACGTGTATTGACTGATGGGAGGTAGGACCACACAAGCTCCTTGTTTGTTTGGTTATGTGATCAAGAAGGAAGAAGTAGCAAACGCGAGAATGAGCACGCTTCCACACCTCACACTTACAATAATGTAACAGTGATGCTGCTGCATTTGAAATAAGCTCGAGATGTAATGTTGATGCGTATTTGATGGTGTACAAAGAATAGTGATTGAGTGAGAGGAGGGAGGTAGGTAGGGAACTGTTGGAATTGTTGTTCCTGGTCATTTTCACGTAAATGGAATTACACACACACGCGCACGAAAGCACGAGTAGCAGTGCAACCCTCGAGTGTCCAATGAATGAATGACTCGTCAATCAGCTGATCTGGGACTGGTCCCACTCTTGTATGTTTGTGGACACTGATGATAAAAAACAAGAGAATGAATGATTGATGGATTGGCGAATGAACATGTATAGAGGAAGGACATTGTACAAAGGGATAGGGACAGGCGGATAGGGGATAGGATAGGATGACTTACATAAATATAATATGTTACAGTGGCTTAAAGCGACTTAATAAATAGTATTAATAAATAGTGTATAGTTTTGTTGGTTTTTTTTTGTTTGATGTAGTTGTTATATTATTGCATTATAACCTTCATCAAATTGGATAAATAAGTAATAAATAATAGATTATAGATGATATATATCTTGTATTGATAGTTATCTTCTTTGCTGTTGCTGTTGATGTTGATGTTGTTGACCTTGTCTGTTTGTCTATATATGTCAATCAATGAATGAATGCTTGATGATCTTGGTTGATATTACTCCTGTGTGTCGGGAGTTGTTTCAAACACTTTATACAACAAATAAAGAAGATGGGGTGGATATAAATAATATAAATATAAATAAATATATATATAACAAATAAATAAGTATAATGTAATTGAATAGGTGTGTGAGTGTGTGATGAGAGAGTAACCGACAAACTCTAGATTCATTCATCAATGGACCAATCACACTCCTACAAACACAGAAACACACAAACACAGAAACACAAGAGTCATTCATCATCTCAAACAATCACCCCACTCGGGCAAATCAGACAGACGGCTATGAAGTAGCGTGTGTGGTCCACCATTGTTGATTACATTTATGATGCCCCCTTTCAAGTATCGTTTCAAAAACAAAAGATATTATTATCTGAAATAAAATTGTTTTGTTTTTATTTATGTTTTTTTTCCAGATCCAGCTTTTTCAAGATATTCATCAAATTGAAAAGGGTACCCAATTAGATACATGATTGCGTATCATGCAATTGATTAATTAATGTTTGAATTGTTTGAGAAGACGAGTGAATCAAGCAAACAATCAATCAAACAAACAAAGAAGAAGTAATAACTGGTCGATGGGCATGGCATCCATGCATTGGATGCCCCTTACTTACTCTGAGATGCAACGAATGATTGTGCAAATGGACTGGGAATGGATCGCGATCTTGACAAATGGAAGGTGGAGGGAGGAGGAGGTGGAGTTTATTGTTGGTCGTCATCGTCATCATCATCATCATCGTTGTCATTGTTGTTGTTGCTGCCTGTGTTGTTGAATATGACTGAGCCTGTATCACCACCACCACTGTTGTTGTAATGATCCTGCTCATACTGTAGCTTCATCTTTTCAAACTTCTCTTTGAGCGTGCCCTGGAAGACGACCGAGCCGCTGTCATACTCGTCCAGATCGGCGTACAGACTGCTGCTGTTACTGGTGCTATTGAATACAATACTGTTACAATTGGAGGTGGTGGTGCCGCCACGACTCGAGAACACCACGGTGCCACTGCTGTTGGAGCCAGAGTAGCTGTCGCCATTGGGATTGTGGATGAACGTGCCACCGTTGGACTGCTGCGTGCCGCCGTCGGCCAGCACGGTGGCTGTGTTGGTGGCTGTGTTGAGCTTGAACAGCGTGCCCTTCTCGACGACGCCTGCGCCAATGGGCTCTTCGTCGTCCTCGTATTCCTCCTCTGCCTTGCGTCGACGGTACTCCTGCATGACGGGTATCGACTCCTCCACCAGCTCTGAAATGATCTTGTCGCAGTCAATCTTGCCGCGCTGAATGAATGGGTGTTCCAGCAGCTCCTTGGCCGTGGGCCGCTTGTCGGCCTCCTTGTTCAGACAGATCGTGACAAAGTCGTTGAACTCCTTGGACCAGTTGCCAGGCACCTCCAGTGTGGGTGCCTGGCGGAATGGGATGACAAATATGACCTTGATCGGATTGARGGTTGAAATGAGGTGGCTTGCCCTCTGCCATTTCGATCGCTGTGATACCCAGTGACCATATATCAGCTTTGTAATCGTATCCACTTGATCCTTTTGGTGTAGATATAACTTCTGGACTCATCCAATATCTTGATATTGATTGATTCGATTGATTGATTGAGTGAGTGAGTGACATCATCATCAACATCATTGATCGATCGGATTAACATGACTTACGGTGATCCTACAACAGTCTTCTGTTTGAAACCAGTGTTGACGAGGATGGCCGACACTCCAAAGTCTGAGAGCTTGGCTTTGCCTTGTCTGTTTAATAGTACATTGCCTGCCTTGATATCGCGATGCAGGATCTTGTTGCTGTGAAGATAGACCAGTCCCTGGAGGACGTCGTAGAGGACGGCGGCGATCTGGCGCTCGGTCAGCTTGCGCTCGCACATTGACATGATGTCGAGCACGGAGCCGCCGTCGCAGTACTCCATGACGATCATCAGATTGTTGTCCTTAAGATAGCAGCCGTGATATTGAACGATGTTGGGACACTCGGCAGTGTTCTTGAGGATGGTGATCTCGCGTTTCAGCGTCTGGTTGGCATCGTCGGGCTCTGTCTCGAGGAACTTGATCGCCACTATGTTATTGGTCATTGTGTTGATACAAGTGCATACCAGACCGAATGAGCCCTGTCCTATCACCTCTATCACCCTAAACAATTGTTCGGGATCGCCCTGTGTAATGTGTGCGTTCAAACTAGTCATGTGTGAACTAAAGTAGTTGTTATATATTTGATTGGATTGTTATATTAATGTATATATATATATGATATGATATGATATATGTTTTGTTATGTTGATTGTTGTGTCTATTCTATCTATCTATCTATCTATCTCTATGACACAGTGTGTATTGTTTTTGTAAAGATAGTTTGTTTGTTGTGTTTGAAATGAATGAATCGAGGTCCAACAATCACTTCCACACACACAACCAAATGAATTAATTTATCAAAATTTATTAATTAATCCCCAACACAAAAAGAGATAATGTATTATTATTGTTATGGACCATACTATATAAATGATTTTTTGATTGAAAGATTGATTAATAAACTATATATTCACTTACTTATCAAATAACCAAATTGGAAAACTTAGAAGTGATTAAGACATCACATGGTATCATACCTTCTCCAGCCAAAACATGTAATCGTCAATCAATCAAACAAACATTCTACAAACCAAGTTTGGAAAGTGATTGACCAAAGTAAAAGTCATGGATAAAATAAATGTAAATATAAATATTTTATAAAAGGTAATAATTAATAATAATAATAATAGAATGATAATATTATTGTATCAAACACTTTGGCTTGAGAGAATGCTTTCCAGCCTTTTGTTGAGCCAACTTCTCATTCTCCTTGTAGGCCTTGACACGCTCTTTGTATCCTTCGGGGTCCAGCTTTTGCATGAGCAGATCCTCCATGACAAAGATGGTCTCGGGACTCTTGACAAACACCTTGGTCTTGCCCTCCTCAAACTCGTCGGCGGGGATGTCCTTGGTGGCGCGCATCAACTGGTCGACAAACTCGGGGATCGTGCGGGGTGGCGCGTCAAACATCTTGCCAAAGCGATCCAAGAACACGTTCTTGTAGTGGCGGTAGGCATAGCCGGCACGCTTCACCTTGATGTTCTCGAGCAGACCCAGGTACTTGACCTGATGCTCGACACGCGACGTCACAAAGTTCATCGGCTGCTTCTTGTCGTTGGGCTTGATGCAACGGATGTAGTGCGGCGTGCACGACGAGAGACGCTGCACGAGGTAGTTGGCCGACTGGCGGATCTTGAACGACGCGGTCGTGGGCGCCTGCTTGTTGTCCATCATGTCCTCGGGGAACAGGCCAGAGATGAATGGGTAGGTTGACGTCTGCATGCAGCACACGATCGACGCGTACAAGTTGTCGTTGTTCTTGAAGCAGAACTCCTCGATGTTGTAGGTGACGTCACCGGCATAATGCTTGATCGTGAACTCGTCGTGGTTCGAGATGACGAGATGTGGATGTTGGATTGACACGGCCAGCTTCTCCATGAACTTGACGTCGGCGGTGGCCGAGTCGACGGCGTGCACAGTCTTGCACACGTCGTCCAGCACACGCATGATGCCTGGTGGCTTGTTGCCCTCGATCAGGTCGCAAACAATCTTGTTGTCAAAGAAGTTGATGTCCTTCCACTTCATGCCCTCGTCGTGGTACTCGCGCTGCTCGCCACGCACCGTGAGGTCGATGAAGATCTGCTGCAGACGCTCATTGACGTAGTTGATGCAGAACTGTTCGAATGAGTTGCGCTCAAACACCTCAAAACCGTAGATGTCCAACACACCAATCACCTTGCTCTGGCCGTGGAACTGCATGGCCGTGTTGATGCGCGCCACGATGAAGTCAAACACACGGTCGTACAGCGTCTTGGCCAGGGCGTCTCTCAGACTTGCTGCCTGGTCGGGGTTCTGTGGCACAGCGTACTGTGTGTGGCGGACTGAACCCGTCTGGATCTGGCGATGGTTGAGCGACTGGCCCAGGAACTGGGGGTCACAGCCCAGCAATGTGGCGGCCCACTGCAGAGGGTTGGTGTCGACGACCTCGGCGGGTGGCTCACCCTGGAAACGGATGTTACCAACGTGCAGGATGGCAGCGAGGATTCTGAAGATCTCGGTTTGCTCGTCACGTGTGATGGCCACAGTGTCCATGGCCTTTTGCACGTCGCGGAACTCGGCAGCATCGTCCACGTCCTCGATCGTTGTGCACTTGGACTGCGAGAGGTAGTAGAAGGCGCTGGCGTCGGTCAGGCCCCAATCGCTCTTGAGCTGAGGGTCCAGGCCGGCTAGCAGCTGGTAGAAGATGTGGAAGTTACGCTCGCCCTTTTGCTGGAACGTCACTCTGGTCTTCTCAAGCAAGAAGGTGGAGATCACACCACCGACGGGTGCGTTGTTGTCGCTGAACTGAATCTCCAAGTACTTGCCAAAACGCGAGGAGTTGTCGTTTCTCACGGTCTTGGCATTGCCAATGGCCTCCATCAATGGGTTGCTGTCTAGAATCACACGCTTGATGTGCTCGACATCGATGTTGCCACCGCTGCGACCACCGCCGCCGCCACCTGAGGGGTTGATTCTGGGTGGTGGAGCACCACCGCGACCGCCACCTCTTGATGGGGGTCCGCCACGGCCTCGGCCTGGTGGGGGCACAACCGATCTGGCTGGTGGGCTGTAGGAGTCGTCACCGTCGCCACCGCCGCTGGGCATGGGACGAGGTGCGCCTGGGGCAGGTGGACGGGCGCCACCAACAGGGGGTGGTGGGCCACGTTGACCGCCTCCTCCAACAGGTGCGGGTGGTCCTCTTGGAGGCGGAGCGCCAACGCGAGGGGGTGGAGCACCTCCACGACCGGGGGGAGCGCCGCCACGACCTGGAGGAGCGCCTCCACGGCCGGGCATTGGCATACCCATGCCACGACCGCCTGGCATCATTCCTGGAAGTGCGCGGCCGCGGCCGGGCATTGGTTGGTCCTCATCGGCGCCACCATCGTACTGGGGCATACCGTTGCCGCCTCCGCCGCCACCCATCACGGCGCCATAACTGTTGTTTGGACTGACTGCTGTGACGTACTGTAGGATGAGCTTGGCCGACACTGTCTTTCCAGCGCCCGACTCACCACTAATAATTACACACTGTGATTCATTATCGTCGACCAATCGTCTGTAAGCTCTCTCAGCCAACTGAAAGATATGTGGAGAGGCGTCTCCTCCTGACGCGTTTTGGTACATCTATAATCATTCCAGAGAGTGTGGGTGGAGGGTTGGCGCGTTAGACATCGTCCGCGCAAACATCCTATCACGTGACATTCAATTCCACTCCATTCCAATCATTCATTACCTTTATAAACTCTGGACCTGTGATTGGGAGTTGTTTGTAGGGATTGACAGCGACCAACACTTCACCAATGTTGGTGTAGATGAGCTCTCTGTCGAACCTGGCACCGATCTGGTTGGTAACCTCACCATTGGATGGTGATGATACCAGCACCAGATCATCGACACCTGATGAGAATAGACGGAACATATTATTATTATTACTTTATATTACTTTGGTTGGAAGTCTGTCTATTTGTGTTTGATTGTTTGATTGTGTTGTTGATTGATTGATGTTGATTGATTGATTGAAGGGGCTTTTAAAATTACAAAGAAAAGGGTAGTGACGCTGATGATGGAGTGTGTATTATACAATGGGCGTGATGCTACTGTAGTTCGCTGTTGTTGTGGTTGTTGCTCAGGCCTTAATAAATAAGTGATATAATGGAGATATATAAATATATATATTCGTCGTTGGTCACACAAATGTTAAGAATAGAATGATTGATTGAATGAATGAATGAATGACAGTTGGACAGACGGCACTGATTGGAGGACAAACAAACAACTTGCCACCAAAACGAGTGTTGTGTATGTAGGTATGTATTATTATTGATGGGTAGCTTGCCCACCAAACACACCAACACCTCGATGTGGAAGGTCAAAGAATTGATCAGCTTTGGTTGTGGTTTGATTAAGTGATTGCTACAGCATTTTATTTGAATTAATGGTCATTCCACCATGAATCTTGGGTTTCAAACTTAATCAAAAGTGGTTCATGAGTGAGTGGTCATCTGATGGATGGCTTTTGCCAAATGATTTGTGTAAATCAATTATGTCATTCATTCTCTCTCTTAATCAATCATCATATCTTGGTCTTTAGGACTATTCCCTCATGTTCATACTTGTACCAGACTGGACTGGCAATGGACTGGAGTGGAGTGGACTGGAATGTTAACGGACATGAACGGACTTGCCTGAATGATCGACAGACTTACTGATTGATTGATTGATTGATTGAATGAATAAGTGGATGGAATAGTTCCATGTTACACACATGTAATTATATATCAAGAGATACGGAGCGGACATGTTTGGAGGCATACTAATACAGCATCAACTTTATAAAATATTACATGAACATCATCTTGGTCGTGTCGGGCGATGAGTTGACATTGACAGATGGGTTGTTGTTTCGATGCCAGGAACAGAATTGTTCTTGGCGCATTGACCATGGATGAAGGATGGGTTTGTGTGTGGCTCGCCAGCTTCGTTTGTTGAGGTCCACACTGACGGGAGCCGGAGGCGCGTTCACTGTCTCGATACCAGCACGTAGCTCTTCGAGCTCTTTGATGATGTATGGGAATTCCGGTCGACTGGACGGCTCGCCACTCCAACACAGCTCGATGACATTGCGCAGCTTGGCGGGCACGGTGGACGGCAGCGTGGGACGCAGGTGCTTGGTGCGAATGGCGTCGATCACTTGGAATTTCTTCATTGTTTCGGCATACTCATCGAATGGCGCGAGTCCAGACAGGATCTCATAGAGGATCATCGCAAATGAGTAAGTGTCGGCCTTCTCAGTGTAGCCCTCAGTCTGCGAGCTGATGGCCTCTGGCGCCATCCATTGGTACGACAATAGGATTCCCGCCACTGAGTGAATCGACTGCTGGCTGAGGCCAAAGTCGGCGATCTTGACCACAACTGGCGCGTCCTCATCAAGTGAGCTCAGGAAGATGTTGGGCGAGCGAAGGTCACGATGGATGACGGGTGGCGTCAACGACTGCATGTAGTGAAGTCCATTCGCCAGGTCAAGCATCATGCGAGTTTGTAGCGTCCATGGGATGGTCATGCCCGCCGCCTTGTTGTCCTTGAGGTAGTGGTACAGGTCGCCCTTTGGAACGAACTCCATTACGATGCGTGGAGGGTTGAACATATAGCCGTGAAGGCGTACGATATTGGGATGGCTCAGACTGGACATGATGAAGACCTCGCGTTGGAATTCGCGGAACTTCTGTACGGTCTCCTCGTTGCTCTGGTCTGGCGACACAATCGAAGACTTGACCGCGATCTGTTCGCCCGTTCGCAGTAGCTTGCCTTTGTACACGAGGCCAAAGCCTCCCTTACCAATGGGGGACGAGTCGCATTCAACGTCAGCCATGGTCATTGTCGGCACCTTGCTGATGACAAGGTCCGGCGCGACCTTCTCCAGCGCCACGGGCTCGTTCGGGTCGTTGCGACAGTAGACAAACTTGTTGGTGTTGTTGTTGTCTTGGATTGCGGCCACACAGCTACTCAGCTCATAGTAGTGTGGCTCTTCACGAGGACGACAGTGGATGCAGTGGCTACATGGAATGACTCGTTTGGTCTTGATTGACTTGTAGAAGTTCTCCAGCAGTGACTCGACCGTGAACACGATCTGGCGCAGGAAGGCCACGGCAGTATAGCTCTGTTCCAGGTCAGTGCTTCCGCCACTGTACATGCGTATCTCGATCGACAACTTGTACGCGTCCTCCGTGTTGAATTTACGTCTCTTGCTGAATGTGATCAGTGCCTGCTGCTTCTGGTAACTGTTGTCAATGTCCAGCAGCATTCCATTGCGCCAGTAGGTCTTGGCGTGGACGCCACTGATGTGTAGTACTCGCAACAATAGACGGCCAAAGAAGCCCAGAGGCATGAACTCAAAATTGAAGTCGCAGCCGTAGAATCTCACAGGAAGACGTGCCTCCACTAGCTCGGCCATGGGCATCCACTCGCGGTTGAGCACCGCCTCGACCTTGCCCTTGGGCTCCTCGGGGAGCAGAGATGGCACAAGCGAGCGGTCGACGTCCAGCTGGTATGACACCTCGAACCTCTCGAGGATCTTGAGCAGAGTGGGTCTTAGCGCGGGGTCATAGGCACTCCAGACTGCAGGCAAGTCGTTGTGGCGCAGCACTCCTTCCTTGATCCATTGATGTGAGAAGGTCACCAGACTGCTCATGACGTCCGCGAGCCATTGTGGGTCCAGCACAACAAGGTCGCGCAGTGATGGCGTGTTGTAATGTAGGATGATGCCAAGATTGGTCAGGAAGTCTGTCGCCGCACCCAAGTCCTCAGGTGCAACCAAGGCCAACTTGGCCTCATTGTGATAGTCAAAGATGTTGATGTAGCGATCCAGCTGTTGGGGCGAGGGTGTGGTCGATGTGCTCGGCTCACCCATGTTATTGCCAGAGGTACGCATACTCATTCTCGCAATGTCTGGCAATAGGGTATTGGGACGTCCCGCCGTTCCTCGCTTAGACAGACGTCGCTCAAGCAGCAAGTATGTGCCAGGTATGTTCTTTACGATTAGGCCACATTTCTTGGCCTCAACAGCCAGCCTCTTATTCAAATCCTTGATGCCCACGCCAGTGTTGCAGCAGACAAAGTGGACTGGAGACGCGACTCTCGAGTTGGTGGCGAATGTTTTGTTGATGACTTGCTTGGCCATCTCAAGTTGTGGAGTGGTGCACTTGTCAATATGCGTGCCAATGAAGAATATGAGTGGACGGTCACCCTCGCAGATGTATTTGATCTGGCGCACCCAGTAGTCCACGCGCTCGGCCCAGTCTGGGTCGCTCACATTGAACACGAGCATGTAGAGCGCACGACTCGTCAAGAAGAACTGGTGCGTCGGGTAGAAGACCTGCTGGCCTCCAAAGTCCCAGGCTGAGAACTCAATCGAGCTCGACTTGTTCTTGACCGTCTGGATCTTGACACCCTCTGTTGAGATCGTGTCGCCGCTCACCTGTAGCTCGCTCTTGTTCTTCTTGACTCGTGTCAAGGCTTGGAGTAGACTGGTCTTGCCGACGCCCTCCTGGCCCACAAACATGAGACGCACCTTGTTCCACGTCTCGACGTTGCGTCGCTCAATGATGTTGAGGCAGAACTCTTTAATTCGCTCGGCTCCCTCCTCTATGATCTCCATGGGGAACTCGCGCATGGGGTTGCCCTGCAGATTGATAGTGCGTAGCCCAACAAGGTAAGCTATCTCCAATGGTACTGTGTCCAATAAGTTGTTGCGCAACAACAATGTGTCCAGGTACTTTAGGTTCATGATCTCGGGTGGTAGTTCTCTGATCTTGTTGTCGCTGAAGTCCAGCAACGTGACGTGCAGGCCCATCATTGTAAGGGACAATGGGAATCGTCTCAAACTTGCCTTTGACAGCCTCAAGGTTTGTGATAGATTACCCTTCTTGTCAATTGTCAGCACGCCCAACAATGCCATCGTTCCACTCACTGACAACTGATTACTATTCGTCTGATCGAGCAGCGAGTCCAACAGCATTCCATTTCCAGCGTTATATAAATTTGATAGTTGTTCCTGGATTGATTGTGATTGATTGATTGATTGGATTAGTGAGTGAGTGAGTGAGTGAGTGTGATGGACTGATGGACTGATGGACTGATCATTGGACACTTACGAGTGTGAATGCTTTTGTGGAGATTACTTCATCCATGGCATCGACATCATCTGTGGAACAGGCATGTCTGAGTACCATGTGTATCTTGGTGCTGTTAACATAGCCGACCACATGATAGATCAGCTCTTTAGAATTCTTTGGCCACTCCACTAACAATGACCTTGTCTGTATCGTCCTCATATCATTAATATGTGATGATCCATTTCCAATATTGACTCCAACAAATATTGATGGCTATAGTGTTGAAGTGAGGTGAGGTGATGTGAGGTGAGTGGGGTGTTGGCGAGGGCTGGAATAGTTCCACAATACATACTATTGGTACATGAGTAGTCTTGTAATAATTGTTATCTACTGCGAAATGATCTAGCATTGTGTTGTATTGAGTGACTGCAGTCTTGTAGATGTCCATGCCATGTTTGGTCTTGGTGTTGAAACATTGTAGTCGGCAGAATGTGCGTGGCAGTCGACTGTTCGGGTCCTCATTGTTTGGCGGTACATCAGTAAAGATGACCCTGTAGCGTGTGTTGATGATCGTCACACATGTATTTGTGGCGTTTAGACTCTGTATCAGCTGTTCCTTCTCATAGCCACAGACATGTACCAACAGCACATCCTGTTGATTGTCTATACTGCTGCTCAGACTACTAATGCTACTTGAGCTTGAGCTTGGACTTGGGCCACGGAAGCTCCTGCCGCCACTATTCCCGAGACTGCTTGATGAGCTGCTGTTGCTGCTGGTGATGCTGCCACTGCTTGAGTTGGAGTTGTTGATTGGAGTGTGTCTTGGACTGACTGGAGCATGCCTTGGACTGCCTGGACTGTTGTTGCCAGACCTGGGACTTGGACCACGAAAGCTGCCTGAGCTTGAATTTATGATTGTAGATGAAGTTGTTGTGGATGATGTGCTGGTCGTTGGAGTGTGACTAGTTTTGGTTGCACTTGGACTTGTGGCTATTGTATTGTTGTTGTTGGTGGCTTCAGTGGCCAGGCCCATAGGTTTGATTGTATTCCACTTTTTGGTGGGACTTCCGTCATAAGACATTTGTATGTGTATGATTGAGTGAATGAGTTTAGTGAAGGTATTTTTAAGTATGTACGTATGTATGTATTTATGATTGAATGTTTGTATCTATCTTTGAGTTGTCCGTTGGAGTTGAAAGGCAGAGTGAATGTAAGGAGGAATGATGCAATGATGCGACTCCTCATTCCCTGTTAGAACTTTACAAGGAGGGATGGTTACGTGATGGATTTCGCAGTCTTTGCTGCAATGTCTCAGTGCCACTGACTGACCTGAATGCCTGATTGAATGCCTCATCAATCACCCCCGATGATAGGCCGAGGCCCCCCCCCCC